GGAGGCCAAGTCAAGCCTGGAGAAATGGTATGCTTTTTAATACTCAGATCCCTGACGGCAATAAGATGAAGTGCTAACTTGTATAGCTTCTTGTTTTGGGACGTCCAGGCTCTGGATGCACATCCCTCCTCCGTGTCCTCGCAAATGACCGTGATAGCTTCGACGAGGTCTCCGGTACCACCAACTATGGAGCTATGGACCATAAAGAAGCAAAGAGCTATCGCCAGCAAATCATGTTCAACAACGAAGGTATTCAATTGCCGTTGAAGCCATATTTAACCCAGTACTAACGTTCTTTTTCCTAGATGATGTTCATTTTGCATCGCTGTCTGTAAACCGAACAATCAAGTTCGCTCTTCACAACAAAGTTCCCGATGAACGTCCAGATCATTTGAGAAACCGTAAGGATTTTGTCCAAGACCATCGTGATGGCATTCTGGATTCACTCGGAATTGGACATACGAAGAAGACCATGGTTGGCAACGAATTTATTCGAGGTGTTTCTGGTGGTGAACGCAAGCGCGTCTCGTTGGCTGAAGTCATGGCTGGACAGGTGAGTCTACGAGCTTCGAGTCGGCTTTAATAGATACTAAATTATATGCAGAGCCCTGTCCAAATGTGGGACAACCCTACTCGAGGCTTGGATTCCAAATCAGCCGTGGAATTTGCTCGGATGCTCCGTCGCGAGGCCGATCGTAACGACAAGACTATCGTCACAACCACCTACCAAGCTGGCAACGGGATCTATGATCAGTTCGACAAGGTCCTGGTATTGGCTGAAGGTCGGGTCACATACTACGGCTCTCGTCGTCTCGCGAGACAATACTTCGAAGACCTTGGATTCATCTGCCCAAAGGGCGCCAACATCGCCGACTTCCTTACTTCAGTTACCGTCTCGACTGAGCGCACAGTGCGACCCGGTTGCGAAGACAAAGTGCCAAACACCCCCGAGGAATTCGAGTCCTGCTACCACAACAGCGCCATCTACAGGGAACAGCTCGATGCTATTGTCCCCCCGGAGAAGCTCACTTATGAAACCGAAGACCTCGAAATGGCAGTTGCCAGTGAAAAGGGAAAACAACATATTCCGCGGAAAACAAGTCCTTACACAGCCAAACTCTGGTCACAGATTGGCGCCTGCACAGTTAGGCAGTTACAAATTATGTGGGGAGATAAATTTTCACTGGTAAGTCGGGATATATCTACGGTGGTTCGGGAATTAGTGCTAACTGCTACATTTTAGATGGTCAAGGTCTGCTCTGCAATCATTCAGGCTCTTGTGTGTGGTAGTTTGTTCTACAACCTGGCAGAAGACAGTAGTTCTATCTTCTTGAGACCAGGCGTTCTATTCTTCCCGGTACTTTACTTCTTGCTTGAATCACTGTCTGAGACGGTAGGATCGTACATGGGGAGGCCGATTTTATCACGCCAAAAACGATTTGGATTCTATCGCCCGACAGCCTTTGCCATCGCCAACGCCATAACTGATATTCCGGTTGTGGTTATACAAGTTACCTGCTTCTCGTTGATCTTGTATTTCATGGCTGCCCTGCAGATGGATGCCGGAAGGTTCTTTACATTCTGGATTATCGTTATCATGCAGACACTGGCTTTTATTCAACTGTTCCGATCAGTGGGTGCTGTGTGCAAGACCTTCGGAAATGCATCCAAGATCTCTGGTCTGCTGTCCACGGTCTTCTTTGTTTATGGAGGTAAGAATACCACTGATCAACATGATGGACAGGAGACTTACAATCAACAGGTTATCTTATTCCATTCCAAAAGATGCACGTCTGGTTCCGATGGATCTTCTATCTCAATCCCGGTGCATATGCTTTTGAGGCTTTGATGGCGAATGAGTTCGTTGGCAGGACCTTGAAGTGTATCGAACCAGATTACATTCCTTATGGAGCTGGATACTCAAGCTCGGCATCTCCACACCGTGGATGCTCGGTGCTTGGAAGTGATGACCAAGGTATGATCGATGGCGCGAAATACATCAAGGAGCAGTACAGTTACTCCTACCATCACATCTGGAGAAGCTTTGGAATTCTCGCTGGTTTCTGGATTTTCTTCATCTTTTTGACTTCCGCTGGCCTCGAATTACGAAACAACCAAAGCGGTTCTTCCGTTCTACTTTACAAGCGTGGCAGTGAGAAGAAGCAAGATGACGAGACCTCGCAGCCACGAGAACTAGCAGACCCAAGTGCTCTCCTAGGCTCTGTCAAGCAATCAACCTTCACTTGGAAGGATCTCGACTACCATGTGCCCTTCCACGGCGAGAAAAAGCAACTTCTCAACAAGGTCTTTGGATTTGTCCAACCCGGAAACTTGGTTGCTTTAATGGGAGCGTCTGGTGCTGGCAAAACGACCCTCTTGGATGTTCTGGCCCAACGAAAGGACAGCGGAGAGATTATTGGATCAGTCTTGATTGATGGTCGGCCTGTCGGAATAAGTTTCCAGCGAACGACAGGATACTGTGAGCAGATGGATGTACACCTCGAAACCGCTACTGTCCAGGAGGCTCTGCGCTTCTCGGCCACTCTTCGCCAACCATCTACCGTGCCATATGAAGAGAAAATTGCTTATGTTGACCATATCATTGACCTTCTGGAACTGAGGGACATCAGTGACGCTCTGATTGGAGGTAAGTCTGCTTGAGTTTACAAAGCCATGAGTTTAAATACTAACGTGCACATAGTGCCCGGTGCTGGCCTCAGTATTGAGCAGAGGAAACGTGTTACGCTTGGTGTCGAACTTGTCGCAAAGCCTACATTGTTGTTTTTGGATGAGCCTACTTCCGGTCTTGATGGACAAAGTGCGTTCAATATTCTGCGTTTCCTCCGCCGTTTGGTCGATGGAGGGCAAGCTGTTCTGGTAAGACACACATACATAACCAGGCATCTTGCGGGTATTAACTTATCTAGTGTACTATTCATCAACCTTCTGCGGTGCTATTCGATGCGTTCGACGGTCTTCTATTATTGGCGAAGGGTGGAAAAATGACATACTTCGGAGAGACAGGCAAGGAATCACACAAGATTCTTGAATACTTCGCCAAAAACGGAGCACCATGCCCACCGGACGCCAACCCTGCCGAACACATCATTGAAGTTGTCCAAGGAAGCGCCACTGACAATACGGATTGGGTCGATGTTTGGAACAAATCAGAGGAGCGCGAAAAGGCACTCGCCCAATTGGACGCACTCAATGCGTCGAGCAAAGCCGCCGCGAATTATGTTGAAGATACATCCGACTATGCCACCTCTCACTGGTTCCAATTCATGGAGGTCTCCAAGCGCCTCAGCGTCCATATCTGGCGGTCACCTGTATGTTGCCACAAAAGCATCCTACAAGAAAGGACTCGAACTAAACTATCTACAGGACTACATGTGGAACAAGATCATTCTTCACATTTTCGCCGCGCTTTTCAGCGGCTTCACCTTTTGGAAAATTGGAGATGGCACCTTCGCCCTTCAGCTCAGGCTTTTTGCCATTTTCAATTTCATCTTTGTTGCCCCTGGCTGTATTAACCAGATGCAACCGTTTTTCTTGCACAACCGAGACATTTTTGAAACCCGAGAGAAAAAGGTGAGCACCTCGGTCGATGTTGTGATATGTCCAAAGCTGATGATATCTCCATATAGTCCAAAACCTATAGTTGGATTGCCTTCATTGGAGCGCAGACGATCACCGAGATTCCTTACTTGATTATTTGTGCCACGCTATATTTCTTGTGCTGGTACTTCACCGCGGGATTTCCTGCCACAGCGAGTATTTCCGGTCAGGTTTATCTTCAGATGATTTGTGAGTGCCACTGTATTCAAATGCCGATTGGCACTAACAAGAAAATAGTCTACGAGTTCCTCTATACCTCGATCGGACAGGCAATTGCGGCCTATGCACCGAATGAGTATTTCGCTGCCGTCATGAACCCAGTTCTCATTGGTGCTGGCCTTGTCAGTTTCTGTGGTGTGGTCGTCCCGTACTCATCTATGCAGCCATTCTGGCGCTACTGGATTTACTACTTAGACCCTTTCACCTATCTGGTTGGTGGTCTTTTCGGTCCAGTAATCTGGGATGTCAAGGTCAAATGCGAGGCTTCAGAGTTCGTGAAATTTACCGCACCTTCAGGGCAGACTTGCGGTGACTACATGGCCGATTTCCTCGCAACGCAGACTGGCTACCTGCTCGACACAAGCTCCACTGGAACATGTTCGTTCTGTCAATTCTCTCAGGGTGCAGACTACGCGAAAACATTCAATATTCGGGAAAAATACTATTCTTGGAGAGACGTGAGTACTCCGTCGGCTACACCTGTTTCACTTACTGATGTTATTGTCCAGACTGGCATTACGGCCCTTTTCTGCATTTCCTCTTATGCCCTGGTCTTCTTGATGATGAAGCTCAGAAGCAAGAAGACGAAGAGTGCGCGCTCCGAATGAGTGATCCCCGCGGATCATGATAGGCCATATAGCCTGGGGCTAGCATCTTCCCAATATTCAACCTACACATTCAACCTACAGGGTGTAATCCAGCTTTTGCCAAATTTGGTACTCCCAGTGATACTCTGCTTTCTGATCCCTTTCTCATTTCCCCCTTCAATTTTTGTATTTGCATTTTCATCCTTTATTAGACTTCTTCGCCTTAAGCAAAGGCAGAAAGACACCAATCATTGCATTGGAGCGGAGGCAGCGAGCGATTTGAAGAAACAGAACAAATGAATATAGAAGTGACCTGTGTTGATAAATAGACCATATATAATTAGACGCTTTTTACCTACTTATTCCTGCTGTTGGAAATACTTTTTACCTTTCTCTTCCCTTCTCATTTACTTTGATTTTTGTAACGTATAAATATTTGAGTCCTTTGAGTGTAGGAGCGTAATATCACCGAATTAGAGCACGGATATGGGAAGTATCTTCCTGGAGGTTAATTTGCATGCATAAGTTCTACAGTCCAGAAGAAGAATATGACTTGCACATTCCGTTTGTTGAAAATCATGGTACAACAATGTTGAACTCCTCATCAAAACTCACAATGAGAGACAACAACTTCGCAAAGTATGAACGATCTCCGGATTCACTCTCTATGCCTCCAAAATCTCCCGTGGCTAACAACAGCAACAGCTGAGAATGGGACATCGAGCATGAGTAGTCTGCCGTACCAAACTGTGGCTCTCCCAGTTTCAACCCAGTCCGATGGATCAAAGTCCCATTGCTGACAATGAGCCGGCATTTCTCCTTTATATCAGTCACATACAAATCGATCATAAAATCACGTGCCTGTGCTTTATAACCGTCGACTCGCACAGCAATGGAAGCAAAGAGCTGATGAAGAGACAGAGCCTTTAGCATCTCCATCTGGTCGGAGAGTAGATTCTTATGAAGGGTTTGACCGCGTAGCTCACCAGCACCAGACAGGTAAAAGTTGCGCCACGGGCCGTTCTCAGAGCCGAAGCCGAGTCTTTCGTATGTTGAAGCCAGCATAATTTTCCCGACTTTGTTCTCTGTATCGGAGAAGACAACGTGATTCAGAAGTGTGGCCGCAAAGCGTAGGTCTCCTTGCTTCATGTACCCTTGAGCCTTCTTAATGACTTCTTCAGCGCCACCCATGCAATCAACGTAGCGTCTCGCAGATTCAACTGGTGGGTGCTCCCACAAATGAGATGGATTACCGTCAAACCAGGTCATATAGCGTTGATAGATTGCCTTGACGTTGTGACTGACTGAGCCGTAGAAGCCTTGTGTATGCCAAGCCGTCTGGAGTTTTGGTGGGAGCGTGAAGTCTTCGGCGATCTCAATACCAGTGAGTCCCTGGTTCATCAAACGGACTGTCTGGTCATGCAAAAAGGCATAGAGGTCCCGTTGCTGAGTGAGATAGGTGCATACCCTCTCTTTTCCCCATGTCGGCCAATGATGCGAAGCGAATGCAACTTCTGTTTTCTCTGAATAAAGTGAGATTGACTCATCCAAGTAAGATGACCACGCAAGCGCATCTCTGACAGCTGCCCCTCGAAGAGTCGAAATATTGTGGAGGCATTGAGTGGCGTTCTCGGCCATGCACATCGTCTGGAATTGAGGGAGGAAGAAGTTCATCTCAGCCGGGGCCTCTGTCCCAGGCGTAACTTGGAAGATTAGTTCCACGCCATCGATAATCTCAGTCTGACCCGTGTGAGTAACATTGATATTTGGTGGGACGATGGTAGTGGTGCCTGAGGAGACAGTTGCACCGAGTCCGGCACTGATCTGGCCCCGGGGACCTTTGGGCAATTCGTTTCCATACATGTATCCAGCTCTGCGAGCCATGGCATTGCCTGCGAAGATGTTTTCACTGACAGCATGCTCGAGGAACCCATGAGGAGCAATTACTGGAACTTGAGTCGCCTCGCTTCTGGATAATATGCCCTCTGCTCCGCCAAAATGATCAGCGTGAGAGTGCGTGTAGAGCATGCCTTTCACGGCTTTGTTGCCACCACGGTTCTTGCGATAAAGCTCAAGGGCAGCCTTTGCACACTCTGCCGAAGTAAGAGGATCGATCACAATGATCCCTTTGGTCCCCTCAATCACCGTCATATTGGAGAGATCGAAGCCTCTGATCTGGTAAATGCCATCAACAACCTTGTAAAGACCTTGTCTGGCAACAAGTTGAGCCTGTCGCCATAATTTCGGGCTGGCAGTTTCTGGGACAGGCTCAGACAGGAAGTTGTAGATCTCATTATCCCAGACGACTCGACCTGAGCCGTCTTTGATGATACATGGATCAAGACGATCAATAAAACCGCGATCTGCGTCCTGAAAGGACTGCACCTCATCAAACGCAGGCTCCATTTTATATTTTCCTGGAATATTTGGAGGGCAGGAACAAATTAAATGGGGGTGATGACATGTGAAGCAGTACTCAGGGTCTATGACGGGTATATCCAGGGAAGAGTGAACTCCACCTGGCATATCCGCAACTCCTAACTTAGAGCACGCAGGGTCGATAATCCAAAAATATTGCATACTTAGCCCTAAAGCGGTTACTCTGCTCACTGAATTGCCTCTACGGGCAAAGTATTGTATTAAATCAGCAGAATCATCAAATCAAATAGAAGAGCAGCCATAAATAAGTCGAGCCATACTCCAACCATAGCAAATCCATGTCTAACCAAGTCAGCTCACGCCATTAGATAATCCATCCGTTCCCATAATGTCCCAATCCCGTCATAGCAACTGTTGATGACCGGCATCCTCGCTGCTAATTACACTTCCAACCTCAGACCAGCTTGCAGGAGTAGCTGCGCCGCCAACCGATCGCCCGCCAAGGTCACTAAGAGTACCATCCGAGGTTTCATCGATGAATCCTCCGATGTGGCTAAATGTTCCAGTTGTAGAGGGGGCAGCCGAGACATCATGGGCAGACTGAGCATCTCCATGACCGAGTCCATCTAAGTCGGCAAGTAGATCATGCTGGTAAGTACTGTTGACTGCAGAATGAGGGTGAGCATAGTACACCTGCTGGAGGTCTTCTGTATGGCTCGAGCCAGAGGAGCCAGAGGTGGATTGGGGTGAGCTGGGCGAGAAAGGGTCAAAGAGACTATCATGATCAAGTGCTTCGGAAGTAGGCGTAAATTGAACAATAGACTCCGACGGATCGTTTGAAGCAGGAGCTGAAGGAATGTCGAGATGCAGCCGATCTCGGTCTATGTTAGAAGAGTCAACCTGGGCCTGTTTATCTCCTCGTCGGAAAGCGCCCGAGGTACCGATATCGACTCCAGTCGAGCTAGCGCCAGCTTCTATGCTGGAATGGGCACCAGAGGCATTGTCTTTAGGTGTGCGCAGGTTGCCATCGCTGTCGACGAGTTTGTCAAAGCTACCAAGAGATTGGTCTGACTGGGCCTTGCGCCGTGATTCCATAAGCGTACTTCGTCGCATAATCTCCGCACGAGCAATTCGTCTGCGTTCTTCGGCGACCTCTCCAACTTCCTCGGTCATAGATATGTCCTCCCTGCTCAACTCTCGTGGTTGGATCTCATCACCGAGGTTGTGCAGAGCTAAGGCAATCTTGCGCCGCGAGGTAGTCACCCATTGCTTAAACTGCGGAGACTCGTATACGGCGATGCCTGCTGCGACGAGAACAGAGACAGTAATTATGATACCTGCTGAGGTTAGTATAGGGCTGATAAGAGTCCGGATGATCCGGAAGGTCAAAAACCAGGAAAGCAGAAGCCTGTACCTTTTGCAAGCGGTGCTGGCATGACGACTCTCAACTATCCCTCAAGTAATCCCACCTGGATAGTGAAGAAGAGAAGAGATGATGGCGCTCTGACGCTCTGATGCTCTGATGCTCTGAAGCCTGCTTATCCTGCCACATGACCCCACCCAGCCCTTATCCTGAAGCCCTCACACACCGCTTTGGGTTCCCCGCGTCGACGTGACTTGAGCTTCTATTCAGCTTCCATTCCAAGCTCAGTTGTTCTTTCACGGCCATGTCTCGACCTTCTCAGGCCCAGCGGCCTTTGTCCCTCACCGAAGAACTCGAGAAGTTGGAACAATCTATCACCCTGACGCTCCAAGGTACGTCAAAACACAAAAAGTAAACAAACAAAGCACTTACCCCGATGTCTTGCAGAGATCGACCACAACTTCAGCCAAGCTCATCGGATTGTTACTACGAGTATTTTACCTCTTGTGGAACAATACACAGAGCATTCCCGGGATGTCTGGGAGGGTTCCAAGGTGAGCAGATCTCCGGAGAGTATATCAACCAGCCTCACATTTACTGACTCCGCCTCAGTTCTGGAAGCAATTCTTCGAAGCTAGTGCCAACGTATCTCTGTCCGGCTACGAGGAACGTAACAATAATGAAGACACCGTGCAGGAGCCTACAGCTACGGAGGAGGAACTGTCCGCCGACATAACCCAGAGCACCAGCCTGGATGAGACGATATCACAAGAGTCGCCCTCTTCTCAGCGCCTTGGCACCCCACGCCATGATCATGGAGGTGATCTGGATCTGACGGATCTTGCAATCTCCTCCCACAGCACTCCACGCGCTCAGACCCAACATCATCCGGCCGATGACGATATCACGACATCCTCCATGGACTACTCCTCATCCTACGAGAACCTGAGGAAACAAGTCAATGAGTCAGAAGCCCCGTTCCATACCCAAGACTCGTCAACTCTCCCATCCACCCCAGGCCGACAGCCATTTTTCCCGCGCGGCGTGTCTGCCAACACCCCGATGTCATCGCCGTTCATCCCCCCTGCGTCTTCCGTTCGCCAGCCAACCACCCAAGACCGTCGATACCAGAAGACTTCAGACCCGGTCCTGCACCAAATGCTCGACAAGACTTACCGAGTGCAAGCTACACCCCTTGGAAAGGGATTCCGTAACGTCGGCGGAGGCACAAATACCCGATCCAAGTTCAACATCACCCCGAAGCCTGCCGAGTCTACCTCCCGATATGGATATGACGACTCCCCGATTTCCAGCCCGGAACCCGAGGTGCCTCAGCTTCACTCGGAGATCTTCTCCTCTCCTATCAAGGGTTTCGATACCCCGGGCACGAACCGCAAGAGACGGACAAGCAGCAATCGCATGCGCGGGATTCCTAAACCTGGCACGAGCGTGTTGACACCTGCCAAGAAGTCTGCAGGCAAGTCGGCCATGTGGGATAGCGATGATGACCTGGATTATGACGATGATGATCTTGGACCCAGTCCGCCAAAGACGATGCAATTTCATATTCCTCAAAGTCGACTCATGAGGACTCCTGGTAAGACATTTTGAGATTCTGTCCTTTTCTGGTATAAAGCTAACTTTATGTTCTAGCCAAGGAAGCTTCTAAGCGCATTGTTACTGATTTGCTCGCTACTGCGGGAGCTGGTGACATTACAGATGACTTTGATGACGATCAGAGCCCAAGCGTGATCCGTCGTATGGAACGGCTGGAGGATGAAACTTTTTAATCTTATTCCCTGAGACATATCTTGGCTAGGATGTCTGTGATTTATCCTGGGGCTCTGGTTTCCTGTTTATTTAATGTTACAATGCCCGTATTAGGCTCCTATACCCATGTCACCATATCATGACCGATATCTACTATACTTATTTCGTGCTACCTGAATTGTACATTGTACAAATCGAGTGAATCAATGGAGCAGAGAATAAGATTCAGAATATAATCTTTAAGAAGTATCATACATGTGGACATTATCAAACAAATGTCACTTTTAAGGCTGCGTGAACCCTTTAGACACGAATAAGAAAACGCCAGAAAGAAATGCGAAACTATGTACAGGCGATGATGACCAAACAATGAGAGGCCACCTGCGCCAGTGTTCTCGAAAATATCACCGCCCCCTCTCGTCATCAATCTTTGTTGTTCAAAGGAGCGTATAAGGCTCCCGAGAGACATAAGTGGAAGAGCGGTGGATAGCGAAGTTCCATGGACCGCAATCAACGAGTGGGAGTAATCAACAATCAGACAGGACCACATCAGAGCAAGTTTAGTTCTTCTTCTCTGACTCGGCGTCCTTCTTCTCATCATCACTGTCATCGGACTTTGACTCTTCCTCGGCGGGCTTGGACTCAGCCTTCTTCTCCTGAGCACCAGGCTTGGCCTGCTGCTTCTCATGGTGCTCATAGAGATCCTGGTGCTTCTTGCTCAAGCGTTGTTCTTCAGCAGCAACCATGTCCTTCCAGAGGTCACTATCTTGGCTACTTGAAGCCGGGTGAGAAGGAGACTCGACCTCTTCAACCTTAGCACCCTTCTGCTTCTTCGAGTCAAGAATACCACGACCACGGCGCTGATCGGAAATCTCAAAAGCAGCCGAAGCACACAGCACACCGAGAGTCAGACCCTGGGCATAGACACGAGCCTGAACAAGCTTCTGCTGTCCGGTAAGACCAGGGTTACGACTGACGAGCACGAACGAGCCAACCATGGAGGCAACCCAGGTGGCGCTGATGATCTTATACTTCTCACGGCGAGCGAAAGCAGCAGCGCGATCGGTGAAGCTGAGGCCGCGAATTTCCTCGGCGCGCAGACGCTCTTCACGGGTATCGTACCATTGGCGCTCGGCGTTGTTCTTGGCTTCGAAATCGCGGGAGGCGTGGTCGGCGGCGATGATTCCGACGAAAGTACCCGATGACGTTACCAGAAAAGACTTCATAGGCACGGTCAGGTTGCGGATTGTGTGGAAGCGGCGCGAGGCCAGGAGGACACCTGCTACACCTCCAGCTAGACCGGTGAGACCGCCGATGGTGCCACCTTTGACGACGGAGCTGGGAGAATTGGTTAGTATGGATTATATTTTGGCAAATGATTGTCGTACCGATAGTGCGCATCTTCTTCTTCCTTAGTTAGGAGCTTCATTGTGCCTGTGTACGATGTGTGAGTGTAGATGAAAAGAGATGAAAGTCGTAAGATATAAGTGGAATTCCGCAAAGGCCGGAATGACGTGTGTGACGGGATCTGCTCTTTTTCCCGGCGATTGGCTCCGGTCGAAGTTCGGCCTCGGATTTGCCGTTCAATTTGATATGGGAGATACCGGACAATATTGTTGGAGAGGCACTTTATTTAGATTTAAGGTGTGAGATTGCTGACAGCTTTGTTGTAATTGGCCTTGGTTTCCTGATATCTGGCTTATGCTGGGGTTGTAGTCAAATCCCTGATCCCCGATCAATCCCGAACGCCCAAACACCGCGAAAAATTCTCGATACATGTGGCCTGAGCCTGGAATATTACAAAGTGAGCATACCGCCCTTACCGGCGAGAGGCTTTCTTAGCTGCCACTTGTCGGGCTTGCATCTTACGGAAACGGTCCTCGCCACTGGCACCTAGGGGGCGCGCAAACTGACTCTCGCGTACGGATGTCTGGCGCGGAACCACGGTGTAGCTGACTTGGGTGCGGTCGACACGAGCACGGTTGGCAAGACGAGGAGGAAGCATCTCACGGGCGCGAGCTTCAGCAGCGACGACCTCGGCTGTGGGAACTGTGCGCTTGACAACCTTCCTATACAACTGTTAGTAAAAGGCGCGCAAACGGTGCATGGCAAGTAACATACGTAGGATCGTAATCGGCCTGCTGGAAGACACGCTTCGAGTAATCATCGCTGCGCTGTAGGATAGGCCGAGTCCATTCTGCCAGCAACTTCTCTGCCACTTCCTTGATGCGGCGCTCGGTGCGCTTGCTCTTGGTGTAGAAGACAATCACTTTTCCGATTCCACTGGCGATAAGAGCATCCTTGTTGATGGGTAGCTTGGTGAGACAGGTCAGTAGGTCGCGCTGGATATTATAGGCAGGCATGGCTCCATCGTCCAAGGGTTCAAGGAAGAACCGCACGGCTTCCAACAGGTTGATTTCGGGATCAACCAAGGCATTGATGTACTGGTTGCGATTGAGGAGCATGGTAACTTCGGGGAGAAGCTTGAGCTTGTGCATGGCGGGCTTTCCTTCTTGGCGACTGATCGCATCCATCTGAGCGGCGTGTGTCATGCGCTTGCGCATTTCCTCGATTTCGGCATCGGCCATAGATTCCAAATCCTTGTATAGTCAGTATGATGAAGGCTAAGGTGGAGTATAGCACATACAATGCCATCTTGCTTGCGGAATCGTCTCTTAGCGGGTTTCTTCATTGCCTGGTCCATAGCACGATCAAGAGCTCGGCGACGTCCTATAAGACATAGGCTGTTAGTATCACCATAGATTGAGCCCAATGGAGAGCCAGTAGCTAGTAATCGGCAAACGTACGGGTCTCCGGATCAAGAGTCTCCTCGTCAGTATCAGGTTGCTCTTCGCGCTTCTTGCGCTCACGTCGGCGGGACGAGCCACCCTCCTCTCCATCCGCATCGGCAGCACGACGGCTCTTCTTCTCCCGACGACCCTCCTTTCGGCGCGGCCGACTCTCATCACCCTCAGTGCGCTTGCGCTTGTGGCGACCAATTAGCTTCAGGTTTTCCTCGTCGATAGCAAGCTGTGGGCGGTCTTCAACGTCCACGTTCTCGGGGTCGAAGTTCTCGAATTGTGCCTCGTCGACCTCGGACAGGATCGACTCGTCGTCTGAAAGCTTCTCATCGTCATCTTCGTCGTCTCCGCTTTGCTCGACAGGATCCTCCGCATTGTCCTCAAATTCAGCAGCAGGTTCCGCCGGTCTGGCATCCACTTCGTCGTCACCGGCAATCGGGGATGCGACTTTCTCGGGAACTTCGCGTTCGGGGGAAGCAGCGGACACAGCCGCTTGGTGCTCAGGGGAGGCGGACATTGTGGTATGAAAGGTTGCAAAGGTGAGAGTTCAGTTAGGGGATGTATCGTGACCCAAGTCACGGTACGTTGTCCGATCTCAACGCCTTGCTGTAGGGGCGCGAAAATCCGAGAGCGATATTATGTGGTGAGAAATATCGATATATGAAGAAGAAAACAGCAATACGCACGAAGATCGAGATAGAAGTGAAGAATAGAGAGGGGTGGCAGTCAAGTGTGAAGGCAAAAGAGAAGATGAGATGGTCTGTGCTCCCGTGATTTCTTTCTCCTGCGCAACTCTCAACTCATCACCTCAACATCTACTCTTCCACATCTTCTCCCATCTCTATTCATAATGTTTGCCCCAGGTATGCTTGATCTCTGTCTTTCAAGCTACAGTTTAACTAACATATCTTAAGGTCAAGAACAGATCTCCAAGGAAGATATCAAGGTTAGCACATCGTGAGATCGGTCCTGGACGATATTAACATATTTTACAGGCTGGTGAGATTGAGGCCAGCCAGACTGTCCAGATGGTTCTCGCCGGTGGTTTCCTCCTCTACCTGTGTAAGTCGAGCCTCCGAGTCCACCCGTGGACGTCACTGAAGTTTCTGAGCAAACAGCCTGAGAGAACATAAAAAGACACATGTTGATGAGTGCCCTGGAACTAACATACTTGTCAAATAATAGCTCCCTTCGCCGTCGACTTCGTCCGCAAGTTCCTCTAAGCGGTTGATCCGTCGCCCTTCGTTTCTCCCCCGAGCTGGCTCAATCCCTGGCTATGATTTCGCGCGGTCACCTTGAGTGAGATGAAGGTTTTCTCCCAACGTGGCGATATTCCAAGTTGGTTATGATGGACCACATATGTCTAAACTATGGATAGCTCTGGCTCATCAATACCTTTGGATTTGGTTTGCAGTTGGGACTTGTATTACTATTTTACATGCTTGGTGTTTTCTGTGTTTTGTCGGATATAGAACAAACTAGAAATTGCAAGATAATTTTTCATGGGAAAGGGGTTGGCAAGAAGGTATGGCAAATGAGATCGTATTCAAGTATGCATTACAATGGTCCGGTCCCCTAGAACGCCAGTACTCCCATAACCGTCAAGATGAATAGAAACAGATGAACTTGAGACTTGAATGGCAGCTGAGCTGAAAGAAAGTAATCAGTTTCCGTTCGCGCTCTTCGCTTCTTCAAAGTCCTTCTTGATAGACTCCATTTCCTTCTGGAGATGCTGAATCTGGGAGTGGTAGTCATCGAGAATCTAAGATAGTCAGTAGGCGGTTTCAATAGCATGCACATGAGGTAACGAACCTTCTTCGCTGTCTTCAAAGTCTGCTCATCGATATCGTCTTCAGCGGGTGTCACGCTCACGCCAGCACGATCCAACTCCGCCTGCAGTCGCTTGGAGTGCTCATGAATGGCCAGCATACGGGCCCAGATCTCTTCGGCACGACCATTGATCGACGGGTCAAAGACAGAACGTTCCAGCTGGGTCAGCTTCTTCTTCAGCTCCTCTTCTGCCTCATCCATGGCGTAGCCTCGGTTGCGGAGGATCTGTGTCTTGGCAGCAAGGGCGAGGCACCGTTTGCTGAGAATAATATGCTTCCGACGGGCGTCGGCGATCTTAATGGACAGGTTGAGGTCATGCTTCGCAAGAAGCTCAGTCAGGCAGTTGTTGATCTCATGCAGGCGCGATTGCATCATGGTAAGGAAGTCTCTTTGTCGCTGGGCGCGCTTGCCGAGCTCCCAGAAGCCCTTCACAAGTACAGGGACATACCCCGGACCGGGGCGCTTGCGCAAAGCTTCCTCCCACTTTGTATGATCATCCTCGGGGCCCGGTTGGTAGAAAGGTGCGGCCTCCTCGCCGACATTGTTATAGAGATATGCTCGGAATGGCGAGGATTGACTGGGGGGATCCCACTTGTCCTTGACAATTGCGATCTGCATGGGAACGGTCCGGTGCACTAGTTGAATGGATTAGTATCTGCCATGGGGGTAAAGAGTAGAAAATGCTCACCTCCGGTGATCGCACGGCCGGGAGACCATAGGCTTGATGACAGAGGAGGCTGCTGTTGCTGGCCCTGTGGAGTAGCCATGGTAGTTTGGCCGAATTGCGATTGCTGTGGTTGCTGCGCTTGTTGCTGCTGGTTGCCCAGGAGCGATCCACCTCCGAGGCCAGTTGCCTGTTGAGTGTTGCCACCAAAGAGAGAGCCTTGTGGTTTCTGTCCAAGCGACGTTCCGAATACGCTGCTCTGTTGCTGCGGCTGTTGCTGCTGCTGCGGCTGCCCGAAGGTACTTCCGCCAAGTAGGCTGTTCTGGGGCTTCTGTACATTCCCGAACAAGCCTCCTGATTGTTGTGTCTGAGGTGTAGTACTGGCGCCGAATGTTGAACCGCCGAGCGATCCTTGCTGCTGATTCTGTTGCCCGAACATTCCCGTAGCGGTGGATTGGGCACCGGTTGTCGTACCACCGAAGGGTGACTTGTTCGCAGTGTTGCCAAACAGGCTACTGCCGGTGTTCTGGGCGGGCGCTCCGAAGAGAGAAGTCATGGTGGGCAATTGAAAGGCGCGATCTGGTTCCGCAAAAAAAAAGTATGGGCTGAAGCGAGCGCGTTGAGAGGGCGTTGATGGACGAGCGGAATGGAACTAACAGGACTGAAGGGGAAAAGCGACAGATCCAGGTCGCATAGCCCGGGGAATGAAAGTTGAAAGTAGAAAGCTGAGGGGGAGCTGTCCGAGAAAGAAGAGCGCCGGAGCTCGATTTGTTTGGGTCACGTGATTGGGCAACCAGCGAATTTCTATTTAACGCAATTCTGACTGGAGAACAAAGGGCAGTTTATAGACAACAATTGATCGTATTTGCCCGCTGAATCGTCTCAATTGTTTTTGTTCTTTTGTGAATATATATCACGTGACTATATCCCCTCGGCCAATCAGCGCCAAGCCAAAAACCGACCTTTCCGCAACCCGCAGCTCTCTCGATCTCCAAGTCTTGCAATTGCACCTTCCCCTCATATCAACCGTCACCATGGCTCAGAGAGATCCTCGGTATGCACCTGGCCTTACTTCCCTAGGTCAAAACAAAGCTAACTTCCCCCTCCCACAGCTTCAACCAGCATGTCCTGGTGGACACCACACCCATGCCCGACCACATCCCCAAGGTGGAGGAGATTGGTGCCACATCTGCACCCCTCCACAGCGCAGCGTTCTACATCGGTGACCGGTGCCGTGCCTTCAATGACGATTATATGAAGTGCAAGGACGAGGCAAACGGCCGCGGGGAGATTGATTGCTTGAAGGAGGGTCGCAAGGTTACGCGCTGTGCCGCTAGCGTGTAAGTGTTGCTTTTACAAATTGGTGTAAGGAGAGAAATTGACCGTCACAGTCTCAAGGATATCAACACCCACTGCCTGGATCAGTTCAAGGCCCACTGGGAGTGCCTCGAGAACAACAACCACCACCTGTGGGAGTGCCGCAAGGCTGAGATGAACCTCAGCAAGTGTGTTTTCGACAAATTGGTATGCACCCATTGACCAATGCAATTATTTTGCATTCATGAGATTTTCCGCGGCTCAGCTAACAAATACATCTTTCTAGGGCCTGAAGAAGACCCTCCCTGGTGCGCCCGAGGGCCAGGTCCCCGTTCATCTGCGCCCCAAGCAGAAGTACGCTCAGTACACTGGACCGCAGTACTAAAGCATTGCGATTTATTTTGTCCCATTTAGACCCGCCCTGACTACTCTCGTGCCCTCTTCTTCCCCCGCTATATGGGCTCCGTCTTATTTTTTTATCCCTGTTTTATTTGGATGCTCGACTGTCAATCCGGTGTATGTTTGTGTAAATATCTATTGGCATCAGGAATGGTTAAATGATTTTCTGCTCAATATTCTCCTATGGGGTATATCTCTTCCTTGCCTTGGTGCATAAGATCATAATCTTCAAGATATTCGCAGGCATCTGCTGAGTGCTCCGTTAACGCGTTAAACCCTGATTCATGCCCTGCTGGCTTGATATATAATCGGTTTGATACACAGGCACATAGGGAAGTCGAAGCCAACACGTGAACTGAATTTGAGCTTCGGCCTCGACCACATGAGATGAATGAGCAGTTTCATGCATTCTCAAGTACCGTCTATTCGTCTACCACCCACACGCTGCACCAGTCAATGGCTGCATCTATTGACATACATTCCTGTTGCCTTGAACCAAGGATGAACCCAACTCCAGCTAGACAGCATCGTACACACCCAGACAAGCCAACCAAGAATGAAAAGGAATAAGAAATCCCGAACCTCAATTGAAACCCATATATACTGGACAAGAAATAGACACAAGAAAAGTAAGTAAGGACAAGAACTCCAACACGGGGGATGTAATGCAAAGAAGAAAACGGATATAAACCCAAATATTCAAGGCAAGATAGGCATATCAACCCTCTTAAGCTTCAGCTTCGCCAGCCGAACCTTCAATGCAGCCCAGCCAGTCTTAAGCCGAGCCTCAACACGACGATCACCACGCAACCGCATCCAAATCAACAACATGCCGAGCATAGCCAGATCCCACAGAATCTGCCGCACAGCAATCCACAGCATCCACTTGACCCAAGCCCACAGACCCGATCGCCTGCGCTGAGCAACAGAACGCGCCTCCATCTGCTCGCGCACGGCAGCAATCTCAGCCGTCATTTTCGTTAAGGCCTGCTCGACTCGACGGCGCCAGCGGCTATTCCGAGGATTGACAGGGTCACCTCGGGACTGGGAGTCTCGACGGTGAAGACCACTGCTGCCTATGCTTATTGCAGAGGCATGTTTGCGATGTCGATGTGAGGCGTCGGCATCAGTATTAGTATTGGTATTGGTGCTGGCATGATCGGGTTCTTGATCTGGGTCTTGGTCTTCATACAAGCTATCGCGGGCTTCTTCGTACTCTTCATCTTCCTCGTCATCGTCATTAGGATCCTGACCTTCATCGTCTATAGGCCTCCGTCGATAATATTCCTCTTCCTCGGGCTGGCTAACGGGACTGAGAACCCGTAAACGGGAATCCCGATCTCGATGGGTGGTAATATCACCCCTCCGATCAGGACGTTCAAAGTCCTCAGTTGACTGCGCCAACCGACTCCCTATACTCCCATAAGCACTGCGCGATAAGGGCGGAACGCCAACGGTGTTAAGCGGACTAGAAGAAGACGAAGAAGCGGTATTGAACTTGATCTGATCCCAGACAAACTCAAGCTCAGAAACGAGTTCGCGCGCTTCGGGCGTTTGCGATGCGTACTGGTGCATTGTATCGATCAAGGTGGAGATGTAGCGGCGTTTGGCTTCGGTGCGCGACATGTCGCGCTGAGCGTACCATGCATCCCTGCCAGAAACGAACCCATAGTCAGCGATTGATCAAGCATCAACGGTATAAGTGTAGACTAAGCATGCGACATACCACTTCTCACACTCAGAATGTACCTCGGGAGTATTCCCAATCGGACGATCCATTACACCCTCGACATCCCCCTCTGTCAGCGATTAGCCCTGTACCGCGTCCCCCGTATCTCAGTTCTCCAGTGTAGACTCACCCATGCTCTGCTTGTACAAGCCATAGAGCTTCAAGCGCTCGGCGGCGGGAGGGCGCGCGGTCCCCGTCCGGGGAATCCGCTTAACGGTATTGAGGGCATGGACGAAGACGCGGTCTGCAGAGAGTAACGTGTCAGTATACGAGACTGCAAGGAGGATGTGCAGGTGTCACGCACCTACAGAGTCCGACATGGCGCGATAAGAAGTCCGTTGCCTGTCATGGAAGCGGGGATCATCGGCTTGACCTCATGAGAGCAGTCGAGTGTAATTCGAGTGAATTCGAGTATAGAATAGAATATATTGGAAGTTGGGCAAGGGGGAGAATGGGGATGTGTTTCCCTTTTCCCCTGGGAGATGTTCCGATAAGTTCCTCGGAACGTAGCTTTCCCCGGATTGATGACTGTGGGCTGGACTGTTGGCTGTTCTAGTATAGCGGTATAGGTATTCACGTCTTCAAGTCTCCACGTAGTCGAGTTCTCGTCTGTCTATGATATTAGGGGAGCCGAGAAGTGGCGTGTTTGATTTGGACCGCGGCTCTCGGGGCGATCGTCAGGTACTTGTGATTGTCCGAGTATGCGCTACACGATCTGTGCGAAATTAAGTAAAAAAATAATTGTTTAAGATGTGTTAATATATGTTAATGTACAAAATGAGTATCTACTCGCTAGGCATCTTCTTCACCTCTTCCATGGCCTGTTCCGTATCTAACGCCGTCCCAGTCATAAGATCTGTAGCTGCGCGTGCCTCCTCACTGCTTACTGGTGGGCCAGTGAAATGTTTCCGCGCGTAGATAAAGTACCAAAAGATACTGATGCTCGCAAATGCCGCAAAGACAACGCTGGCATAGTTCATCGACTCGGGGGTGACGGGCAGAGTGACAGGCATACAGAAGAGAGCGACCGCCAGAACAATCCAAGCAATGGTAATGCCATTGATCGCATATCCAAAGCGACCCAGAGAATAAGAAGAGCCCTTCACATCCTGTCGTCCTCGGATCATGGAAATGAGAATGGGCAGTCCATAGGAAGTGGAAAGACAAATGGTAGCGACACCGGTGAAAGAGTTGAATGCCGCAGTCGAGCCGAAATAGATCAATCCTAGGAGACCATCCACTGTCGCAGACAGGATCACCGCCCATACAGGCACATCTAGCGTGGGGTTGACCTTGCGCCAAAGCTTGAAGCCAGGGATGGCCCCGTCGCGTGCGAACGCATAGGTACAGCGACTGGCAGCTGTCAGGGACCCAATGCCTGCAAACAGCATGATCCCCAGGACCAGGAAGAGCAGACCAAAGCCACCTCCAGCGGATCCTGTCACCGTCTTGAAGAGCAGGCCAATGGGTTGGCCGCTCGCCACATTCCGTAGCATCTCCACATTGGGCATGACGAACAGGATCGGGATCAAATAGAGGAGACCAGTAATTCCAGCGGCCACGACCGACAGTACGATAGCCTTGGGCACCTCACGGTGTGGGTTCTGGACCTCTTCGCACATCGCCGCGACCATGCCGTATCCGGTCAAGGTGTATGCTGCCTGCAGCAACCCGACACAGAACGCCCATCCCGAAGGCCAGCCACTTGTGGAAGCATCAAAGTGACCAAAGACAAATTCGCCGTCGCGACGGTCATCGGCCATAGTCAACAGTGTGATCATAATGATGATGACACTGGCAGCAGTCCAAAAGATACAGATCTTATTGATGAGATCCAACCACCGCGAGAGGAAGATGTTAACCAAGGCACAGAACAGCATGACCGCCCAGAACATCAGGACCGTCTGCCAGGCATTGGCGACAAAGGTTTCATCAAAAATCGAGATAGCACTGAGAATCAACTGGCCCCCGGAGAAAATGATACTGAGCGTCACAGTCCAATTCCCGACCAGAGTCAACCAACCATCAATAAATGACATCAGCGGTGCCCAGCGACGAGTCGACAACATCGCACTCCAATAGTAGACACCGCCAGCCGTGGGGTAGACGGCACAGATCTCAGCAAGGGAAGCGGCGATAGCGATGGAGATGAGGGTGACGAATACCCAGCCCCAGATGATAGTCACGGATAGACCGTCCGCGAGGGTGATATAGAGGGTCGTACTGAGACCGAAGGGCGCGGCCATAATGGCAAAGGAGAGACCGAGGATGCTCATCATGCTTAGGTTTCGGGGTAGTTCGCTCTTGTAGCCCATACGGGCCAGCGCCTCGTCGGCGGTGGCATCTAGTGAGCTGCGCATTGTGTATAGTGTGTGGTTGTTGCATGTAGAAGGTCTAGAAGATAGAGGGAATGATATATAAGAGTCTCACGACGAACCCCCGCATTTGGATGGCGCGGTCCGGGACCGCGGTCAAATTGAGTTGCAAGTTGGAGATAAGGGCGAATAAGAGTCTCGGGGAAGTTAGGCAGGACTTATAAGGTTAACAGCACACTAAAAGCTAACCTGGCTTATCATTTTCCGGCGAATGTCTTACCTGACCTAATGATAAGACCTGGAGTCGACCCACTCCGGGGCGAAGTTGTTAAGCCAACTTGGATCCAACTTAGAATTTAGTGTTTGAATTACTATGTTATCAGATAGCATTCCAGTCTACCGATGATAGGCCACGTGGATCGACATCCTGACCTTCTAGAACTTACACTTGTTCCACGATCCTAGGGCGTGTCACCCTCAACTATAAGTCCTATATATGCGGAGATAGCGAAATCGGGCAACGCAGAACAAAAGAGCAAGATCTCGCTCTTCAACCCTGTACCCAGGCATGGGAATGCGGAGAGTCTCCGTGGCGGAACCACTTTGACATCATATCGCGATCGGCAGACCCATAAGCTAACAAGCTAACAAGGCGCGGTAAAAGGAGCCAAAGCTTAAATGCAGAGACCAAGAAACCCATGTCGGCAAGGGGTTGAAAGATACGGCATTAAATAAGGCGATACGCATAGTTATATGTATGTTTCAGGTGAGAATGTGGATTCCATATGCCAAGGGTCCATGGCTGCCCCATGATAAGGATCCTCGGAATACTTATAGCCCTGACTGTTCACCCTAGACTGCTTCCATTCTCAATCCCTGAACCTGCTACAGTATTTATATCCCATGTGCTTCCATGCATCTTCTCAATGAAGATAGGATCTTCGAATCATAGGGCTTGGGAGCTGCATGATGAAACAGCGCTTCTCCGTACGTACTTCCAGACCGCGGTAAAATAGACATCAATTTATATTGCTTTCTGAATAAATCAACACACTCTCGCCTGTGTCTGACATGGTGAAAAGAACGAGAGAGGAAGAAAAAGCCAGGTTGAAGTTTTTCAGGGTTGACCTGGTCACGTCCCCACCTGATTAGAAATCACCTTGGTTGCCCAAGTAGGAAACTGAACTCATTGAAAGGAAGGTCCAACCTGAGTGTAGTGAGGTATAGATATCATAATTAAAAATCAACGGAGGAATTGAGCTGTACAGGATTACAAACATGATGTAAAACTCTCCGACCCAAGTATAAAACGCCTCGCGTATTCACAAGGGAACAGGAGTACATTCGTCAGCCATCTCAAAGCTCATCAATATGTCTCAGACTCGGATCTTGTTGACTGGAGCAACCGGTTATATGTGAGTGTGCAAAAGTTGTCATAAGCGTCCATGGCTAAAGGTCAAACAACAGCGGTGGATCCGTTCTCGCAACACTGAAAAGTAGTCAGCACGAGAACATTCAGAATGCCCAAATTGATGTCCTGCTTCGTGGGGAGGAGCGAGGTACCTTATTCGAATCTTTTGGTGTTCAAGTCATTCCATTCCAAAGCCTGGACGAGACAGACTTTATCAGAAAGCTGTCAAGCGACTATGATGGTATAGACACCTCTTCGTGAATCAATTGACTTGTATGCAGGTAATTGACATCTCTGCAGTCATTATCAACGCCGCATCGGCGTTCCATACCGAGTCAGCCAAAGCCATGATCTCAGGACTTGGTGATAGACAATCCAAGACAGGCCAGAAGACCCATTTCATCCATGTACATCAAGCACACCTATACAGCGTGACCACCCACTAAGCAGTTACTATAGACATCCGGAACATCTAGCATCGGCGATCATCCCATCAGCAAAACCTACATCGAGACCAACGAACTCCACGACGACGAGAACATCTACGAATACCAAAGAACACGCGAAGCCAACGAAGCCTACAAACAACGAACAACCGACCTCGCAGTCTTTAACACCGGACTCGAAACCGGCGTCAAAACAACCATAATAATGGCCCCAACAATCTTCGGCACTGGCACAGGCCCAGTAAACAAACTTTCAATCCAAATCCCAACCCTAATCCGACGCTCTCTGGAGTACAACCAGGCAGTGGTGATCGGCGATGGAGCAGGTGAATGGGATCATATCCATATATCCGATCTAACCTCGCTCTTTGAGCTAGTCTTGTTCAAGGTCCTGAATGGGGAAGATGTTCCATTTGGGAAAGAGGGCGTATTATTTGCTGAAACAGGCCGGCACACTTGGCTTGACATCTCGAAGGCCATTGCATCAGTAGGACAGGAATTGAAAGCCCTTGACACAGAAGGTGTCCGCATTGTCTCGTTGGAGGAAGCAACAGCCTGGTCTGCGAATGGGAGTCGGCAAGTGAGGGAGTTGGGATTTGCTTCGAAGTAAGAAGAAACTAGACCTCTTGTGATTGCGGTTATGCTGACTGGTTTAGTGCTCGATCGAGGGCAATTCGTGGCAGAGCGTTGGGTTGGACGCCGCTGAGGGAAGGGCAGTGGAAGAATGCAGTCGAGGAGGATTTCAGGGCCATTTTGAAAGAACGTAAATGAGCGTCTGAGGTATGGAGCTGGCAGCTTACCTGCATGACGTGTGGCTTGTTCCATTTTTTTTTTTTTTTGTTCTTGGTTGAGTATTGCTGTTTCTAGAAAGATTGATTTCATGTTTGTATCCTTGTGTAGTCTTTGTTGATTTAAGGAATATGTAATAGCAAGCTACAAGGACTACTGTTAAGGCCTTATGGAACATGGATTTTTTTTTTTTTTTTTTTTTAATATTCCATTGCACACATACATCAAGGTCACACAAGGTGACGGCTGCCACATCAGGAACATGCTGCAAACACTCGTATAAGAGGCGAGCAATCGATGAGCGCCAGGATGAATATCGACATAGAAGGGGAAGGGGAAAGGGAAAAGGAAAGGGAAAGGGAAAAACACATTTCCGGAGATCCACGAAGATTCGATCCAGATCCACACACTTCCGTAGGGGTAAGGGGGGTATCAAAGGGGATAAAACACAAATGTGATCCAGTAATCTGGGAAGAAAAGAAATTTTTTTCTGTTTCAGATATCTAGACACGAGGGATGGGCGAAAGTAGGCCCAGGATGTTGAAGGGGAGGGCCGAGAGGGTTTTTCGGTCACAAAGAACCGTGCAAGTCGAACTCCGTCTATGTGACCACTCCCAGTAGCCGGATCGCAGATTCGCGTGCAAAAAGAATGTGTGAAATGAGAACGCTGAGTCGTGACCAGCCAGCTAGTGCCAACTCCAAATCATAAAGAAACATGACCCGTAACGTATCGTTGAGGTCGGGGAAAATCAAGAAAACGCCCATTCATGCAGTCGTCAGTCCAGTGAAGTCGTTACATGGAGATGCAAGTACAGTCGCAGTGGGAAGCAAACGCAGGTCAAAAAAGTCAGTGACGAGAGGGACACGACACCTATGGGCTGAGCGGGAGATCATCAGCTCCATCCGGGCCGAACCCAGCCATATCGACGGAGTGAAGGGATCCTGGCCCCTTGCCCAGGGAGATGTCGGAAGAAGCATAGTCGTGCTTGAGTCGTTCATGCGGCCCGAAGATGTGTGGCCCAAAGAACGGTCGATTCTCGTCATTGGGAGTGTTGCCATCCCCGGCGACCCACGGCCCGTTCTGCCAGAAGCGTGTGTTGGCTTGTTGGTCTCCGAAGAGATCGTGGTGATCAGGGTGTGGGTCGGGTCCATGCATGGGGAACTCATTTGGCGACTGGAATCGGAGATGCGACCGGCCGAAACTGGAGCATGGGGAATCTGCGTGAAGCGGCATGTCGAGACCTGAAAGTAGAGGGGGATCCTCCACCGGGGTAATGTCAATAGTCGGATTTTCCGTTTGTTGAGCCAAAGCCGCCGACAGCCGGAGATTCGAGGCTGAACTATGCCGGCTGTGACTGGCCGACCGCTCGATTGCACGCTGCACAAAGCTACCACAGTTCTTTAGGATTTTTTCCTGGGCCTCCTGTGGCAGACTATTGAAAAAGTCATTCGCCAGGGACTCCTTGGGCGATTCATCAGCCGCAGGAATCAACCCGTATGTAGACTTGGCATATTCGGAGAGACCGGACGGCATGTTGTAGGGCGATTGGTAGACATTCGGAGCGGTGGATCGTTGCTGGTCGAGGTAGGCATATTTTCCGGGCATCTTCGCTGCCGCCACGCTACCTCGATCCACGGTCTCTTGCTTGATGTTTTCTGACTCTTTCTTTTGAATCACATCCAGTCGCTCACGGTGACTCACCAGCGAGAACCGCAACATCTGAAGGAGCCGAGTGACCTCTTCCGACCGCATGTTGAGGGTCTGAGGTGGCAGCAAGGTTCCGTCAGCGGCTCGTGGCTGTACCCGTTGCTGGGCCATGGCTAGTTCCAGCTTCTCCAGGCCATTGACCGGTGGTATTGAGCCCATCGGACCCAACAGGGTCTCAACTACCAATTCGGGACTGACGATGTCGTATCCAGCAAAAACATTGGCGTGGTCAGTTATTTGAGCGAGGCGGCGACGAGCTATGAGTTCCCGGACATTGGCAAAAGTATTGGTGGATGGGAGGTGATGCTGCTGCTGAGCGTGCGATTTGGCGACCGAGGGGTAGGGGGCATGACGGGCAGACTGATTGGGTAGTGTTCGAAAGGCCGACGGCATCGCAGGAGCTCCAGCAGCAGCAGCACCGGCAAGGATACGGGGAGGGGGAGGGGCAAGGTGCTGCAGGGAGGCGGAAGGACGGGTGACATTCAAGAGACGTTGTTGTTGGGCGTAAAGATTTTGCTGGTAGGGAGGGGCAGGGGTAGCATAATGAAACTGGTGGTGGGGTGAGATCTTCGATGCACGAGCGCTGACACCAGCCACGCCAAGCGACTTGACGCTGTCCAGGAAATTGGCCTGCGGGTTGTGGATGGGCACGCTAGGGTTGTGTGTATACTGTGCCCTACTCTCGGTGGACTTGGTGCCCAAGTAATGCCACACCTGCTCAACTCTCACCGGCCGGAGTGGGGCGAAATAGTTCCTAGTCGCATCCACCGTCTCGAATTCGGCCCACTGATAGGGAGATCGTGCATCGCCAAATGCACTGCCTGCCGCGGGCACCGCTGACTCTAACTCTTTTCGTTCGGGCTTGCGCGCTAGGTGGACCGGGAGGGGTTTGATTCCCAGTGCGAGCGGTACGAAGTTAGACTTGCGAACCACCAGCATCCACCGGTAAGGCATTTCAATCACATCGCTGCAGGGTTGTTAGCATCGGGAGAATATGGAAAATGAAGACCTCCAGTCCTGGAAGGCTCGGGGAATAGATGACGCACCCTCGGGGAAGTACTTTGAGCAACAAGCTCCGCTCTTCGGGTCGATTTTCAAGCACAATGGCGCCATTAATTTCCTTGTCAGCCTGAAACTGGACCAAACTTCCTTGCGACTGATGACGGGCCTCTTCAATCACACGGCGATCCAAATCCGAGGATTCTCCCAGGACTCCGTTCGGTCGCTTCTGGCGATGGAATTTGCATTTCAAATCAACACTGGGAACTGAGTATTGACTGCCATCGTCGGCAATGACCGCAATCGCACCGAATTCGACCTGCACGCCAGCCAACAGGGCACAGGTCGCATGATAGGCGCGTGTGCATTTGCCGAAATTGCACTGGAAGCAAGCGCCGAAGACTTCGCGGCAAAAGAGACACTTCAGACCCAAGCGAGCCTTGGGGATCTTGTCAATATCACACACAACCTCTGTACCGGACGCATCGCGAAGGATTGTAGTCTCCTCGACGAACAACGCGCACCGTCGGTGTGCGTGGCCTTTGCCATCCTCGGTCGGCAGCAGATCCTCATAGTCCAGATTGTTAGGGCACAGCAGACACGGGAGCTTCCGCGGACCATTGGTGTGGAGTTTGGATCGTTTGGTCCTCGGCCCGTCATCCGGGTTTTTCCGCTTTCGGCCACGGGAGGGATTCTCAGGAACACTGCGAGGCGGCGTGAGAATATCGGAAGCAGCTTCGAACCCATCGAACTCGCTCTCGTATTCAGCGTAGTATTCAGGGGTGCTCTCGCCACGCATTTTGCGCTCAATCTCATCCACGTCGATCCAGACACTGTCTGACTCGCAGTTGCATTTCTTGGCGATGCGAGCATAGTCTAACCACTGCTCAGTCGCAAAGTTGACCGACTCGGCGCAATTGTATCCGATGTTGTATCCAGAGTGGTAGCCGTAAGGGAAGGTGATGACAAACTCCCCTTCATAGTGGACCAACCGGTTGACAGTGATGCCGTACTGGGACTTGAGAAGGCTAGGCGAGACGAGATAGGTCTTGTGGCGAAGGAATTGATCACAGTTCTTTGCATCACTGGACCAAATACTGCGCATTGCTTGTTCAAAGCGAGGTGCATCTTCCTGGGAAATGCTGTACCATTGCTTTGGGGCACCAAAGTGGATGTAGTTGATACTGTAGAGATCCACATCCTCGAGATGCCAAGCAAATGTGGCCTTCCACATGCCCAGGTAGAGGTAAGCAGTGTTGACCCCAGGGACTTTTTGGCCAAGAACGTCGAGCAGATTGGGCAACTTGGCAACGTTCCAAGAGGTCGTACTATCCTCGAAGAGCGAACCAGGCATGTCGGCACCGTACATCGGGTTGTTGTACATGAGTGACTTCCAGTAGTTGGTTTCTAATTCCTCGCATCGCTCCGCGGTGTAGTCCTCGTTGTCATGGATTCGATAATCAAAGCTCTTGAACGCCTCCTCGTCGACTTGATCCATGGCTTCCCCACGGTTGTTCTTTCGGCGTGACGACACAGACTTGGGCTGTCGTCCCTTTGGCTTGGTGGTAGGGAGCGACTCGCCTTCACTCAAGTCCTCGCTCTTGGTCTCCACCGGGTTGGTCTCTGGTGACTCGGGCGTCGGTGGTCCTTCGAGTTTGGATTTGTCGACGTCATCAGTAGACTCCTCCTTGATTTTGACCTGATTTGTCCGCTTTGGAGGGCGCCCAGGGCGGCGCTTCTGGCCCTCGGGGCGAGTGGATTGGGGACGTGGGGTGGGAGCTGAACGATTCACTGGTTCCTGGTTGCGGCGTCGCTCTCCTCTGCGAGCAGGGGGCTGGTGGCTGCTCTCTTCGCATAGGCCTTTCCACTGAGGAAGGTTGTACGAGCGCTGTCGTTCAATGTTCGCTTGAGTGTATGTACCGTGGGATCCGTGGAATTCCTGCATGATGGGGTTCTTCACCCGAATGTTCTTGACCGCATCATCCAACGGTGGAAGTGACTCGGACCTTTTGAGGAAGCATAAGCACAAGCACCCTCGAGAGCACAATTCAATCAACTCACCATTCTTTTGGAGGAACCACTTTCACGATTCCTGCCTGCATTCCGTATTTATCGATCTTTTTGATGAAGGCCTGAAAGTCTCTAAATTGGTCCATGGTCTAACGTACCTCCGTCAGTCTGTTTCTTAATAATGCGCAGTATCTCCACGGCATAGAATGCGGAACGTGTAGTGCACTCACCGGCTTGAAAACGGGAATCTTGCCGCCGCCATAGTAATGATCGGGTTCAATGTCTTCCACTTCTTCCTCCTTGTCATCGGCTGTCTCAGGCGCCGGGGCGGCTTTGTGATCCAGCTCGAGGTCTGATAGCTCGGAAGGTACGCCTTCAGGTGCCATGGTTTTGCCGTTGGCGCTCTGCGGCGGAGTGATTGAAGCAGAGTCGGCCGCAGGGGCGCCGGCGAGGGGGTCGCAGTGCAACTGGTCGATTGTCGCAGCCATCATCGCGGGCGATGAAGGCAGGTTGGGGAGTCTATTCAGGAGTTGGTGGGCGCCGTCGTCGGATGACCGCTGATCGACGGCGAGGTGGAAGTGTTTCCCAGCGGTCGGGGGAAGCGGAACAAATAGGTGTGGCAAATGGAAAGGAGTATATCGAGATCAGAAGAAATCACCAGTGTCGGAGTGTAAGGACACACTAGGCGTATGTAGGATGTAGGTCGATTGCGATAAGCTTTTCGGATAGTTCGAATTTCCTGAAGCCGAGCAAATAAATCAAAGGCGGGATAGAGAAGGGAAGACAAAGGTCCCAGCAGACCAAGTCTTCTGGAAAGAAGAGGTAGCAATAGAGTGGGCCAATGCAGGTGCCGGGACTGCAAGATGGTCTGATACTGAAAGGAGGTAGGGGCAGGTGGGCACAGGGCGAGGAATGATGGGTTTGAGATTCGACAAATCAGAGGGAAGAAAAGGGCAAGGGTGGAAATGGTCCAGAGAAGTGTACTTTAGCCCGACTTGTATGTCCTGTGTCGGATAAAAGGACTGTTGGGTTCTCAAGGACCTGGTCAAACCAAATGCACATAGAAAGCAAAGATCTTACCGAGGTGCTCATGCAGTTGACGTGGATCAAAAAGAAACTCGATTATCAGGAGAGCTCCATCCAGTCACATCACGTGCTGTCATGTGACCAGTACCTTTTCCGTGAATATCCTCTGCCTAGGTGAGGTGGGTTGTTTGGTTGCGCAATTGGTAAGTTATTCTGCTTTGTCTATACATATAAATCATTTGAATAAGCTACATCCACAGTAGGAAATACATGTAGAGAGAAAGTCATGACACGGCTCACGCAATCTCGGATACGGCGGCCCGACGAACAACCCCTTGATCAGATCAGCTTCAGGGTCCAAGCACTATACCTGGGCATGTTTACAACTTGACAATTGACTACAATTATATATGTTAAGTTACGTTACTACCGAGTATAAACAGAAAATGGAACACGAAACTGTTACAAATCCCAACATTCCAGGCCGAGATCGCTCTGCAGATCTGTGGATGCGCATCTAATCTTAGCGGCGTTTGGACCATTTCATCATTTATGTTTATAGATGTGGATGTCTAGCTAACTTCACTCTATTGCTTCCACTCGTCGAACAACTTGTCATCCAACGTAGTATACCCATCCACAACCTTTAATCCCCGCTGCCTTTCCTGGTCGATGCGCTCCCACGTCCATTCCTCCGAGCTCCACAGGTCGGTATTCTCTTTCTGCTGCTTCTCGAGGCTTTCCTGGCCGGGGATCTGGTCCTCGCTAAGCTTCAGTACTTCCCGAACTAGCGACCCATCCACCCCCGTTGCAGTGATACCTTCAGTACTACCAGGGGTATCAACGCCGGAAGCTTCGGCGGAAGAGTCAGCTGGGGTGGCCTTGGCTTCGATCCCCGCTGGCGGAGCGGGGAGGAACCCACTTGCGCGCAAAATCCGTTCTGGGGCAACAGTGAGTCGGCCTTTCTTGACCACATACTTGCTGACGGCCACAGCAAGCATGGTCTTTTCGCCGCCACCGCGGGCAGGTCGCATGAAGCAGGTCAAGATATACATCCACTTTTTATCCCAGGAGATCACCTTGGAGTGCATCTCATACAGTTCAAATGGTTTGATTTCACGCTTGAAGGTGCAGTAGACCGATCCGAGTACGATAGAGATCGCCTTGCGCGTCGGGGCACGCTTGCCCTCTTTCTTGCCTGCAGCCAAGAACTCCTCATCGAGTTCCTTGCTCACAATGCCCACACCCGGACTGTAAAGTCGACTCACAAGTGCGGTACGAGAAATATCCAAGTCTGCAAAGTAAGTGCTGTTGGACTTGTGCAGATTGTAATCAGTCTCCAACAGCGGCGTGCGGGATGTGACCATGCGAGGCACAAAAACAGGATGTGTCGGTTTGCCTTGCGCATCCACAACTGCTCTTCCCCTGGGGAAAAACGGATCGCTGGGTCTGAAACGCAAGTTGCCCACGAAGTGATACAGCACGCGGAACTGATCCTGTCAGTTGTGTAATAGTGGAGATCTGCCGATAGAACAAGGCAATTCCAATACTCGTTTCTAGGGCCAGAACTTACATGCCAGACAAACGGGAGGCTCTTCAAATTGATCACAGCAAGGATCAAAGCAAGGGTTTTCCACGAGGCGAGCGACATGGCCGCGCCTATGATTTCGCGCATATTGTCCATGTGAAAGGATAGAATTGTCATTGAAATATTCTCGTGGCCAGGAACAACAGCTCAGAAGTGGGCAAGGAAATAACAAATGAGAGCCCCTTGCAGGAGATGGGCAATAACCAGGATATACTCGGATCTATACGTCACTCAGGAGAATCAGATCAAAGGAACTCAGGCACAAGAACACGAACACACTCGGAAAAGAGAAATCAAAAAAGTTGAAAGCAATGAAATGAATGACCCCACGATAACAAAAGCTGACCGCGCTTGCCGATCACAGATCGTGATATCTTCAGCTCTCTCCTTTTCATGACCGAGGCTCCGATGGCACACGTGATTCTGCTTAGTCACTGCCCTTCGGCCTAGCCCCCAGGCAGATAAAGGCTTCGGGACGCTTTCAAAAGCAAGTATGGAATACCGGTTTTGATAAGGTTATAGTGCTATCAATAACTGCTGGGCCATTTTTATGAAGAAAATACAGATATTGGAAGGATAACATGTCCGATGTGGATGAATTCATGGAGGTATATATCTGATTTGTCTAACATTCTGTCTGCAAATCTCTTTTCTGAAATTTTCAAACAAAACATAGATTAGGAGCAATATTGGACCCATTATGCCCGTGCTAGATACAGGTACTTTTATTTAGGGATCTAACATGTACAGAGAGCGTCCATATGGCTAAATCACAAATCGATCACGGTTCTAGCCCGAGAAAGATACGTGCACTAACATCTCATTGGACAGGGTTCATGAATATTCATGACTCGCAATGACTCATGGTGATCTCGAGGACAAGGCAGATACTCCGAACGTGAACTATTAAAGATTCTAACCTTTAAGTAACAACCGCCCAAGGAAATCTCAAAATTATCGACCATTGACAATGGACTCAAACCATGCCATCATCTTCGGCGCATCCGGCATAATTGGCTGGGCTCTGGTTAACCAACTCCTGGGTCCCTACCCCGATGCTGGCACGTTCTCCAAGGTCACTGCTATCACCAACCGCCCCCTCAGCCTCTCCGAGGCTTGTTGGCCTGAGTCAAACTTGCAACGACAAGACCTGCAGCTTGTCTCAGGCATTGACCTTCGTCGAGGTGATGGGACTACACTGGCAGATACTTTAAAAGGCACTGTGAAAGATGTCGAAAGTGTCACCCATATCTACTACCTGGGTATGTCCCCATTGGAATATCACGAAGTGCAAAACTCATCACCAGAAGTTTTCACTGCAGTCGGCGACATTACAGAAGAAGTCGCAACAAATCGGAAAATGTTTAAGAATGTCATCGACGCCCACAGTTTGATCAGCCCCAAGCTGAAATTTGTGACATTCCCGGGTGGGACACGGGTAAGTATCCAAGCTATTCATATAGCCATCGCATGCTAATGAAACAGGGATACGGTACTTATTCCCCTGGAGGCACGTTCGCTCCTCCCTTACACGAGGAAATGGTGAACGATCTTCCAGTAGATTACGCAAAGACTGTCGTATATACAGAGTACCGCAAGCTTCTTGATGCTGCGAGCAAGGGCAAGAACTGGACTTGGTGCGAAGTCTGTCTAGATGCAATTGTGAGTCTTCTACAACTGCTTTCGGGCTTAATTAACATGTATCAAGATTGGATTCACGCCGAACGGCTCTCAGTACAGTTTATCACTACATTGGGCCCAGTATCTGTCTCTGTGGGCCTATAACCATGGAATCGGACCCTATACACCTGGAACCAAAAAAGCCGTCGAGGTACCTTTCCCTGGCAGTGCTGCCGGCGCCAACTCGTTGTTCTCTCCAGTATCTAGCAAGACGATGGCACGGTTTATGATCTATGCCTCGCTGCACCCAGAAACCTGTGGCGACGGCCAGCTATTCAACATTGCCGACAACGAGACGCCGTGCAAGTATGGTGAGATCTGGCCCCATCTGGCAAAATGGTTTGGCCTGGTGGGCGTGGGACCCACTGATAGCCCACAATCTCTTGACAACACGTTGAAGGTTGGCGAGGTCCCTGTAACCACGCCTTCTGCTATGCCCGGGGAGTACATTGCCAAACACAAGGACAAGTTTGCCGAATGTGGACGTCCGAATGCTGTCGGTGGAGGCGTTGGCGTGGGTAACCGGCAGCTTGACAGCGTGGGTTACTGGTTGACTTTTGATCGTCAATTAAGCCTGAAGAAGCTGAGGGGGACAGGGTTTGAGGGGGATATTGATAATGTTCAGGGCTGGCTCGAAAGTTTCGAGATGTTCAGAAAAGCCGGATTGATACTCTGAGTCGGAGTACTCCTTTCGCTTTAATATACATGCAAAGAGGAGCTGCTATACTCCATCAGTTTATGTATATTCTACCATTCCATTCCATGATATGTGCTGTACATGAGGAGCTCGGTCAATCCCTAAGCTATGCTGAATCTTTGGAACAGATCCCTCAAAATTGGGACTTGAATACTTACCTATCTAGAAAAGTGCTTTGCTATTCTGCGGATACTAACCCATACCCCAAGTGAGAGCCTAACAAGGAAGAGCGGGAATGGTTGATGCGTATGTCAAAATTGTTGTAGTGGGACTTGTGTTTGCTCCCACTTAAGATCTGAGGCAACAACTTCAATACACCCGTGGACTCTCAGCATCTTTTGTTTATCTCACCTTCTTTCCTCCAATTCCCACCTTCTTCTCTCATCATCCTCGACACGCCCAAACCCCACGATCCCTCGTCACGACTCTTCATCATGTCTGGGATTCCTCTCGGACAGTTTCTCTTTGCCCGCCTTCGCCAGGTTGGTCTTAACGCAGTGCAGGCTGTCCCTTCACAGCACAATTTTGAGATTCTGAACCAGGCGATTTCTGCCGGGCTTGGATGGACCCAGCATTCCAGCGACCTCAATGCTGGCTTTGCTGCAGATGGCTATGGAAAAATCCGGGGAATTGCTGCTCTGATTACTTCGTTTGAATCTCTTGAGAAAAAGGTGTCTGTCAAAGATGCGATTAGCGGGTCCTATGAAGGGATGGTACCTGTCGTCGTTATTGTTGGAACTCCGACGCGCATGGAACAATTCCAGGCTATCAAATTCCATCATCCTTTTTACGATTCACAGCCAGATGTCCTTCAACGGTTTGCCAACTGGTTCACAAAGATTACTGTCACACAAGAAATCCTTCTCGACCCCAACGAAGCCACTGATCAGATTGACAACGCAATCAGAGAATGTATCCTTCAATCCCGACCCGTTTACATCGAACTACCCGAGGACATGGTGGACATGACTATATTCACAGCTGCACTCGATGATCCATTGGATCTCAACCTCCCGCCCAATGATGTTGAACTCGAACAAACGGCGTTGGTAGAAATCATGAGCAGAATCAGAATGGCAGAGCGACCTGTGATCCTGATAGATGCTGGTGCCTCAACTTGTGGTGCGCGTGAAATCAATCGTCTGGCAAAGAGGACTGGATTCCCAACCGCAACAACCTCAGTTAGTAGAGGTCTTGTGGATGAGACTTTGCAGAACTTTCATGGACCCATGTGCTCCAAGTATGACAAGCTCGGTGCATATGTTGATTCTTCCGACCTTATTTTCCACATTGGGCCCATCAAGACCATGTTTTGGTCTCTGCCTTTTGTTCCGGAGTTCAAGCGGGACACAACAATCACTTTCAACTGGAATTGCATTGTAATGGGACACAAGCTATGGGAAGTTTCCAGCAGGCTCATATTTCAGAAGATCCTAAGGTCTCTGAGCCAAGAAAGACTCCAAGGCCTTGCAACTTATCCGGACTTGCCAAATGTCCAGGAGAGTATCGACATGCTTCCCGTTCAAAAGAAGGCTACACCTCTCCGGCACGACGTCTATGCTTCCCTTTGGCGACGAATTTCATCCTTTTTCCGCCCCGGGGACCTTATCCTTACGGAAACCTTCACAGCAGGCGAGGGAGCACGCTCGTTTGTCCTGCCCCGGAATGCAATCGTAATCAACTCGGGATTTCACAGATCCCCCGAGTACATGCTTGCTACCACCTCAGGCGTGGCCATCGCGCAACGAGAGCTTGATGAATCCAAACACCCGTTTGGACAAGGACGAACGATTCTTTTCGAAGGAATCGAGGGTTTCCGGCAGGCTCATGGGGCCTTTGATACGGTGTACAGGGAGAAACTGAATATGGTTGTGTTCCTGATCAACGAAAAGCAAGAATCGGTGGAGAAATTCATGCACGAAATGGAGATGAAACACAACTACGGCGCCCCTTGGAGATATTCGGAATCTCTTTCTTTCTTCGGATCACCAAGCGAGACATCCTACCCCGTTTCCGTCAGCACCGTCAGCACCTGGGGCGAACTTGATGATATTCTCGATGACAAGAGAGTTCAATCAGGGGCTGGACTTCAGCTTGTGGAGTTGAAGGTCCAACCTCAGGTTCTCGAAGTACCTGGTCTTTTCAGTGGAAAGTATGGCGAATGTCCGAGTCTTTTGACCGAGAAGTACGGGTCTATGAAGGATTGAGTTCCCCGCAGATAGAGAAACGACCACCGAATCATGTTAGATTAGAGGAAAAGATACTTCAGAACAATAACAATCTGTCACATGGTCCGTCTAGGGTGTTTTCTCTAATTTATCGACAGCTCACGTATCATAGCCCACATAGTAAATTCTTCCAGTGCATGCCACACCCCAATGGCACATTTACGACTACCCAAGATAGAGAACCCTTGCTTGAGCCAATAGGCACCAGTATCCTCTTTAGCAACACGAATCATTATGCGCACCGGAGATGACAGATGTCTGTCTTCAACCCGGTGTCGTCGCAAAACCTCCTCTTCACAGGCCCTGACAAGATGGCCCGCAATCCCTCTGCCACGGTATCGAGGGTCTGGAGGAAGAGCCACAACAGCTACCTCATAGTCACCTAGGCAGGCATGTTTCTCGAGAACATGATCCATATCCTCATTGACTTCGTCCGCAAGCTCCGCTACGACGGAATCGACGTCGTTTCCATCTTCATTGCAGGGCTCCCAAAGACCATCATCTGTCCAAATCTTCAAACTTGCCGTCCCAATCACTTCGGGTTTATGATCCGGACCGCTGTCAACCAGAGCCACCGCGGTGAATCCATCCGGTCCGATTTCTTTGGATAACTGCGAGTCGCTGGATAGTCGGATCTTGTCTTCGGGAAACTGGATTTTGCTGGTGTGACTGACGCGATAGCTTGCATTGACCATACTAGTGAGGTCGGGGAGCCATGGTTGGGAGAGAAGCTCGGCTGATGTATAGAGTTTGATATGGAAGACTGGCTCTGGTTGCATCCTCCAGTCGGATACTTTGACGCGGGGGAATCTCGGTAAACTGGTAAATAGAAAGGAAGAGAAAGAAAATTGTCCAAAGGGCTCACAGGTGCGATATCAAGCTGTTATCAGCATTCTCCTATGTGGGGATTACCAGAGTTCAGTCACCTGATACGAGACAGTGAGCCACGGAAATTGCGCTTTGCCCTCCGATATCGTTGCATTTCGGTTCGGAAATTAAGCGTGGTCCGTGGGGAAGGGCCGATATGGCTGCTACATCTGGATGCTTATGAGGCTGCATTCAACTCAGGTGCTCTATATTCATACTTTTAACAACTCCCCATCGTGATATCGATCATGGGGGGAGACATAAATCCCTAGATCATTATTAATATTAGCAAACTTCAGCGACCCTGTATTGAACGAATTGTGAAACTGGCACTCAATATCACGCGTTCATTAGAGAGGGCGATGTAGAGCTGGGGAAATGTGATTTGTAAGGTGACGTCGGGTGATCGATGTTATCGAGTATTAATCAGCAAACCTCTCTTATCTCTCGGTCCCTTCCCAGATGAACTTCTCGACTCAACTATGACTGATCGGTCGGTCTCATGAATTATCAGACCATCAGTATGGATGGTGATGCCTCTGAAGAGCATCACCGGGTGACCCGGCCATCGATATCGGACCCGCCACTTACAGATCCCGTCGAACCCGCACATGGCCGAGCTCCCACCTCCGCCCAGAGCTTCACTCCACGCTCACTCCTCGTCGGTCTCATCATCGGGGCCCTGATCACATTCTCGAATACCTACTTTGGCTTGCAGACAGGATGGATCAGCACAATGGCTATGCCTTCGGCCTTGATTGGTTTCTCAGTCTTCAAGGTTCTCTCCAAGCACCTGTCATTCCCGTTCACGCCGGTTGAGAATGTTCTGATTCAGACGGTGGCAGGTGCAGTCGGAACAATGCCACTTGGATGTGGCTTTGTTGGGGTTATACCCGCCCTGGAGTTCCTGCTTAAGCCGGGCGCAGATGGATCGGAAGGCGATAGCGGGGAAGGCGAGGGTGGCCCTCTGAACCTCAGCTTCTGGAAGTTGGTGATCTGGAGTCTTGGAGTTTGCCTCTTTGGTGTCGTATTTGCGGTACCGCTGCGGAAAGAGGTGATTGTCCGAGAGAAATTGCGATTCCCAAGTGGCACTGCCTCTGCCTTGATGCTCAAGGTCTTGCATGGCTCTGGGAGCAAGGAAAAGATTATAGCACCAGAAGATCCTCGTGAGGATGACCTGGACACGATTGCGCCGCCTCCTTATACGCAAGAAGAAACACGTCTTCTGAAAGATGGAGATGCTGAAGATCAAGCTGCCAACCAACAAGATTGGCGGTCGAAGATGCGCCTCTTGATCGGCGCCTTTGTAGTTTCTGGAGTCTATGTAAGAACCCCCAGATTCCTCAATGTAAGTGTCACACTAATGATTGTAGACATTATTCTCTTACTTTGTTCCTCTGGTTCGTGATATTCCCTTGTTCGGCCTGAGCATGGCCCACAACTGGCTGTGGACCCTCAACCCATCACCAGCCTACATTGGCCAAGGCATCATTATGGGCCCATCGACTTGCATGCATATGCTCTTCGGTGCCGTGTTAGGATGGGGTATTTTATCACCGCTCGCCAAAGCTCGTGGTTGGGCACCCGGTCCGGTAGACAGCTGGGATGATGGAAGCAAAGCGTGGATTGTCTGGATATCACTGGCAATTATGCTTGCTGATTCACTTGTTAGTCTGGGATGGCTTCTTCTCAAGCCCATCGTGGCTCGTTCCCCCGGATGGATCGCCTGGTTCCAATCCACTCGTGTGGGACAATGGATCGCACTTCGGCTGCAGTCCCATCAGCACTCATATATCAACTACTCTGCATTGGAGTCTGAGAATCACCCAATCACCCATGAACAGGACGATAACCAGGTGCATGGAGCCCAGGGCGAGGAGGAAGAGGAAGATGCGCCACCATCCCAACTCATTTCCACTCGCACGGTGGTGATTCTCCTTCCATTGACTCTTCTGCTGAATGTTGTGTGCATGCATATTGTATTTGGAGACATTATTTCTCCTCTTCTTTCGACCCTTGCTACCCTTTTGGCGGTGCTTCTGTCCATCATGGGCGTTCGAGCTCTGGGCGAGACCGATCTCAACCCAGTCTCGGGTATCAGCAAGCTCACACAACTCCTCTTCTCACTCGCCACTCCCTCCTCTCATTTCTCTCGACGTACTGCACTAGTAACCAACCTACTGGCAGGCGCAGTATCTGAATCCGGAGCTTTGCAGGCCGGTGACATGATGCAAGACTTGAAAACTGGTCACCTGCTCGGCGCAAGCCCAAAGGCCCAATTCTATGGGCAGATGATTGGCAGTCTTGTTGGCGCTGTTCTATCTACCGCTGTATATAAACTATACGTGAACGTCTACGAGGTTCCTGGCGAGATGTTCCAGACACCTACTGCGTATGTCTGGATCTTCACTGCTCGCCTGGTGACTGGCCAAGGTCTCCCAGAAATGGCTTGGCAGATGTCCTTTGTTTTCGGCATCATCTGGGTATTTATCACTGCCCTAAGGATTGCAACTGCGTCTCCTACCTTCTCTCGCAATGGGAATCCTCCGCCCTGGAGATCGTGGATCCCTGGTGGTATTGCCGTTGCTGTTGGTATCTTCAACGTACCATCCTTTACTTTGGCTAGAGCCATTGGCGGTATTGTCGCGTGGTGGTGGTCGCGGAAGCATTCGGAGACAGCGAACCAGCCTGTCGCTGGTGAAAACACTAATGGCTCAGGTCCCTCCACAGAGTCTGAAACCAGTGAACGTGAGCCATCATCAGCCGAACGGGCATCCGAAAAAGCAGATGCTGCCTCCTCGGCAGTCGTTGTTTTGGCGTCTGGTCTTATTCTGGGCGAAGGTATCATGAGTATCGTGAACCTTCTTCTTGCAAGTGGACGAGTTCCGCATCTGTGATATAAGGGAGTGTTTCGGGATACAATATATAGCCAAATGTATTCATACATTGGTATGATAATAGATTTAATGAGTTTCGGGTCTCACATACAAAGTAGAACCTCGATTCTATGTATCTTGTTCGGTCATTTTGATACAAGTTCCAAACACATGGCAAAGCCCTAAGTAGAATAAAAGCATAGCGCCGGTTTTTATTGTCTGCTTTCTCGCAGGCTTCTTTAGTTAAAATCAGCAATGTCACTGCTACCTTAGATGATATGTGGAGCAAAGAGACAAGAGGAAGGGGGGTCAGCATTTACTCTATAGCAGTTAATAGTGGCTTAGCCCTAGGTTCTATAATCGGAGCAGCACTTATAATACAGCCAAATCTTTGGTGGCGCTGGACTGCATATATCCACGTAATCTAGGTCGGTTTCGTGTTTATCTTAACCTGCTTATGGTTACTAGGTGGGTATTTTACTCTCTCCGTTTGTCTAAGTATCTAGGCTAGAAGTAATATAACCGAAGACCCAAAGCAGTAAATAGACAAACAGTCCCAGAAGCACGACTTCCACCTATAGGAGTTAGAGCGCTTTTTCTTACAACTGGGTTATTCTAGTTTGCCTAGACTGCTAATCCGCCTTGTCACAAGATTCTGCCATACACTACTTCTGTTTTTGTTAAATGTGGAGTCAATATTATCTTCCTGCAGTACGTGAAATTCTTGATTGACTTATACAAGACGCACGCTGCTAGTGCGACGGCGCCTACGACTTTTCTTCGGAGTTTGATGGCTGCTAGCCTCCCGTTGGCAGCCAGACCAATGATTCGAGCTTTAGGTGTTAGGCCTATTGTCTCGACTATTGCTGCTGTAGCAACTGCTTTACAGCCTGTGCCCTTCTTGTTCCTGAGATATGGCACCAGCATCATAATATATCGACGGTTGCGCCTGATGATTTATGATTCACTGTTTTCTATAGAGTCTTTAATTTGGATTTTATTGATAGCGTGCCTGTCGTCTAGAATATACCTGGACGCAATCAGTTGTTGAGGCAAGCCAACACTCTACTTTCTCTGTTATTTTACAACAATATAATTCAAGTTTGATTTCCAAAAACAAAATGTCTACTATTTCCGAGAAATACCTTACGACCTTTTGTAAACGAAAGCGCTTCTTCGCCATGGCGTACTTAGATAACGAGGAGAAAGGTTGTTATTCGCGGCACAAAGACATGTAATTAGAATGTAGTGCTCGATTGATGTGAAATACGTGTGCTAAACGCGAGGACGGATTACGCGAATGAAGCAGAAAGTGAGTATACAGCAGCAGGTGCTTACTAGACATCGCCAAAAGGATAAAATCGTCTTTCGGGAAAAGCTACGCCTAGATTCATAATACAAGGAGCGAACCATTTGGAGCCATAGTTGCAAATAATCTAAACTCTACATTGATATGAACATACGCAAGAATGGCTGTGTTAATACAGGCCAAATGATCCGGTTTTTCCAGCTTATTTGAACATGCCACGCAGAGTCTCAATCCGGGTCAATATCAGTTCAGTGAAAAAAAGGCGGAAGAAGTTGCAAGCATCTTCCAGTCGTCGAAGAAAAAGAGGGGCAAAAAAGGGGGCAAAAAAGGATAAGTATGAAGAAGGTAATCGGCCTTTGGGTAACAATACATAGGTGCCATTAGGAATACGGACGGCACTTAGGCCACGGACCGGGAGGGTGAATAGGTAAGAACAAGTCAAATAAATGGGGAATAGGGACAGAGGAAGCAGGAAAATGATTCCAACGGGCAGTACACAGTACATGTTCAAGTTAAGGGGTTGTTCGTCATGGATGCGGGTAGATGGATATCAAGTCAAAAATCGAAATCAACAGTCGTAGTAGGCAAACTCATTTCCGTCCAGCGGGACACTGACAGGTCAGTGGATATGCCTCTGTTCTGGACAAGACACAGGCTCTGTCCAGATGAGAAATTCGTTCAATTAAGCGTCCTGGGCGGGTACGGGCTTGCGCGAGACCTGCGAGCCCGTGGGCGAGGTCGGTGCGGAACTCGGAATAGCTGGAAGCTCGCCAGTGGGGGCGGGAACGGGAGCGGCTAGTGGACTGGAGACCGGCGGGGCAGCGGCGGCAATGTTGGGAGGGGCCATGTTGCCGGCACTGTTGCTGCGTTGCCGTTGGTTGATGGGCATCTGGGGGCGCTGCATTCCGGGATGGCCATATGGACCAGGGCTCATTGAGCGGGGACTAGGTCGGCCGGGACCGGGAGACATGGAGCGAGGACCGGGCATACCACCAGGTCCGGGAGACATAGAACGGGGAACAGGCATTCCTCCTGGGCCGGGGCTCATCGCACGTGGACTAGGTCGGCCGGGACCGGGAGACATAGAACGGGGAACAGCTGGGAACTGAACAGGCGACATTTGAGTGCCCGGGTAAGAGCCAGGAGGACCAGCGAAGCCAGGGCCAGAGGGAGATCTCGGGCGTGCATCCTGGGGATAGAATCGGCCAGGAGGCGCCATGGGGCGGCCATCAGGGCCCATGATGGGTGGGCCACGCGAGCCAGGAGGTGGGCGAGGGCGAGGCATCACAGGGCGGGCCGAGAGGCAAGACCGAGGGGCCACACCTTGCTGAGAGCGATCAAGGCGGATACAGAGAGCCTGAGAAGACAAGTTAGTAATTTGATCTTCCAAATCATACTTTCTCCAGGAGACAAGGACTTACCCATCCATCGTCGTATTCGTGAAGCAGCCGCACCAGGGAACCAGAACGAAGACCAAGCTCGTCCTCCATGGACGGGTTGAAATCGAGTTGCACACGGTGAACATTGTTGGGACCTCCTGCCGCGGCGCCTGCTAGTTCAACTGTAGGCCCGGCAGCAGCGGCAGAGAAAGCAACATTGACAGGGCTCGTCGAGGATTGAGGGGGAGACAGTGGGGGAATGAGCGCGTGAACCTGCAGTCCCGGGACGAGCGGTCTCCTCCTTGGACTCATGAGAGGTGGCAGCAGCACCTGCAACGGCGCCGGCCGCAACAGTGCCGACGGCTGCAGCTGCCATAGTCGATCCAGAGGGTCCATTGCTGGACTCGGAAACGGAGGGTGCATGTGCAGACACAGGGGTATCAGCAGTACCGAAAGGATTCACGGGGTCATTAAACGGATTGGGGCTGCTGCCAGCCGACTTGGGAGGAGTAGGGGGCGGCGAGTCACCAGTGAGGTTACGAGAAGCAATGGCTGCTGAGCCGGCTGCAGCACCAGCAGCACCTGCGGTAGCCGGGTAGATACCACCGCCGCCACTGAGGTCGGGGGCGAATTGAGTAACAGGGCGAACATTGAGTACCGGAGGAGTCGAGGGAGTCTGAGGCTTAGGAGGAGGTGGTGGCAGAGAAGCTGCGAGGCCTCCTTCGGGCAGGCCTTCACCTCCAAATGCCTTCTCGTTCTCCTGTTGATAACCATCTTGGCTTCTCTTCTTCTTGCGAACGATGAAGAAGATCAGGGCGGCAATCACACCCACACCAAGGATCACACCAATGGCCACGCCGGCCTTGGCACCCCCGGACATGCCAGCAGAAGTGGTGGAACTACCAATGGCAGTGGAAGAGGCCGAGGCGGCCGAATCAGTGGCCGATCCAGTGGAAGTTGCGGCGAGAAGATCGTTGACATCCTGGCTAGTCTCCGCGGTAGGGGATGCCGAAGTTACAAAGGAGGTTGCAGTACTCTGGGACTCGGTGGTTGATGCTTGCTTGGCCGTTTTTTCAGTCGTTTCAGCTTTGGTAGTTTCCGTGCTCTGCGCTGAAGTTTGAGTCGTGTGAGCCTCGGTCTCCTTGGTGGTAGTCGCTTCCTCCTTAGATGTGGTGGTAGCCTCATCAGTCGCCTTAGTCTCAGTAGTCTTCGCCGTCGCAGTCGCTCCAACAGCAGGGCCCACACCCACGTTCTTGTGTGTCGCAGTCTCGGCTTCGGTCGTTCCCGGGTCGCCGGTTCGATAGCCTCCCACAGGTCCGTCGAAATCGGCGTCCATAGTCTGGTAGACGATCACAACATTTCCTCGCTCTTCCAGATCCTCCACCTTGCGCTCATGGTTGTGGTGCGCATGCCCGTGCATCTTGTAATGCTCCCAGGTATCAAGATATCAAGGAGCGGTAGTCGGGTGTAGAAGACACAGGGCGAGTATTGCTCCTAAAGAGGGGGTAATTCCAGGATTCCAACGCGAGGTCCAAGAATCTCTGGTCGATTCCACGCTGTGGAATGTGGATAGAAAGAATGGACGAGATCGAGCACCGCCGATGTCAGAGAAAAAGGAAAAAGAAGGGACGACGACTTCCAGGTCGTACAGGAAAGAGAGGATGGAAGAAGAGAAGAGGAAGTTAAGAAGAACCCGATGGTCCAGCCGGGGTACCACGAGGAACCGAGATGAGGGACCCTGTATGAGATGAACCACACTAGCTGGAAATGGTAAATGACAATGAAGATCATATGAAATAATTGGTCTGTTGTGTATGGTACCTGGTTCGATGATGTATTGATACGAGATTCGGGGCCAACCGTGGGACCCTGTATTGACTCTAACCTAATCTTAGTCACTTCACTACACTTCCAAGGTTCACTACGGTGTAGTTATAGAAGACAATTCATAGAAGACAATTTATAGAAAGATGGAATGTGAGACGTTCATTTTCCATATCTGTTAATACTTAATAAAGGAATAGCTCGCTACCATCTGTAGGGCACAGACTTCTCGATGGCTGTTTCACCCTAGCCCCGTCCGCCACATCTTATTGATCGAAGACCTGGACCCGTAATTTCCGACGTTGCCGTTCATTTCAATCCACTGCGTGCATTGGCCAGCAATATGCATGGAAAAGCCTCATTGCACATTTCTCCATGCACAGGGGTAAACATGTAAACATGTAAACAATGGAAATTAACTCAATGAAATTAATTGCCCCAGGACTAATTTCAATTTTCGTTTTTGTAACCCCGTTCCACGCTTGTGTTTTCCCCATTTGCTAGTGCTGTGCCCGAGGCATAACCATAACGGTCCGGAGTACTGTGGCTGACACGTTCATAAATAGTGGCGGTGCTTACGCAAAATACGGATGCTGAAGGGCCTGGACCAAAGATCAGAGATTATCCCGAGACATACGCGGGCGTTACTTACCGCTGCCGCAGAGAGTCTGTCTCGACTCTCGTAGCATAATAACCGCCGAACCAAATCACGGCCATTCGAGGATGCACCGGGCAAGATGTCCTCCCAAGATTGCGCAGGGAAGGAGTGGAATTCCACTTTGCCCCAGTCGGGCAGGACATTAACTTCCTACATTCACGTTATTGACGGTCCTGTACAAGTAGCGGTCCACATACCGGCCAGAGTTGCTCATCTGGAGTACCCAGCATTTTGAAGATAGAGAAAATCAGCGACAGGTCACTGCCAACAGGTCCGGAATCAAATAGTTGACGATGGCCCACGGAAATGGCCTCTGCTACCAAGCACCCAGCTGCCCAGAGGTCAACAGCGGCACCATACTCTTTGTATCCGAAGAGGATCTCTGGAGGCCGGTAGCAGGTGGTGCCCACATCGGTAATCTTTTGCGTGGGTGGCTCAGACCCCGGGTCACCTTCCTTCCACGAGACACCGAAGTCTGCCAAGTACGCTGGGCCATTGGGTGAGTCCATGAGAATGTTGGAAGGCTTTATATCCCGGTGTATGATCCCAATGTCATGCAGATGGACGAGGGCACGGAACAGATCCTTCAGAATTGATCGTGTCTGGGAGGCAGTCACCATATCCCGTCGGAGCAAATGTTCAAAGTCATAGCGCATGAAGGGGAAGACTAAGATAAATCTCCCGCCGTCAAGATTAAAGGTCTCGGTCAAAGGAATGATATGAGAATTGCAAGCTTCTCGCAGCAACCGTGCCTCGCGGTGAGCATCATGGGGCGCTGTCATCATATGGGGGATAGTGACTTTGACTGCTTGGACTGTTCCATCTGCAGCTTTTGACTTGTATATGGTGGAATGAAGGCCATCGAAATGGTGTAAGCAGGAGGCATACTGGCCGATCTGCTCCCCAGTGGTCTCTGACGGCTCTAGTTCTTCAGACTCAGCCTGGACTTCGTGTGAGCCAATGGCTGGTGCTAACTCTGCCTGTTCAGCTGCGTCAATGGCCTGCTGGCACATCAAGTCATATTCTTCCTGGTCATAATGGTATCAGTCAAGGCCTTGTTTACAGGGAGAGCGCCCACTCACCTTCGAGGTGGCATTATTCCAGGATTCATTCTCATGCTTCCTGGCCTGTGATTGTGCCTCTGCAAATGCATCTGATGACGATGTTTGCTGATAGGCCGTGGTACTATCAACATATCAGTTTGAGTGCGTATAGATGGGATCAGAACCTACAGAGATTGGATGGCCCGTAGCCGATCCGTGAAACCCAACTGGGTTCGCCAGGCCATGAATGCAACTAAGAAAGTCAATTGACCATGCCTTGCAGCGGACGCTATAGTTCGTTCATGGTCCGTACACAACTACCTAGGTAAACAACGTGAAGATGGCGCGGGATTGGACTGATGATGTCATGTGACCCAGTAAGGGACGCTTGTTTTATTGTGACCAAGGAAACCATAAATACAGGATTGTGGTTGGACGGGCACCTGCCAAGTTAGTAATACACATACAACTCCGTCATTCCATCCCCATTGCCGTCCTCGGCCTCGAATGACACGCTACCTCACTCTGGCATTCGCTATCCCGCATTCATTCCCCGGACTTCATTGGGCTTGTTCTCGAGGCGAGAACTTGCAATTTTTCTTGGATCTTCTTCTCTATAGTATGCGCTGCATGCGCGCCTGATACCCCCGACCTAAATCATGGACCTCTCACGGCAAGAGTACCCGATGCTACTGGTAAGATTGACCCATGTGAGCTTGGTGGGGGATTGCCACAGCTTTGGTATGCTGACCATTGGCGATATTTCTCTCATCTAGGCCACCCTGCATCCCGGCCAAGCTACGACTGTTCTGAGCGATCGCATCCGAGTGATCAACAAGATCAATGCGGACATCGCGGATTACCTACAGGTATGACGACCTACATCCCGATTGGATCAAATTCCTTGGGTATGACCTGCGGTCGGAGAGCGCATGATGTTGACAAATTGGGGTTAGGAACGACGTCGTGTTGAAGAAACATACGCCCAAGGCCTGCGGAAGCTGGCGCATCGACCGCAGCTAGACAATGGAGCTGCTCTCGGGTAAATTGGACCTCCTCAAAGCGATTGATGCTGATCGGTGTCCAACAAAGCATGCTGACCTATGAACAAGCATCTTCCAGATCCCCTGGCAACGCATCATCAATGCCACCGAAGCGCTCGCCGTGTCTCACGAGACTCTCGCCAACAAAATCGAGGAGGATGTTGAGCGACCGCTGAGAGAATTCAGCGCTAAGAACCGCGACATGCAGTCGATGCCCAGTATTCAGAGCAATTTGGCGGGGTTGGCCAAGAATGTGGAGAATGCGCAGAAGAAGGTGGACAAGGCCAGGGCTAAGGGCGCCAAGGGCGCAGACAAGCTATCCAGCGAAATTGCAAACGCCGAGGAAGTCAACCAGCAGTGGGAATCGCGGGCTCCTTTCGTTTTCGAGCAACTCCAGTCTGCCGACGAGACCCGGCTCAACCATCTTCGGGACGTTCTGACGCAATTGGAGACCCATGAGGTGGACCAGGTCGAACGCGGTCGCCAGGCTGCCGAGAGTTGTCTAAACGTTCTTCTGAACGTCGAGACTGCAGATGAGATCAAGACCTTTGCCGCTAAGATGGCGGGAACTCGGGTCCCTGTCTCGCCAGCCATGTCCCGGAGACAGACAGAACGGACGGAGACGCCCTCTGCGCCTGAGCCGGGACCTGAACGAGCAGCGACTGCGCCGATGGAAGCTCCGATAGCCACACCCCCAACAGGCGCACCTCTTTCGCCCCCTCCGCGCATCCAGGATGATGCCGCGAGCCAGCGATCAGAGGAGAGGCAGGCTGTTGCTCAGACACCCCCAGGTAAGTTGCCAGATTTAGACTATCCTACTTTGACCATGGACTCAAGTACTCATGTCTAAAACAGCCCCAGTGCCAGAGGCACAACCGCGACACACTCCACTAGGAGGGCTGCGACGACTTGGTACGGTAATGAACAGGCGAAAGAGTGTTGTTGGACCGTCTGCTGGATCATTCGAGCGGAAGGCAGACAAGAAGCGCAGTCCTTTCTCTCCTTTCAAGAGAGGCGACTCCGCCCGTGATCTCCAAATACCTGAATCTCCTCCTTCAACAGCCACTGACCGTCCAGGGACATCTTTGACTGAAGATGCATCCCTGCGGAACTCCAGTGTGGACCACAGTGGATTGGATACTGCTGCACCTGGTGTAGTGGCACTCTCAGAGTCCACCACCAATGGAGCTTCTGCCGAACCTCACATAGAATCCACCAACAACCATGTCAACCAGCCACAAGTTGATTCCGAGGGATATACTGAACGCCCTTCCACGATTGATGAGATTACGCGTGCCCACAACGAAGCAGCAGGTATTGAGGATTCTGGTTTGAACTTGACGATCAGAGACCAGCCTATCTTTGAGGACGAGAGCCAAGCACAGCAGGCTATGAGTGAAATGGCGAACACCCTCCGTCTGCAAGCTCAACAGACCGGAGGAATCAGACGAAATGCGGGCACTATTCGCGGGCGCCGTGATGTTCGCAACACTGTGTTTGTTCCTTCGCCAGGTAGCGAGTTGCCCCCAGCCCTGGGGGCGCCACAATCCCAAGCACCAACCTCGCCAATCAGACACGTAGCATCCCCCAGCATTGCACCCAGCGTTACGGATGATCACACTGTTTCAGATTCCACCTCTGTTCGTTCCGGGCACACTATGCACGGCCCGGGAGCCTCCGTTCATCCTGACCTCTACGAGGCAGGTTTGAATGCCTCGATCATTGAAACCGTCAACGCGTGGTTCTCAGAGGGCAATGTCACCAAGTCCTTCGTGGTTGGCGAGCTTGCTCTCGCAAACAACCCCACACCAGGTGGTGTGGCAGAGAATGCGCGCATTCGTCTGGATAATTTCCAAGTGCTGGAGAAGGTAGCAGCAAACCCCAACTTCGTCCACGAGGCAGCCAAAGAGGCCGGTGACGACAAGAGGGGCGAATACGACATCCAACTAGGAAGCATCTCCCGCCCCATGCCAACAGTGGCATTCAAATACCAACTGCACCTGGACAATCCCTCCGCCTATTGCCCCGTCATCTTCAAGCCAGCCTGGAACCTGGAAGAATTCCAAGCCAGTGCCATCATCTTCTATTCACTCAACCCATCCTTCGTCTCACCCTCAGTCGAGTCAATTTCCCTGAAGAACCTAGTCCTAACCGTCAAACTGGACACGGCCGCCGAAGACGAAACCACCAAGCAGCCACGCGAGTCAGTCGCGCACGCCACAAGTGCAGCTATGTACCCCAACACCGGCGCTGTCTTCCGCCGCAAGACCTCAACCGTCACGTGGAGAATCCCCGAGCTAGAAGTCAAGGCTCCCGGTACACCCGGCGCAGATGGCAAGTTCCTTGTCCGTTTCTCGACGTCTACCAGCTGGCCTCGTAAGGGCACAGTCGAAGCCAAGTTCGAGCTGCGCACTACCGAGCCTGCCTCGAGACTGGGTATCAGCCGCGCCGCCTCAGACGTGGAGCCAAAGGAATCTGATCCTTTCGCTGATGAGGGCCGCGAATCATTATCTCCCTCGGTTTCATGGCAGGATGTCCCGACTGCACGCAAGTTAGTCGGCGGTAAATACGTCTCATCCTAGTTGGATTTAGCACAGTGCGGGATCGAAACGCTGCTCCTGTTCGTATATAATCTCCATCTAGGAGTGAGCGTGTACTGTGTGCTTCCTTTTTCTGGCATTCTAGCTATTGTTTGTGTTTAGTCGGGCATAAGCTCGAGGGCTAAAAGCACAGGATGTTATTATTTTCTCCCTGTTTTTTTTTCGTTCTCTGTCGTTGTCATTCCCTGTTCGTGTTTGTGTGCCCAGTCGTCTTTGCAAATAGCGATTCACTTCTTATGATCCTTGTTCTGTGTTTTGTTCCTTCTGGATACCGTTGTATGTATGTAGCAAGGCATTTACGTGTGTACTTTCATCAGCCCAATGTCAATCCTTCTGTGGGCTTTTATTATATTTGTGTGGGGGAATTTAATGGGACATTGGTTCATTCTATCCAAGTGAGTTTCGAGTGTAGATGTCTAGGAAACCAGGTCTAGACTTGCGGTATAGGTATGACTGCTGCAAGAATAAGGAAATGATATTGGCGAATAAAGGAAATACAACGTAGCACAGGTCAAGATGTGCTGGGGAATCACAGGAACACAGATAACAGGGAAGATCGCGAATGGGAAGTACCACCCATTCTTCGCATGAGCCAAATAGGCAAGACAGATCACATTCTAGCAGCGCGAGTAGTCTTATCATAAAAGTCCAAGGTCATTGCCGCGAGGAAACAAGGAATATCCTTCCGTTCCTCGACCCAAAATTTGATGAGCGGCTTAATTTCCATAGCGAAGAGACTATTGGGTCCGCCAGAGATCTTCATAGTACCGTTCTCACCATCAAATACAATGGAGTTCTCTTCCCCATTGCCCATACTACCAGGACCAGAGTCCGAAGCGGCATCGCTGTCACCGTGGCGGTATGCAGAGGAGAGATGGAACATGGAAGTGACACGCACTCGACCATTAGGAAGGAAATCAAGCTTGAAGCCAAGAAGGGAGGCAACAGCTTCGCGGAACTCGGAGGACTTGGCAGTCCAGATTTCCTTGAGGCGGCGCATGCGCTTTTCCTTGTCTGCAACGGTACGTTCCATGTCTTGCATTTCCAGCTTGATACTCTCGACAGCGCTGACTGGGACGACCTTGGCTCCTGTGCGGTCACCGCGCAGCTGTGCTAGAAGGTCTCGGTTCTCTGCCTGGAGAGTTGTGAGGGTCGTCATTTTGATTTGCTCGACCTGAGATGTCGGGTTATCGCGCAACTCAAGCACACGTGTGCGGGACTTGGACTTCAGATGCTTGATCTGGGACTTGGCGGCGTCGAGCTCGCGACGAGCCAGAGTGGAAGCCTGTTCCGATTTGGCGATATGTTCCTGGAGTTTGCGATTCTTGCGAGTGAGCACGGCGATACGCTCGGTTTCAGCCTCGGAATCGGCTGGAGATAGGGGTCGCTTGACACCGCGTGCTTGCGAGTCGTCTTCCTTTAGTGCCTCGCGTTTGGAAAGCTCTTCGTGCGTCTGCTGGATTTCAACACGATACTCGTCGAGTAGTTTTTCGAGTTGAGCGATGTGTTCTGACTTCTTTTGATCGAATTGGGGTTGATCTCCGTTCATGGTCTCTTCGTCCGTGTCGAAGGTCTTCAATTGAGCGCGCAGGTATTCAACTTCTTTAACAGCAAGCACACGCTGGCGCTCGAGACGAGATCGAACGCGAGCCTCTGCAGCGCCAGGACCCGCAATAGCAGTGGCGGCTGCAATACGGGCCTTCTCGAGTTCCTGTTGCAGGTCGGATTTCTCTTTTTCCAGAGACCTGATGGTCTCATCCTTTTTGAGTAGTTTGGCTTCCACTACTTCGACACGATCGGTGAGGCTTGCGTTCTCAATTCGTCCCCGGGCCAATGCTCTAACAATGGCTTCTGGCGAGTCAAGCTCTGCAGGCCGATCATCCTCTTGCAACAGGCTCGCCCAAGTCTGTCGCTCGTCTTCAAGAATCTGCTTTTGAATTTGGGCTGTGTTGAGCTCGGCCTCCACCCCGTCCATCAGCTGGAGTTTGATCTCCAGTGACCTCTTTTGTTCTTCGATGACACCGACGGTCTTTGAAATTTCCCGTAGTTTCCGCAATTCCGAACTTTGGTCTCGATGTGTTAACTCCAGCTCCCGGATATGGCTGACCTGTTGAGAAAGTTCTCTCTTGAGCACAGTCAGGGCATCGGCGTCGCTCCCTTCAGATTTGAGTCGAATGTTCGCGGCCTCGAGATCGGCAATGTCAGCTTCACGCTGGGTGAGCTTTTCCTGTGCCGATCGTTGTATGCTCCGGGCATTTTCGAGGTCATTCTGGAGTTCTTCGACCGTTCTTTGCAAAGAGGCGCGCACGGTCTCCAGCTCGTTGATCTGATATTTAAACTGCCGTTCTTGGTCGGAAAGCTGCGATTGGGTGTCCCCGAACTCCTCCTGCAATTTCTGGTTCTCGTCCTGAAGGCTTCTGATCCTTCGCTCAAATCCGGCTTTCGCATCTAAGGACCGGTCTTGTGTTTCTTTGAGTTCTTTCGCGAGCGCATCACTCTTGTGAGTTGCGCGATTGCTCGAGGATTCCGCTGCCTATGGCGAGAGATCGTCAGTTTGATTCAAACGTAGAAAACACCTCATCGCAGCTCACCTGGGCCTTTCGAAAGTCCGCATCTGCTTTCACCTGTAGGTCTCGGATCTCTTTCTCATGGCGAAGCCCCTCTAGTTCGCGTTCTTGTTTGAAATTTTCCAATTCATATCTGAGAGTGCTTAGCTGCACACGTAGCTCATCCTTCTCGGTATCTGAATCAAGCAGTCAGTTCCCGTTGCAGTGTCTCGCATCGTCCGAGTATGGTATTTTCTCACCATGTGTGGACTGATTAAGTTGAGCTTGCGACTCTTGGAAGCGAATAGACTGTCGCATGCTCATTCGTGCGTTGAAAGGGGTAGGCGAGCCAAATCCCGCAATGAGCTGGGAGGCCTGTCGGTTGTTCGGGCTGCTCATCTGTTCAGGGTCAGTTGATGTTCAAAGAGCGGTGGCTCACTGGAACCCACGACGAAAATAAAGCTACTGTGAGCCTCACAGAGTCTCCTGTCTAATCTGACATGAGCGAAGCAACACCATTGCTATCAATGGAAGATCGCGTCCAAGGTTGAGGCGGCTTGTTTGATCTTAGTCAGCAGCCAAGCTTCCCCGAAACGGCCTAGCGTGATTTTAAAAATTATTTCGATTTCGGCGTCGAATTCTCAGTCCACCACTTCACCTGCGAATCCACTCCTCCCACCTCGATCCCCCGTCTGTTTCTACTCAATTCTTTTCGCTTCACTCCACAACCGTCACTATGGGCAAGGACAAGGTCGAGAAGAAGGACCGCGCTGAGAAGAAGGAGAAACGTGCGGAGAAGGACGGTGTGCACAAGGCTAAGAAGGAGAAGAAGGAAAAGAAGGACAAGACTGCTCTCGTCGATGCAGTAGAGAAGGAGCTCTCCTCCCAGATGGAGGGTGTCGAGCAGACTGGTGCCGTCGCTGGCAAGGGTGAGATTGAGGTCGATGCCATGGCCGTCGACCGCCCCGTTGGCGCCGTTGTGCCCTTCGCCAACCCTCTAGTTGAGGACAAGCAGGCCAAGAAGGTCCTGAAGAGTGTCAAGAAGGGTATGTGGACTATTCCTCAGCTTTTTCTGAAAATTTTTGTGATTGTTGCGCCTGGTCGATTTTTATCGGATCTTCGGATTATCATCCAGGCCTACAGATTTCATTGTTGCGCAATATATTTTCTATCACCAGGGCATTTGTGCTGACTTAATATCTAGCCGCCGTCAACAAATCTCTCAAGCGTGGTGTCAAGGAGGTCGTCAAGGCTCTCCGCAAGTCCCCCATCCCCGCTGCCAACGCTTCGATCACCGTCCCCAGCGGTGTTGTCGTTCTCGCTGCCGACATCTCCCCCATGGATGTCATCTCCCACATTCCCGTTCTCTGCGAGGACCACGGGATCCCCTACGTCTTCGTCACCTCCCGCGCCGAGCTCGGTGCCTCTGCCGCTACCAAGCGCCCCACCAGTGTGGTCATGGTTACCCCCAAGGCTTCCGGCAAGAGCAAGAAGGAAGACGATGAGGAGTTCACCAAGGTATTCGAGGAGCTCGCTGGCTTGACCCAGAAGGAGTGCAAGAAGGTCCAGGTCTAAAAATGTGCTTGACTCGTTCCTTTTTCCCTTTCGTTATTTGCTCTATCCCACACTTTGCTGGTAGTGGGTTCTCTGGTTGTACAGGTTTCTGATACTGTCTGGTAAGACAGTGCATGTCTTTTGGGGTCCGGCCTATGGGTATCTTTCTGTATTTGCTCTTTGTACTGCAACTCGGCGTTATTTCAATGGTGTATGAAAAAGGCAAGAATTTCAATAAGATATCACCAACCTTATCAGACTCTCAGATCCGAGTAGATCCAAGTTGAAGTAAGATTGGTACTGTTCTAGCCATGCCAACTATAGTTGGCCTGCAATGCCCCGGCGATGCGACTTGCATGGTCCACGTTGTGTTTGATTGCGGTTGAGGGGATCTTTTTGAGTAGTCTGATGTCACAAGACCTTGAGATTGGCAAAGATACAAGTATGCGGTTGCACAAGTTGGCAGATGACCCTGACCCTCCCCGACTTGTGAGAGTAATTGCAACTTGGCAACTGTAAGTTACCAATAGACATGCCAGATATACTTCCTAGTGCAATGTAATCAGTCATATGGCAAATTACAATATGCAAGAAGAATTAATAGCATGTGAGGTTTACCAAGCGAAGTATATACAATGGCATCAAAGTTTGGAACACCCCTTTCTTTTTACAAGATCTACTTCTAGCAAAAGCGTAATATATCCACTAGAAGCGATCCAGTGCTTCAACATCTACAGGTTTAATCTACTATTTAGGGCCCATCGTATGGTGTATGCTTGTGGGATCTACTAGAGGGATTTCAAATTTCCAAAACTCTACACAACCAGACAAAAGGAGCCGAGCTGAGATTAGCCTTGCATGGCGGGATAGACTATTAAAATCGTGGCGCTATCATTCTAGAGAAAAATGATTAATCCCTGCACTGCTCGATCTTCACGTCAAACAAGGGATGAAGTGCATATTCAGAACGCGACAGCTATCAAGCCGAGCCAATCACCGTACGCAGAGCTCTGGATGAATCTGATGAAAAGCCCTCGGATCCTCTAGTCTTTGCCTAGATCCAGGAACAGATCCCAGGCACTCGAGAATGGATTTCCCGGCTTATTCCTTGTGTTCAAGGCATGGCCCTTGCTTCCCTGTCCTTCGGTAACCATATAATACTGACATTCTCGCTCTTCCTACGTTGTGACATTCGCTCTTCTTGTTATACCAAAGATATTATTCAAGCCAATTCACTCATTATATGTCCGGTTCGACACAATGCACCACCGTCCTTCATTTTTAGCACTCATTGCGTTTCTTTTTGCCGTCACTCAATCGACGACATCTTATCCTATCCTGACTAGTAAATGGGTCAAAGCAGATCAATTCGAAGACGCCAAGGCTCATGGATTACGGAAAGCTTTTGAAAAAGAGGGACTTGATATATTGCCTGAGCCGCTAAAGGCTAAATATCACCTGGTGTGTCATAACGTGAACAAATTGATGTTAAAACTTCCATGATCCATGGAGTCACTAAAATTGCCCTCCATATAGGTCCCATCATGGTCAAACAACCAAAATGACCATGCAGCGGAGCGAGGACACGATTATCCCTATACACACCAAACCTCCCCAGCCCTCGTCCCAACAACACTGGATATCATGCCCGAGCAAATGCATGAGTACTACGACGGTCAAATGCAAGACAAGCAGGAACAAAAATCAACGTCTATCAATTCAATTTTCGAACAGAGACAAAACCACTATAGCGAGCTCTTGAGCTATCTACACGCCAAAAACGCCCTGAACAAAGACCCCAACCATTCTACCCCTGCATCGTTCTCTCTCGCATCCTCAGCCGGCCATTCCGTCTCCTTCTTCTCCTACCGCTTCTCGTTGCCGACTTTGGGATCTAGTACCGCGACTCTCCCCCGATATCCGCTTCCGGGAATCTTTACAATGGTGATCATCCTACTGGCCATGGTTTGGATTGCCATATTTACAATTGGATTGGTTGAATTGGGAAGTTATCTCTGGGCACGAAGGAGAGAGGCGCAAGTTGACGATGAAGAAGTTGAGCATGGTGAGGAGGAAAGTGTGCGCTTGGAGGACTTGAAGTCAGTGCCATTCACAGTTGTTTTTCCACCGCAGGGAATCAGGTCCAGCTCAGTGAGAGCATGATGATGAATACCTTGTGTCCGTTTTTAGTGGCTCTGATTTGAGTTCTGCTTCAGACTCCGAAGAGGGTCATCAGCTTTCTTGAAACTTGTACGACTGTGTTAATTCGACCTGTTTATACATGCATCAAAGCTTGATGTTTAATATATTATTTTTACCTCCATATAAGACATATACGTATTGAAAGGCGGAAAATATACTTGATGTGATCACATTTAAGTCCTATCGTACAGAATACAACCATGCACCAAAAAAAAACATGATAGCATCAGCCCCGGGCCGAGCTTCAAAATCAAACACGCTCGCTTGCTATCTCCAAACATAAAGACATTTTGAGCATTCATTCAAGTCATAAATTAGGCGCGCTGGTCGCGCTCCAAGGGCGACCAGGGAGTCTGGCCTTCAACGCCCTTCTGACGAGGTCCATTAAAAGAAGTGTCAGCGTTGCTGCGCTGGAACTTGTTCAAAGCCTCGCGGCCAGGGTCCTGGTCGGTACCAATGTCAGAGTTGAAGCTGGCGTTCTTAGCGTCGTCGGACTGGAAGCCACCTTCCTTGATGTTGTGGTCATAAGGCTTGGAATGCTGGAAGTCGCCGGTAACATCACTGACGTAGGAAGGAGCCTGACCGGAATTGTACTGGCTACGGCCACTACCGCTGGCGGTAGTGTACTCGCCAGCGTTGATGCCCATCTCATGCTTAGCAGCGGTGGGGCCACCGGTGTAGCCAGACTCGGGCAGGTGAGTGCCGGGGAAGTTACCCTGGCCGCCGAGGGCCTCAGGGTACATTTGCTGGTCCTGGGGGTTCTCACGGAGACCGCCGACAGGGGCAGAAGGAAGAGTTTGGGCAGCGGAGGTGTCGGTGTTGTTCACAGTGGACTGGTAGCCTGAGACTCCCATGGGCTCGGCACCACGGTTCTGAGAGAAGGCACCGCCCTGGCGGACGGAGTCGGCGGCAAGAGAGTCATTGGGAATAGGGCCAGAGGGCTCCTCAATAGGGTTCTGGGTGGCTTCAGGGTCGTTGGTGACCTTGGTGCTGCGGGCACCGTGAGGAAGAGGGGTTCCTTGGAGATCCATGATGATACCAAAAGTAATTAAATGGAGTTGAAAATTGGTGTGTAATGAAGAGAACTTTTGTTCGCAGAGAGGTGGAATGTTAATTGATGAAGGATACAGACGGTGGCGATGGCAGGGCTATATAGGCAAGCAGTGGGCTATGACCGAATCGTAATATTGGTAGTATCTGAAGCTCTTAGAAGCAAATCGATAGTAACGAAGAACTGTGATGTCATCTTTACGCTGGTTGATCGTGTTTGCTTGCGAATCAGCAAGTCGCTGTAACGTCAACCACTGACAACCAAGTCTGGCCCAGGATGCTCTGTTTGGCGGTTCGAGACGCCGACAGCAGGGAATCAGTGGAGTATAAGCTCCCCACTGATGTGATTTACCTGTGCTTCTGGGAGGCAGGGAACTAGAGGTCCACATATTGTAGACCGGATTGGACTAAGATTATATCAGGGAGGCGAGATTGACGTCAGGTTTAGGCGCGAGATGCAAACATATCAAACATCTTTATCTTCACCTCGACGTCGAGGTATACTCTTGATAGAACTAATTCGAAGTGTTTCTGTTAAGATTTGAGAACTAGGTTGGAAGCTACAGAAAAAAGACGAAGACGCAGAGCCTGCCGATCTATGAATCATAGGCGGTTATGATCTGCATGGTTCAACAGTTTTCTGAGCACACGACCATTGCCGAGCTAATTGATATGATTGATAACTTTACGATGGATTACTGGCACATAGCTTATTGGATTGAAGATTTCGAAATTCATTCAGTCGCTCATAATGACTTCACAAAAATGGCTTATCATACACATAATAAAATCCATAACTCATATAATCATTTAACGGGTCCTAGCGTCAGAGGGGAGATGGTCGAGTCCCTCAACACCCTGGCGGCCAATATTGTTGCCAGGGGCAGTGGTCTGGTGTAGCTCCTGACCATCAACGCGGGCACTGCTACCAGCAGTGGCGCCCTCACGGAGACCACTGTTATCAGGGGGAGCTCAAAGCGGCCGGAGCCAACAGCGGTGGTACGCTGGTCAAGAGAGTTCCAGTCACTGGCCGCTGGGGGTTGGTTAGGCAAGGGCAGGTTGGCTTTAGTATTCTCGATTTCTGCGGGCTTGTCGGTGTTCTGGTCGATGATTGACTATAGGAGCATGTTAGCGGTCTGGCTTTTGAATGTAGTATGACAATGGTAATTCACCTTCATCTTTGAGACATCAGAGTCGGCAGGGGTCTTGCCATCATGAGACCGGGAAACCTTGGATTCCGGCTTGCGAATTTCCTGGCGAGTGGTGTGGAAGGTAGCCTCAGACATGATGATTGATGCGAAATGCGAGGTTGTAAATGTGTAGAAAATAGTAAGGTATTAAGGCTTGATAGAGAAGGTAGTTGAATCCAAAGAGGAAATTGTAGATGCAGGGCTAAGAGGATTTATATAAGTTGCTTCTTCGCCAATGGCAAGTATGGGTGACGTTTATACTATGACGACATTCGGGCAGGGCCATGGATATGCATTCCCCCATCGAAACCAGCCATTCGATATTTCATCCGGGAATTTCAGACTCTACCAGGGATCTGATGCTGCCGTCAGCAAAGAAGGAAATCCCCGGGTATCGAATTAGCGTCATAGCGGAGGCCACCCCAGGTGGCAATCTATTGTATGATGCATCTTATCCCGTGATCACCATTCAGATATCTCAAGAGAACGAAGTGGAAATCAAGGGATTAAACTTCAACAGCTACTATGTCATAGTTCCACTGGATATGATTGATCCCTTTCTCCTTACCTGGAACCTGTACGGAGTATGCTCGACCCCTTGTAATCGGACTCACAATGAAGTAATTCTAAGTAGAGTCCAACTATTTTGTTCCCATGCCAGTGCATACTGAGTGCAAGTATCGTTGTCCGCTGGCAGATAGTGAACAGATCAAAGAACCTCTTGGAAGACCCCGGTCAGGACTCCAGTATGGCGAATAGATTGTCATATCGACCCTCAAGTACTGAACCAAGCAAGATGTCACCTCTAGTATCCTCTTAACCATGTCAATGTCAGGCACCGATTGCTCTGGATTGTTCGCGATGTCTATCACTTTGATGTTAGGAGTGTGCAGAGACAATCGGAATATAAGTAGCCACATATGCGAACCCACATATTTATCACACCTGACATCCATATCCAATTGGAGTATTCTCGTACTATGGGATATTCCGGAGCTAAAGTATTCCAATATGTTACGATTCAGGCCTGAAGAGTTACACGTAAATAATATCGGCGTCCCAAAATGGCATGTAATAGCTTTGCAAGTATATCACCGCCTTCCCATTTGACATGGCAGAAAATGTTTCTTATCGAAGACTTTGGACACCAAGACCTGTGGAGACTCAGCGAATCTGGTGATTGTTGTTTTTTTGAGGATCTCCCTGCTTGTCGATACACAGATTCTTCAATATGCCTCGAGATCCGCTGATCGGGCTGGTGGGAAAGGTCCGTCGTCACCCATCCATCGCACTATCACCCCACTGACCGCAGACGCGAGGGGCATACAGCCGTCAAGTGGAAAGTCCACAACATTGAACAGTTTGACCGACGCGACTTCAAAAGTTGGTAAGTTGAATTAATTCCGTACTGAGTTATTGCGATTAAAAACTAATATCTTGCCCTGACAGGAAACTTCCCGTACGTGCGCTCCGACTGCTCTGCCCGAGTACCCCCGTCTTATCGAAGTGACTCGCAGCTCTGTTGACACCTCATAGCTTCACAACCATTGACCCCCAGCGAGCCATCGGATATCTCCAGATTGAATGCCCATGCGTGCGACACAATGTTTCAGATCGGTGCCAGCCCAACTATGGCGGTTGTCACGAAGGGCGACGCTCCGTCCCCATAGAATTGCTAGACGTTGCCGGTCTTGTGCCAGGTGCGCATCAGGGTCGCGGACTCGGCAACAAGTTCTTGGACGATCTGCGTCATGCCGATGCTCTCATTCATGTGGTGGACGTGAGTGGAACCACGGACGCTGAAGGTCAGTGTGATGAGATTGGACATAACTGCTGGATCGCAGTGTTGATACATTTGTACAGGCAAGGCTACTCGGGGATACGATCCGTCGGTGGATATTGAGTGGCTGCGATCAGAGATCGTGCGCTGGGTGCAAGGAAACTTGATGGAGAAGTGGTATGTTTGCGGTTGCGAAGAGAACCAAGAAGCCATACTCATTCAATTGTTAGGGGATCGATTAAGCGAAGACACGTTGCGATCAGTCAGTGGATCCCTGAAACTTTTCCCCAATGGTCTGGAACTGACACCCAACAGAGTCAAACGCCGTGGACACATTACAAAAACAGTTCGCTGGTTACGGAAGTACGTCGCAGACAGTTGCGCGGTGTCTCGACAAGACTGGCATTAAAGAACCTTTGGAAGAGTGGTCAGATGAAACAGTAGAAGTCGTCGTCAATGCCTTCATTGACGAGAAATTCCCCACGGTGTTTGCCTTGAACAAGATCGACCACCCCGATGCAGACAAGGTATGAGGGCCCGCCCGTTTGCCTTTTCGCCATGCTGACATGAAAATATAGAATATCAGCAAAATTGCCAAGATGCAAGATCCCCAAAGTATTGTTCTTTGCTCCGCTATATCCGAAGTCTTTCTCCGCAGACTGGCAAAGCAGGATTATATTAAATACATTGAAGGGAGTGAGTTTGTGGATACAAGAGAAGATTTGATTGAAATGGGTGAGCCAGATGGTGGTGGTCTCAAAGAGATGGACGAGAAATTGAAAACGTATGTTCAACCTGCATACCAGAGCTGTTACACCTACTGACCCCCAAACAGCCGGGTTGAGAATCTGAAGGATATGGTGCTGTACCGATTTGGATCTACTGGAGTTGTCCAGTGTCTTTCTCGAGCAGCAGCGCTCCTGGGACTCGTACCAGTGTTCCCAGTTCGGAACGTCCAAACGTTTAGCTCTGGAAATGGAACAGCCGTATTCCGTGACTGCGTTCTAGTCAAGAAGTAAGTGACCCTGTTGACACCTTATGGGGTCCTACTAACATCTCTTAGAAACAGTACAGTTGGTGATGTTGCCCGCAAGGTGATGGGTGATGTGCCTATCAACTACGTTGAAGGAGTTGGTGGAACCCGAGTCTCCGAGGAGGATATCGTCGCAGTTGGGAAACACGACGTAAGTGGACCATTTCTAAACCAGAGTATCCCTTAACTAACCGCCATTGCAGATTCTCTCATTCAAGGTTGGTCGGTAGACCATTCAGTTTATGTACAGCCTGCATGAAATGACAGTAGTAATGGAAATGCCTTATGAACTAAAAAGTACAGTGTCGAGTACTTTGAAAAAAAGACTAGAGCCAGGCGGACCTGAGAGCCTTAACCTCCTTTCTTCAAGTTGGAAGATGGTCAGCAATATAAACTCACACTGCTGGTTTATAGCTCACCTGCGCACGCTCATCATTCATTCCAATAACCGGCTCTGGTGCCTTGGGGTGTTCCTCCTTAGCCTTCTTCCCATGCTTAATTCCGCCTCTTTCTGTCGTCCCTTGGGACTTGGCGTCATCCGCAACACCTTCATTTACCCTCCTTTCGTTCATACTGCGGATAGATGCATCAGATTCTACATCTGCAGTATCACCCTTCTTTGAGCGTTTGACCGTGTGTTCGTCAGCCGAGCTTCCCTTCCACTCTTTCTTCAGGGAGTAATGTCGGACGCTCGGTGCACAAAGAATTGGCGGCAAAGCTGATTGTAACGGTAAAATAAGCCGCCATGTTGGCCGTGTAACAAGTGTCGGAGTCATTGTAGAGATGTGTAGTGAAGAAACAAGTCAGGGTAGGAGATGACCAACTTATATACATCGTTATGACGTCTTCAGGCAAAACTGTTTGGGACAGGGCTTAGGGCCCGCCTTATCGATAAGATGCCTTCGTTCATCATCACTTTCCTTCCTCCCCAAATTAACATGAAGCGCGAATATCTGCCGATCGAAACTCTGCCAGCTTGGCAGTGCCTCAACGGCATTGTCGCGAAAGGCGTCGCGTTCCAGAAACTCGGATCAAGCGAGTATGGTACAGATAAAGGCAGCGCGATCGTCGCGACAGAAGCCAAGTCCAGCGACGAGAACGATACTACGCCCGAAATCCTCCTCCAAATCCCTTCCGATCTGATCCTCTCCCTAGAGGCAGTCCACAACTATGCCAAATCCGACCGGTATCTACGCGATGTATTGGAGGCAATCGGCGACTTCGGAAGGGTAAGAGCTGCTTCACCCGGGGCTCACGGCACCATCTATCTACAACGGAAACCCAACTAAGATATGCAGACAGCTAGAGGGGCTATCATGATATTCCTGCTGGTCCAAATATCACACACCAGCCCCGATCTCCGCGCCAAACACGAGCATGTCGGCGTCTCCAACCCATGGACCGAGTACGTCAAATTTCTGCCTCCGTCATTTCCTCTGCCCACATTTTATACGACGGAAGAACAGGAGTTGTTCCGGGGAACCTCACTCGCCGAGGCCCTGGATGCCAAGTTCATGTCTCTCGAGCGGGAGTTTGAGAATTTATGCCGAGCCACGGAGGGTATTAAGTGGTGTCAGCAGAGCTGGTGGGACGAGGAGAACGGCTCGTTGACGATCCAGGATTGGAAATATGTTGATGCGGCATATCGGTCGCGCATGTTGGATGTCCCTGGCTGTGGACTTGCGATGGTGCCTTGCATTGATATGGCCAACCATGTGTGTGGGGTCGGAGCGAAGGCCCTGTATGACGCAGACTCGAATGGGAATGCAGTTCTTCAGTTGCGATGGGGCAAGAGCCTGCTACCTGGCGAGGAGGTTACCATCTCGTGAGTTGTCCACGAGATGTTCTGGTTGATTGCTATGAGAACAGGGCTGACCGCTGCATTGCAGATACGGAGATGAAAAGCCCGCTTCCGAAATGATCTTTTCCTACGGATTCCTGGACAGCGCCACGACCGAAGCCAGAGAGATTTGTCTCAACATAGACATGCCCGAAGACGACCCTCTCAGTTTCGCAAAGAAAATATTCTGCCAACAAAACCGTGGGATTCGCATCACATCCCAGGGATCTGAAGAGCAACGGTTTACATGGGAAAGCCCCCTTGTTTGGATAGCCTGTGTGAACGAGGAAGACGGGCTTAATTTCGGCCTCGCACAGACAACCGATGGCGGCAGGGAACTCGAAACAACGTGGAAAGGCCAGAAGATCCAATCACCCGATCATCTCCGAGAGCTTCTCGCCGCCGATCCTCTATGGGACATCATCCAGCTTCGCGTCACAGTGCTACTTCTTGAACGACTTGAGACCCAGCTCTCTCTTCTACAGCAGATGGAAGAAGTCATCGCTAACCTCCATGAGAATGAAGTGGCCCTAACCTCATTTTTCCGGCCAGAGATCTTCGAGTTAATCAGTCGGTTCCGAGTTCTCGAAGCCAATCTGCTGGAGAAGGCGGTTGAAGAACTCATCAAACAGGTAAGTCATCTCATGCGCCCAGAGTCTCAGGCTGGAACTCTACCCCCGCCTCATTCCCCCACTAACCATAATCAGCGAACCGAGTTGTTAGGGTCTGCCAGCGTTGCAGCGTATTTCAGCCAGCAAACGGGAGTGGCAGAGGAAGTCGAGGACTTTTCATGAAACCGAATGTCCAGACTTTGATCTGTGACTCTACAATACATGTACAGATGTACACGTTTGAAGCGCCCACTTAAGTTTAGTCTGCACCTGCACCTGCACCTACACCCGCATCTGCATCAAGCCAAGGGTCCCCAGATCCCCCAAAAGATCCATCCATGCACCCACCTCGCCCTGAGTTCTATTCGATGAAACGCCGCGCTATCGACACTAGCTTGAAAATCGTACAGAGAGGGCCCGACTATGACGTTTAGACCGTAGCAACTAGTGAACCCAAGACAGTAAAAGAAGGGTGATTGAGGTGATCGGCAGGGATAGGATTGTATGCGGGGAAAGTCGCAGGCCGCACATCGGATCTCCGCTGGACCGGCTTAGAATGCGACGCCCGAGATTAACGAAAGTTACCTGAGCGTATAGTCGGTCAATGAATCGGCAGAGATGTGTGCACAGCAAGTATAAGCCCAATATTGAGAATCAAGTGGAGAAGATCGCCCACTCACAGCCATGGTTATCTTTTCTCGCGATTCTCTCGGGCAAAACTCGCTTGGGCTGATCCAAGACCCTTTTATTGCTTATGATAGGTGCATTCTGACTTCCCCAGTTCCGGAAATGACGATTGCCACCGGGATTTGCGGTTTGAGTTCTGAGATTTGGGGTGGAAGTCTGGGGATGAGTGCAAGATGACTTCAGAGGTGTACATCTGGGCAGTTTGCTGAACTGTTACTGTACTGAACTGTGACCGATGATCGGACTATACACGTTAATCACGAGGACCTGATGTGCCGCACCCTCCCCAGCCGAGTCAAAGTCTAAGTGTGTTTCCCCATAACCACTTAGAGTAACCCAGAGAGCGAAAACTTAAGCAGAGCCGAGTGAAATCAAAGCAGAGCGAGTTGATACGATTCACCAACAAATTCATTGGCGGTCCCCGGTGTATTCCCCGGTTCCCCACCTGACTCAGCGCTTCCCCCATTCCCCCAGGCGCCTCTCTCTCTCTCTCTTACATCTCAACCTCACGCCACTTAATATTCTACACTGTTCTGCTTATTCTCTTGACTGACAAGTTGCGAAAGCCATCACCACTCAAAGTTCGAACCTCGGCCCATGTGCCCCTCTGCCCAACATGCCTGGTATCTTGCCCATGAAAGTGATCAAGGTCGGCGGCACTGGCACGCAGAGCCGCATCGCCCAAGCCTGTGACCGCTGTCGTAGCAAAAAGATCCGCTGCGATGGTGTTCGCCCCTGCTGCTCACAATGCGCCAACGTCGGCTTCGAATGCCGAACCAGCGACAAGCTCAGCCGCCGAGCCTTCCCCCGTGGATATACCGAGTCATTGGAAGAACGAGTCAGGAGTCTGGAGACGGAAGTCAAGGATTTGAAGGATCTGTTGGACGAAAAGGACGAGAAGATCGACGTCTTGTCAAGGATACATTCGTTTTCGCCCGCGCCGCAACGAGCAGCATCGATGCGGTCCCCCTCGGCAGCCGCAACGTCCAAATCAAGCCCCTCAGATTCGTCGGATGGTTTGATTCATGTAGAGCAATCGTCAAAGCGCCCATCCCCGAAGTCGCAGAATCCGTTCATGGGTTTTTCCACTACCCAGGGATTTGCCGGTATGTGCCATGTGTCACGAGAATAGGAAACGACGAAGCTGACTAAATTACGCAGACGTATTCACCGACAGACTTGTTAGCCAAGGGAAGTCTGCTACTAAAATTCCCACGGTGGCGCTGACAGCATTGTCTACCTCGGTATCTCGAGGCAAGCCTAGCCAAGCGGTGAAAACACCACCCCGCTTGGTCTCCGATCAACTGATCAACATCTTCTTCCAAGAATGGGCGCCCCTGTACCCGGTGGTCCATCGTCCGACTATTTTGAAGGCCTATGAGCAGTATCTTAGTAATACCGAGTCTCTTCAGCGCGATGCCCATGCCATGGCGCAGTTGAACTTGATCTTCGGTATTGCAGCGCTCTCTTCAATTGTAAGATTGAGTTCGTCATTGTATTTGAAGGTATACTAATTGATCCCTCGCAGTCGAGAACCAACCAGGACCCGACCTTCTTCGAGGAGAACTGGTCGACTACGCTTGATTCATTCTCGGGCGAGACCTCCATGTCGAGCCTGCAGTGCTTTGCTCTTGGTCAGATCTATTGTATGACAAAGGGCGATTATCGCACTCTGCTTCGCTACCGCGCTCTTGGTGTAGACATTTGCCACCAGTTGGGCTTGCACGAAAATCTAGATACCTCGACCAATCCTCTTGAAGATGAGACTCGCAAGAAGGTTTTCTGGTCTCAATATGTTCTGGACCGGTACGTCACATGTGCTATACAGCGACGACAGTCTGCTAACATATGATATAGTTTCTGCTCCGCTCTTACTGGAATGCCTGTTCTCTTGCGCGAGGATGACATCCGGATCGAGTATCCGGTTGACGTGGACGATGAAAATGTCACCGAGACTGGGTTCCTGCCAACCCTCCCTGGTGAATCCACCCGCATCTCTAGTGCTATCGCATTGTTCGGGGCTTCCAGAATCCTAAACAAGGCTTTGGAGGACATGTTCTCTTCCAAGTCCGAATACGATGTATCTGTTTCAAAGATGCGCTCCGTTGCAGGACAGTTGGACGAGTGGCTGCAAACACTGCCTGCCCATCTCCGTCTCGAGTTTAGCCAAGATAAGCCTAGCACGAACGTCACTAGCAGCCGTTCCCCCTCCTGGTAAGTCCAATTCGTTACTTAATACAGGTAAACAATACTGACCCCATATAGTCTCTTGTCTACTATTTCATCAGATCTTTGATCCACCGTCCGGCCGTGTGTTTCGCAGACGAGAGTCTTCGCTCTCCATCCGTTCTAGCAATGTCCGATTCGGCCAAGCACATCATTCAGATTCTCGAGCTTCTCGATGAAAGACGCCTCTGTCTCTCTTTCAATATCAACCGCAAAGAGTTGATGTTCTTTTCTGGACTTGGGCTCCTGTGGCAGATGCTTGGTGTGAAGCGCGATAGCAAACTCGGCAGGGAGACTCAGAAGATGCTCGGTACCGCTAGGGGACAACTTCAAACAGAGTCCACTGCGGCAGCTGCTGAATTCGACACCCTGTCAAGCACCCTGGTTTTCCTGGATGACAGTAAACGGCCATCGTCCGACAAGGCTTCCCATGAAATGGGTGCGCCGACACACAAACCACTCAAGTCCCCCAAGAAGCACTTGCAAGCTTTGAAGTCGCGTCTTACCAGTTCTGCTCGCGACCAGCCCAAGCAAGACTCACCCCAAGCCTCCCGCCGGAACACCATCTCTGGCGCAACTCCACCACTCGTCGCCCAATCCCTCCGCTCGCCGAGCTGGAACAGTCTTCCACCTGCACAGCACGACCACCTTACCCCTGCATTCCTCACCGACAAAGACCACTCTCCTCTCGACCTCGCCTCAGCCGCACCAATGAACTACGAGCATCACCGGTCAATGTCTTGCTCAACACCCTCCGAGCCAGCCCCCGGCGCTATTACAATGGCCGACTGGGAATACGTACTCAGCGACATGGACCGCGGCTACTCCAACATCTTCACAGGGATTTACGGTGGCAAAGACTGTGGTGAAGACTCAGGCCCCTTTGCCTCGATCACAGCCGAATGCAGTCGCAAACCCATGGAGGACCCGCCAGCCATTCCGCAACCGAACGAACTCCAGGATTTGTCCCCCAAGTCCTGGTCAGCTAGTAGCGGTGAATTCCCTTCTGTGCAAGAACATGCTACGCAGAGCGTGCTCAGTTACTCGGGTGAGAGTATGGGAAGCATGGATGATACCCTGGCCCCGTATACAGATGTCAAGGTCTATCCCGAGGATATCAACACACTGGATCCATTCAACGCCTTTCCCATTCCAGGCGAAGACAAAGCCGATGACGGATTCGATGAGTTCTCGCTGGTAAATGGTTGGGACCGACGGCTGGCCGTTTGAATGCTTCAATCATTCAAGAGTCACAAAGGGGTTTTGGGAAGGATTTAAGGGATTTCGTTCTAATGATACCTGTGAAGGCGTTCAATTTTTGATTTTTGCCTATTTATTTGCCTTTATGTCTCTCTTTGGAAATATGTGCTTTACATTGTTATTATGGCTGGCATACCTGGTATATAGTCTCTGCCAAGGCGAGGATGGTTAGGTACTGCCTAGGACTCATGCGTTCTTTTGGATATGAATTTGATGACTTCGAAGATGAAAATTGGTTCCAAGGTTACTTGGCACTTGATAGGCGTATACAAAGAAAATGCTAGTAAAGATGGATATAGCCAAGCTATAGGGGAATAATGGTATCACAAACTAGGATCCAAGGTATCCAAGTAAATCCAGCTAAATACACAAGAGAGCATGGACCTCAGTGCTTCCGCAAACTCAAGTTCTCACAGTGCACATCGAACTTACTGAGTAACACTAATCCCATAAGGACCAGCATTCGAAGCCAAGTATTGGCCAACTTGGACAGTATGCGTACTCGTGTCCTGCGCGACCATGCTATAATTACCATTGGTTCTGACTTTGGTCAAAGGCGGTTAAACGTCCTTTCGGATGAATTTCCATACTTCCAATCGGCAGATGATCCCATAGCAGGAGCGAAAGCGGCGATGATTGTTTTGAAGAATGGCATGTTTGCGCAGATGTTCAACTTCAGCTTCCAGACATGAGACAGAGGCAATGCAATAACCATTAAATCGGTAACAATGTGCACGACACCAGCGACCATAAAAGCAGCCGGGCGATTACCACAAGTCCCTTGATAGATACGTCCCGATTGTAGGTAAAAGGGCGACACAGCAAGAAGGCTTCGAGGATGACACTGGTAACCCAAGCCCAAACAATGAACAGGGAGACTCTTACCGCGACGCGTTAGCATTGATCACCAATAACAGTGACAATGGTGCAATGTGCTTGGACGTATACCTTGGTCACTAAGGCCGTGTTAGAATCGCTTGTTGGAAGGGTAATAGAGGAGAATACTGACGTAGAGTAAGGCCAGAACGCCGTACATCAACAAGTATGCAATTGTTGGAACAGAGTCTTGGCTTATATCTCTGCAGATTATTGCCCACGTAAGCAGCGCTGAAGGAGTTACTAAACATCTTGGCAGTTCTCTCCCCACCGTATATACTTTCTTCTTGTGTATGCCCTTTATTTGTGCTCCGGCGTGTTTTTACGAATATCTTGAGAGGAAAATTGGAGTAAATGATACCTTCAAAGTTATGATCAAGGCAAAAGTTAGTTCGCCAACTCAACATGTTGTGTGGATAGGCATTATTGGAATAGCGAAAGGATGCCCAAGGTCAGGGTCCATGGCTCTTTCTGAATGCATGCCTCATGTATAGTATTCACTCTAAGAAATCTGACTTTATAACCAAGCTTCACTGATGAGCTCATACAATGGGGTAGGAGCTAGGGAATACAGAGTAACAAAGTCCCAAACAAGGCAAATAAGACCAGTATACTTCCCAGCCTGGCGACAATCACAATCCGGCCTGTGGGCATTAAGCCGCTGTGTCAGCGGATGATCAGCATTTTAAACCCTGTGATTGGTCAGAAGTATGAGTACTTGACCTCAAAATGAAATTACGACATGTTGTACAACAGCAGCACATCACGGAGAGTATTTTGATGAGATACACACGTAAATTGCTCAGTATGACAGGGGTCGTGTTCCGAGAAAACCTATAAATCACATCTCTCCCAACCATCCCTGATCATCTCGTTAGGCTGATTCAACTCAAGGCAAGGATGGGGCCATTTCTTAGAATGAAGTCAGGCTTCTTGCCGGCCATAATAGTGACATTTATCTTGTTGCAGCTCTTGTTTCTACTGAATATGTGCTATCTCCATGCAACACAATTCCGAAGTCTCACTCGCTCCCACAACTTCAAAGTTCTGTATGTCGACTACGACGGAGGGGTCATCGGCAAGTCGGTTTCAGACGCATACCAGGATCTACGTGGAGACAGCTTTCCAACTCTACACGAAGTCGCCCCCAGAGAATATCCGCAGCCGAGCGATATTCGAGACGCCGTGTGTCGTGGTAAATACTGGGGTGCCATCTACGCCAAGTCAGATGGATCGGTCAATTTGACATCTGCATTGGGGTCTGGTGCTTCCACACCAACCTCGCTCGCCTATGTCTGGAATGGAGCGAGATACCCGGTATTTTCACAGTCGGTAGTCTACAGCAACCTCTTGAAACTGATTCAAACCACTCGGTCAACATACTACGACAACAATGGATCTTCAGTGGCTACCACTGCCAATTTCTCTATTCCAGCCACCCTGAAAGCATTCGTCGACCCAATCCAAGCCGAGCAAATCAATATCAAGGAGACGGAAGAAGGAACAAGGGTATTCTACAACACAATCTCCATGGCGATGCCCATAGTTCAACAGTTCTTCTACATGCTAGCCTTGAACGGAATCGGATCTGTCTTCGACGCATTCACTCAGCTGTTGTGGAAAACCAACGCCCTGCTTCGCCTGACAGTCTCACTACTCTACACCTTTGTAGGAGCCCTCTGCATGACAGGCTATATCTGGGCGTACCGCGAAACCTGGCACCAAACCGGCAGCCACTTCGCCCTAACCTGGATGATCCTCTGGCTACTAATGCACATCAACATCCTATTCTTCGACATAATCACTGCCTTCGTCGAGATTCAATGGATGCCATACATCGTCCTGACATGGGTTATCCTCAACGTCGCCAGTACAATCACACCATTCGAAATGAGTCCTGCCTTCTTTCGCTGGGGATATGCGCTTCCTTCTCACGAGGCGTATCAGGTTTTAATGCAGATTTGGTCGGGGGGTTGTAATAATCGGCTGTACCAAGCCGTTCCAATTATGTTCTCGTGGTGGACTATTGGAGTCCCTACCTCTGTATTTGCGATGTACTATCGTTGCAGGAAGGCTGTGGCTGGGGTAGAGCTCTCCGATCGTGAGATCCAGGAAAAGAATGTCGCAACCGAGTATCAGACTGTGACGGAAATTCATGACTCTGATGGTGAATGGCGGGGCAATGATGATGAGGTTCAGGCGCTTCCTGTTCAACGATTCGACTGAAATAAGATTTGCGACCAGAGTATGGTTAATTGAATGGAGAGAAAAAGGGAGATTCCAAGGATATCCTGGTTGAATAGTTCAGTAGATTCAATTCGATTGATGTCAAGTGCGGTATCCATCTCTGACTATTAGTATTGATGAATGAATCGAGCCCTTGATTTCCTATGTATACATTAGAGAACAGCCGAATAAAAGACCCCTGTTTGCAGGTTTCTATCATTCCGCAGATTTGAGCTCGTTCATATATAGATGGGATTCTGCCTGAGGCCGAAATTGCTGCCTGAGGCCTGATTTCTCACAGGCCGGCCTTGACCTTCATCGCCCTCACGGCATCCCCAGGATGCGAGACGGAGATCAGACCACATGCAGCCCCAAGAAATTGGCGGAAACCACCGGGAAGATCATGTCCAAGCAAAGTAGGGCCAAACCAGGGACACTAGTTGGCTGGCGGTCAATGGTCGGAGGCGAAACCCAAGCTGTGGTTGGTATTGGCTGCCACCGATTTCATCACTCAAAGCAGAGCACCCTCGAACCGATCACGAGAGCATAAAGCCGAGACTTCCGCGCCACCCACACTTTTGCTGCAGAACCTACAGAACCTGCAGAACCTGGAGAGTCTGGAGTCGTGGAGAGCTTCCGACCCACGGGTGGACTGGTCGACCTGCCAAATGCGTGGTCACTTCCCCAGATTCTCTCGTGGCTCACGGACATAACCGCCGGCTGTTAGTCCCACGCGACTCGTGAAATCAACGTGTCATCGGTTTGAGCTTTGGCGCACTTGCCTCACTATCATGGTTCAACTATCCAGGAAATGCAGGTTTCTGGGCTTTCGTCACAGTGCGCCTACTGCCCAGTCTTGACTTTCTTGGTCAGGCACAGTATAAGGTATAAGAGGGAGATGATCCGGCGCTTCTAGGAAAAGTTGGGAAACTCTATTACCGAGTAGATTCTACTATTCTCACTACTCACTGGCGCTATGTTCAAGAAGGTGTTTCAAAAACGTCCGCAGGACCTCTATGCGAACTCCGAACTCCCTAGGGAGTCGGTATCTACCCATGAACACGAGAAAGGTCCCGGCGACGTCGTTGACACGCCAATCCCGCTTCTGACCTGGCGCTCATTCATTATGGGCGTCTTCGTTTCTATGGGAGGTTTCCTTTTCGGTTATGATACTGGTCAGATCTCGGGTTTCCTTGAGATGCCCAATTTCCTACAGCGATATGGTCAACTCCAGTCTGATGGCTCTTATGCATTCAGTAATGTGCGCTCGGGTCTCATCGTTGCTTTGGTAAGTGCCGTGTAGGTTGTCGATTCTTGTTCGCATACTAACAAATCTATAGTTGTCGATTGGTACACTGATGGGAGCTTTGGTCGCTGCCCCCATTGCCGATCGCGTGGGACGGAAATGGTGCATTAGTGGCTGGTGCGGGATGGTGTGCGTTGGAATCACCGTTCAAATCACCTCACCCGATGGAAAGTGGTATCAGGTCGCCATAGGCCGTTGGGTCGCTGGACTCGGCGTGGGTGCTGTTTCGCTGCTGGTTCCCATGTATCAAGCCGAGTCGGGACCGCGTCATATTCGAGGATCGCTCATTAGGTATGTTGACCAGAGACATTGTCTAGAATGATTTCTGACTATCCGCAGTACCTATCAGTTGTTCATCACGCTTGGTATCTTTGTTGCCAACTGCATCAATTTTGGAACCGAAGCCAATGCCGACACCAGCTCGTGGCGTATTCCAATGGGTATCACATACCTCTGGGCCTTGATTCTCGGCATCGGCATGGCGTTCTTCCCAGAAAGTCCGCGATACGATTACCGCCACGGCAAAGTAGAGAAGTCCATAACCACACTTGCCAAGATCTATGGCGTTCCTCGCAATCACCGTGCTCTCAATATAGAGTTTAATGAGATCAAAGAGAAGTATGAGGACGAAAAGCGCCATGGACACGCCACTTGGATCATGTTGTTCCGTGCTCCGACCATGTCATACCGGGTGGCTGTTGGTGTCGCCTTGCAAGCTCTGCAGCAGCTGACAGGTGCTAACTACTTCTTCTACTATGTAAGCCGCCTTCACAGTTTCCATTGGCAAACCCAGGCTAACACCATATCAGGGAACAACCATCTTCCAAGGCGCCGGTATCAAAAACAGCTACGTGACTCAGATGATTCTGGGTGGCGTAAACTTTGGAACGACTTTCCTTGGTCTCTACCTGATTGAGCACTACGGTCGCCGTCGCTCTCTGATTGCCGGTGCCCTGTGGATGTTTGTATGCTTCATGATTTTCGCCTCAGTGGGCCACTTCTCCCTCGATATCGAAAACCCGGAAGCAACCAAAACCCCTGGTGTGGTAATGGTAGTATTCGCCTGTCTCTTCATCCTCGGCTTTGCCAGTACATGGGGGCCAATGGTATGGACCATCATCGCCGAGCTGTATCCTTCCCAATACCGAGCGAAAGCCATGTCTCTCGCGACAGCGTCGAACTGGCTCTGGAACTTCCTTCTCGCCTTTTTCACACCCTTCATCACCGGCGCAATCGACTTCCGCTTTGGATACGTCTTTGCGGGATGTCTTTTCCTTGCTGCCGGTCTGGTTTATGTCGCCGTTATTGAGGGACAGGGTCGTACCTTGGAGGAGATTGATACTATGTATCTCATGAAGGTCAAGCCGTGGAAGAGTTCGAAGTTCCAGTTCCCTGCCGATCCGAACGTGATCCGTGGCTCATTTGACAAGGGAGGTGATCAGCCTGCGTCGGCTCATGTTGCTGATCCAACTACTGAGTTGCGCGAGGATGGGACAACTGCGCCTGAGGCAACTGCGCCTGAGACTCGTGCATAGGCAAAATGGGGTGACGAATGCGACGGGAATGGGAGTTAGTTGCTTGGGTGGTTAGAGCCTGTTCATGTATTAGTACTTGTATGTCAATTTCTTGTTAACGTCATATTTGGTATACCATCGAGGTGTTTACATCAACGCAATTTAATCCAATTTATGCTACCAGTGCTATTCTTATTACCTAGTCACAAAATTGATCTACTTTCTGACAAGTATATTATCCAAGTACTCAGTCATCTCATCCACATCTCCCAATTCACCAACCCATCCAATATACTGATCGGGGCGAACAATAACCAGAGCTCCAAGAACCCAATCCACTCCCCATTTCTCATACGCTGTTCCATCACAGTACCGGTCAAAGATACAAGAGTCATCACACCACACTTTGTCATAGGCCCAGCCTCGGACCGGGTCGAAGGGACGCAGAATCTCCGGGAAGTCAAAGAATTCAGCTTCCTTCCACGGCGCACTGTGAATGGTGAGGACGTCGATAGGGCTGTCATAGCGACCAGGAATCGAAACATAGCGATCCAAGGGAGACTGTTTCGAAGTAAACTGCCCAGCGAAAACCTGACACAGTGTCTCAAGGCGTCCCTTTTGCATCGGATTTCGTATGTCGCCAGCCAGAACGAGTATGCGGAACCTCCCATCACTTTCTAGCAGCCTCGTTGTCCACTTAGTACCACCTTCGGCCTGATGTCGAAGCTTGACTGGCTTCAATCTCTCCCCTGGAACAATATATCGAGCAACAGCCTCGGAGCCAGGCTTGCAAACAAGACAACTACCAGGGTAAAAGACTTTCCACCCATCAGCAAAATCCTCAAACTTCCCCGCAATATCAAACATAGCAGCGGCCTTGGTAGCCTTTTCGCCAGGAGGCTTCTGATCAGTAAACATAGGCGACCAATGCCGATCAAAATCAAGCAACATCTCCGCAAGCGGGTGTCGTTCAAGATCATAAGTCGCCAAAATCTCGGGCTTACCAGTTCCCGCAACCGCAAGCGCGATCTTCCACCCAACATTGAACCCGTCCTGCATACTCATATTCATACCAAGCCCCATCTTAGGTGAATGAGTATGCACCGCATCACCTGCAAGGAAAATACGATCCTCCTTCGTGAACTTGCTTGCAATCCGCTGGCCCACCTGATACACCGTCCACCAACTACAGGCTTGGAAGTCGAACGTGAAAGGAGAGAGAATTGCTTGAATGCGCGTGCGGATCACTTCTGGTGTTATTGTCGAGCGGTCGAAGCGGGTGGTCGAGCTTGCTTCGCAGACATGCACTGGGACGTAAAAGCGGACAAGGCCTCGTTCACGTGGGATTATGAGGATTGTGCCTGCGGTGTTGCTGACGATGCTTACGCGGCGGATGTCCGCTGTGAATATTCAGTTATTGAATCCTCTTGGAAGGATTGGGTTGAGGCACTTACGGAAATCGCTGATAGGTAACACGTCTATCACACCCCTGTATTTATATGTCAGATGAAGATAGGGACAGAGATATTGTGACAGATACTGACCAGATATGATCCGTGTTGGAGCCTTCTACGGGGATATCTAACTGTTTCCTCGTCCAGCTGTGGGCGCCGTCACACCCAATGAGGTACTTGGCTTTGACTATTTCGACCTTCGACTTTCGGTTCCTCTGCTGGGCCTGATCATCCCAGTCATCGGGAAGCAAATCGTGATGTTTCAATTCATTGCGAGTAATTCCAGAGCCAGATTGGCTCTGACCGCACGGCACATTCGAAGCTTCCTCTCCTTGATTGCGGAGCTTGACCGTGATGGGGTATGAATCCGGGTCTTTCCCCAGGTTCTGGTCGTACTCCAGAGACTCGGCAAGGACATCACGTTCAACTTCCAGATCAGAGTATTCCTGGATACTGTCCAGAATGAACCGCTCAATACGGCCCTGGTTCAAGCGTGTATTGTGGTAAGGCGACTCATCAACCCTGGAGATGTTGAATGGACCTTTTCGGGTGAGCTTTCCGCTCTCACCTGGTACCTATTTACTCATCAAAATGTCAGTCTGCGTTCACCTTTTAAGGAGAATGGGGCATACACACCCAGAAATTAGCTTCAGTCGAAATCGACCCCTCGTGCAAAACACGATGCTGAAATCCCATGCTATCAAACAACTCGAGTGTGCGAGGACGCAGTCCATCCGCATGCCCTACGAACACTTTCGTGCTCCGTTTATCAATAACACGCGCCTTGACACCACACCGAGCCATCCAATACGCAGCCATGAGTCCGGACGGACCGGCTCCAATAATCAATCTACAAGAAACAGGAACAGTTAGAGCAGCTCATTCAAGGATTGACAGGTACCTTACACATCGGTGTGGGATTCCACAGGTATGTCCTGATCATTCATGGTGTGCAGTGTATCCCAAATCTTAGTAAAAGCAAAGCTGTAGGCTGACAAGATATGAGAGAGAGGGAAGCTACCATGACCACTGATTGAACGCAGGCCTTTTTTATATAGGACTACTAGACCATGCTGTGCTACGCGGTTTTGATCCGAGGTCGCTTGATGCAACCATACATCCTGCAGGCTGACTCCTTTCACGGATAGTGTTAGCCATGAGAAGCTGAACCTGTCCCTCTGTCAGGGTTCTATACTGGGATTGTGATATATTTTCTTCGTAAAGTAGCGATACAGCGATGCCTCTGTATGAGCTTGGACAACTGATTTGGGCACCAGTCATTTCCGTCAGGTGATTAATGTTGATTTTTCTTGTATGATGAACATATCCACTGTATGAGCTGAATAGCACATTGTCCAACCTCAGCCAGCGGTGACATTCCCGGAAGTCCCGCTTACATTCCCGGAGGTGAGGCTCCCGGTTGGCAATTGATTCGGAGACTTTATGCATTTCTCATGAAAGAAGACGTGATATAATCGGTATTGTTACGGAGTATTCACTCTGAAATCCCATATGTTCGAGCGGGAGGCTTTTCTCATTTGTCGATGGCTGGTATTTCGCCCGCCGGAGCATCCCTGGGCGGAGTGCACAAAACAAGAGTTCTGGTTACACAGAGTAAGACGGGCTTTGACGGAGAATTTCCATCTGAGTCTGACCAGTGTAGTCCTTTCACTACCTTAATGCAAGTAGGTGAAGTACACAGATATACTACGCACGTGACCACACTACACCCCTTCGGGCACACCGGGGCCAAACGTTCAACTTCCCAACGTCTGGAGATGACCAATCTGGTGGAGACTTCAGGACGTCCAGATGCAATTTTCTGCCTTTCGGACTGACATTGGGCCTTTCTTGTCAGGCTTGAATCGGATTGGCCACATGTGGAAATCCGAGATGCATGACCAGCCCCTAGAGAGCTACTACATGCCACTATCTTCCACTATCTTCCGCTATATCCCACCTATTGCTCAGATGACCATCGGCACGGGTATTGAGGAGCCACAGGTTGGGAAATCGGCTAATTTTATTTTGTTGGAAAGCCCGGTTGTGACTCGGAGCAGGGTCCTCCGGGTGGACTGCCGGTGTATAGGAGTGGGATGAGCGGAAATGTATCGGAGGTGTGGGTACGGCTATCGAGTCAGACGGTAACATTCCAGAGTGTTATACTGTAGGCAAAACGTTGAGGTCTATAGAAGTACATGTATATTGAAGTATACGGTGAAAGCTCTTATAGACGGAGCTTCCTTCGGCTGACTCATCACATGATGCAATTGACTTGAAATAGAGAGGCTAATAGAGAAAGTAATAAAGAAAGCAATAGGGAACGAACAGAAGAAACAATTGAACTGATTTAGCCTGTAAAGAGACTAAAAAGACATCGACTCGGAATTTCCCAGTATTAACGGCTGATACATAAAGCTGCGAGCCAAGCGCCCCCCCACCGACATCATACCCCACCAACAAATACGTCCCCCTCCCTCTTCTCTTCTTCTCTCATCCCTCCCTTCCAATTTATCCTCTACTTGTACCAAACATGTACGTTCATCGCATTGCTGTGCTCTTCATCTCTAACTGTCTTAGAATCTGCCATCATGGGTTTCACTGATCTGGACCAGTTGGCTATTAACACCATTCGTGTTCTCGCGGTAAGCCCCTCCTCTCCGGCAATGGCGCATTTGCGAACTGGCGAACTGCGAACTTGCCATTGAGTTCAGAATGATCTGAGCAAATGCTTCAATGCGCTTCAATTGAGCGTAATTACTGACCTTCGACGTCCAGATTGATGCCACCTCCAAGGCCAACTCCGGTCATCCCGGTGCCCCTATGGGCATGGCCCCCGTGGCCCACGTTCTGTTCAACAAGTTCATGAACTTCAACCCCAAGAACCCTGACTGGGCCAACCGTGATCGTTTCGTTCTCTCGTATGTGCAGTTCCCTATCATCTGAATACGGCTCGTAGGGTTCCGCGCCAGCCTTTCCTCGAAACTGGTGGCAGCAGCTTTCGGACAACCACTAACGCCACCTCCATAGCAACGGACACGGCTGCATGCTCCAGTATGCTCTGCTCCACCTCTTCGGCTACGCCCTGTCCATGGACGATCTGAAGCAGTTCCGTGTATGTACATTCGAGCCATACATGATAGGATTTTCACTGACTTTCGCAGCAAATCGACAGCATCACCCCCGGTCACCCCGAGGCTCATGACACCCCCGGTATTGAGGTCACCACTGGACCTCTCGGCCAGGGTTTTGCTAACGCCGTTGGTCTCGCTATGGCACAGGCCCACTCCGGTGGTGTCTACAACAAGCCCGGCTTCGAGCTGTTCAACAACTACACCTACATGTTCTTCGGTGATGGCTGCGCCATGGAGGGTATCGCCTCCGAGGCCGCCTCTATGGCCGGTCACCTTAAGCTCGGCAACCTGATTGCCATCTACGACGACAACCACATCTCCATTGGTAAGCCCAATCCCTCAGCCCAATTACATTACAGAGACTGACTCTGCTACAGACGGTGACACCAAGTGCGCCTTCACCGAGGACGTCCTGAAGCGTTTCGAGGCTTACGGCTGGCACACCGAGTGGGTCAAGGATGGTGACCACGACCTCGAGGGCATTGAGGCTGCTATCCGCAAGTGTCAGCAGGTTACTGACAAGCCCTCCGTCATCAAGCTGACCACCACCATTGGTTTCGGCTCCAAGCTCGCCGGTACCGGCGGTGTCCACGGTAACCCCCTCAAGGCCGACGATGCCCAGGGTGTTAAGAAGCTGTTCGGCTTCAACCCCGAGGAGAGCTTTGTTGTTCCCCAGTCTGTCTACGACCTCTACCACAAGCACGCCGCCGACGGTGCCGCCAAGGAGCAGGAGTGGAACCAGCTCTTCCAGAAGTACCAGTCTGAGTACAAGACCGAGGGTGCTGACCTCGCCCGCCGTCTCTCCGGCAAGCTGCCCGAGGGCTGGGAGAAGAGCCTCCCCGTTTACAAGCCTACCGACGCTGCCGTCGCTTCCCGCAAGCTCTCCGAGGCAGTCCTCGAGGCCATCCACGATGTCGTTCCCGAGCTCGTCTCTGGCTCCGCCGATCTGACTGGCTCCAACAACACCCGCTGGAAGAACGCCGTCGACTTCCAGCCCCCTGACCTCGGCATTGGTGAGTGGGCCGGTCGCTACGTCCGCTACGGTGTCCGTGAGCACGCCATGGCCGCCGTCATGAACGGTCTCGCTGCCTACGGCACCATCATCCCCGCCGGTGGTACTTTCCTCAACTTCGTCTCCTACGCCGCCGGTGCCCTCCGTCTGTCCGCCCTCTCCCGCGTTCGTGTCATCCACGTCGCTACCCACGACTCCATCGGTCTGGGTGAGGACGGCCCCACTCACCAGCCTATTGAGACCCTGGCTCACTTCCGTGCCCTCCCCAACTGCATGGTCTGGCGTCCCGCCGACGGCAACGAGACCAGCGCTGCCTACTACTCCGCCCTGACCGCCAAGCACACACCTACCGTCATGGCCTTGACCCGCCAGAACCTGCCCCAGCTCGAGCTCTCCACCATCGAGAGCGCCCTGAAGGGTGGTTACGTCGTTGTCGACACCGCCAACGCTGCCATCACCATTGTCTCCACTGGTTCCGAGGTCAGCATCGCCATTGAGGCCGCCACATATCTCCAGGAGAAGCACGGTGTGGCTGCCCGCGTTGTGTCTATTCCTTGCTTCGAGGTCTTCGACGCCCAGGACAAGGCCTACCGCCTCAAGGTCCTCCCCGACGGCATCCCTGTGCTGTCCGTCGAGGCCTGCTCCACCATGGGTTGGGAGCGCTACTCTCATGAGCAGTTCGGTCTCAACCGCTTCGGTGCTTCCGGCCCCTACAAGGAGGTGTACGCCGTAAGTTATTTCCACTCCTTTTTTTGGGTGCTTTATACTAACCTTCTCCAGAAATTCGAGTTCACCCCCGAGGGCATCAGCAAGCGCGCCCTTGCTACCATCGACTTCTACAAGGGCCACAACGTGCGCTCGCCCATTAACCGTGCTTTCCAGCAGATCCTGTAAGGAACGGAACGAATATGACGTTAAAAATTGTTTTGGTTTTTATGAGGAGCGATTGCCCTCCAGATACACAAGAATGCAAATAGAGTATTCACCTGTTAACCTGAAGCGCTCGTAGCATGTAGTGATCATGGTTCCCATGTTTTCTTCTGCATCTCAATAACCTCCCGCAACATCTCCTCTTTCTTCTTCCGCGACTCAGCAGTGGAAGGCCCATATGCCTCTTCCGTCTGCCGAACAACCATATCTCTCCACGCCTGATCACCTTGAATATCGATCTGCCCCAGATCACCCCACACATCCTGAATCGTCGGCTCCAGCTTTTGCAAAAATGCCCCAATTCCACCCTCTCCACCACCAGCATGATAGCTCTCAAACACACCACTCCCAGCCCACCTAGGCCCCACACTAGCCGTAATAATAGCATCGAGATCCCTCGCCGAAACAACCCCCTCCCCAACAAGAGAACAAGCCTCGCGCAACAAAGCAAAAGCAAGCCGATTCCCCACAAACCCAGGAGCCTCCTTATGCAGCGTAACAGGCCGATAATGGCCAGCAGTCTGACCATCGACAGAACCAGGACCGGGAATCCCTTCAAAATACCCCTTCACAAACTCAACTCTCTCAACCGCAGTCTCGGGTCCAGGCACAACCTCCACGAGGGGCATTATATGCGGTGGGTTGAACGGATGCGCGACAAGTAGCCTCCCACCTACCCCATCCGCAGGATCACAGGTAGCACCCTGCGCCGACGCAGCAATCCCGGAAGAACTACTCCAGAGATGTGCATCATGCTTAGCAAATCGCATAACCTCCTTCCAAAGCGCCTGTTTGGAAACGGTCACTTCGGGACTTTGTTCCTGAATGATCGTCGCCTTCGTCACGGCTTCTTGGAGGGTGGATGCTAATTTCAGGCGGGATGTTTTGAAGAGGTGGTCCACTATATTTGTTTCTGATCCTGATGCAGTAGCCGAACCTGGGAACTCCAGAATGGAGGGGAGGTTGTTCCGGATTTGAGTTTCTGTGTCTGGGCGTGGGTCGTAGACTGCTATGCTTGTATCTGGGCGGCGGAGGTGCATTGCTAGCATTGAGAGACCGATTGTTCCTAGGCCCAAGAGGGCGATTTGGTGGGGGTATTCCTTCGACATGAGTGAGATTGGACGCTGGAGATGAGAGAGAGAAAAGATGAGAAGGAGAGAAAGAATATGCGGAGTGTTTAGGGAAGTGGGAGATGCGGGGATCCGAGGTACTCAAGTTTAGCATATCGTGACTCTAAACAATCACTTCAATTCATTTAGACTGATGCGCTGCACTTCCTTCCAGCCTTGTCCAATACTGGAAGGTCTCATCAAAGAAATGCAAATATTGTGGTAATGTCTGGGCGACGGACTTGAGAGCTGATCACATTCAACTAGAAACTACTGAGAACGCAGTATGTTTGAAATCTGTCGCATGCTAGTTGGGGAATAAGGTCCAATGGAGTCTTCACCTGCAATCTTGCCAACCTCCTATATGGCTCGGATCCAAGCACACGTCTTCTCTGCTATGTTTGCCATGACTCTTATTGGCTTCTGGATTGGATACCTTCCGAGATCGTTTCAAGGATATGCAGGAAGTATGCTATCACGTTTCATAATATTGCAGCTGTCATTATGACTGCATTTGGTGACTGAATCGGTCAGAAGGCTAGCTCGGCCGCAGGCTATGATTTGGAGATGGAGGGGCTGCGAGCGATTTGGTGGTTTAGTATAGGTGTTTCGCTTTTGGGAGCTTTAATATGCGCTGTGTTCGTGAGAATTTCGCGCAGCGAAGAGAAAGACTATGCACTTTAACTGCAAGACAGGAGTGTATTATTCTATCGATCCATGCAGAATGTTCAAAAGTCCATTATCCATTACCCTCCTTTGTGCCCCCGGAATCTTGGTTCGGCGTATGTAAACGGGACCGTTGCCCTCAATTCAACTCCTGCTTTCTCATATGCTGTCGTGCCTTGCGCAGGGGGCTTAGTAAAGCCCCAGCCTCGAATCCATCGGTAGGTCGATTATTCGTGGTGGTGCAGAAACAAGAAACCGTCGTTGAAGTCCTCCTCGTCCAGGGGAACACCTTCCTTGCAAAGGATCTCAAAAACTATAGTGAGATGGTAAAAGATGTTGGGCAGCGAGACGCCATTGGCAAACTCGACGCGGTTTGAAACAGTGAGACCGTTCTCCCAGATTCCGAGCTCTATGTCTTCGCCTCTTTCGGTGACGACAGATCGGTTGGCCGCATTGAGACCTCTCAGTACCTGGGCACTGGTGGAATGCATTTCAATGAAAGACTGCATGGGGTCGAAGATGGTGGAAGGGCGATGGGTCAGCTTAGCCAACATTTCCTCGGCCTTTTGGATGACTTGGTGGACGTGGAACTTGAACGGCTTCGAGTCAGCGTAAAGCTTGGCTGTCAACAAGGTGGCAACATTGAAGTGTTCCTCGGCCTTCATCAGAAGGTGGTTCAAGGAAATCAAGGCAACCTTGGCGGGGTGGAAGGTTCCATCGTAGATGGAGTAAGAAGGGAGATCCATGTTTGTAAAGTACCACGGTGCCTGTGCTGGAGAAATCTAGTTAGTCGCATGTCATCTCTAAATAGAAGGTTGGATGTACTGGTGGACTGAGTTGACGGGGTGGTAAAGATGACGATGGACTCAAGTTAGGTCAAAAGTGAAGTCGGAAACCGCGTTACTTTTATGAACGTATGACCAAAAGCTTCGCAACGAAAACAAAAGATGTCCCCCAACATCTCTAGATATCTCGGGTTATCCTTCACAACGAGGAACTCGACATTTCGGGTGACAGATCCCACCCCCTGCCAACCATCACTTCACCGACATGTTATTTAGAGAGGAATAGTCAACTATGTTTATAGACGTGAAAAGTGACACGCAAATACTTGCGGTTTAGCCTTGTTGCAGGAAGTTTAAAGAATGATCAGAATGTGACGTTAAGGCCTTTTTACACTCCCCTGGTCTTGACTTGTAAATATGCAGCAATGAATAGATAAATTGACTACATTCAAACGAATGCACAGTGTCCATTGAACAAAATACCTTAGAATGTATGTACTGTTGAGGTTAATGCAGGGTGAAATAGTCCTGCCCACTGAGCCCTAACTCAGCAACCTGCTCACCCGTTGCTCCCTCCTACTTCGTCCCTTCCATTCTCTTTATTGCCTGAGAGTGTTACCAGGGGGTGAGGTCTATTCCTTCAGGTTAAATGAGGAATACAGCACCTCATGCTTACATTCACTTCGACGGCCCTAGATAGCAGTACTGTCTTTAAAATAAACTGTCTGAATCACAACACGGCTAATTTGATACGATATAATTGGCGTAGCGTCCTTTCCTAGCCTATGTGGCTTCAGTGCCTCACGGCAACATGCACTATAATACCGGGGGACTTTACCTATGTATCCGGCCAAGCGCCTGGAATCACCGTGACGGGTTGCTCCACCATCTCCCAGAAATCCCCAGAATAATCATCAGATCGTTCTGACAGCCACAAAGCCCAATCCTGTGGATATCGACTATGAGAGAACCCAATAACACGCTGCCACCCCCAATTTCTTCTCCAAAACACATCGCGTTCAGTCAATCCGTTCTTCCATAGTTGATCCTCCATTTGTCCAAATTTCTGTAGATCAACACCCCCAGTCTGAATGTCTGTCACCCAAGCTTGAAGTGCAATATCCCATCCTCCCATAGCACATCCATTAAAATCCCACCAGTAGATAAACCCCCTAAAAAGGCGAGGAACGGTGTCATCCCACCGACAACATGGTGTAGATCCACACCCGCAAGCAAGAGATCGCGGAATAAAGCATTCCAAGCCTCGTAGAGGCTTAGTGCTTCTTGGTATTCCTTCTCAAACTCAAGGGTACCACCCCTCCGGCCGTTAAGTGTTGATGCTCTCCGCATTCGGAGCTTTTCCAGCGCGGCTCGACTTCCTCCAATTCTCATCGCTATACAATGCACCAGGGTCATCTCCGTCCACCACCGCCAAGAAGTCTTTAATTGTAGGTTCTCGGGCTTCCACGGTTTCGCGCCGAGGATAGTTCGGACAAGCTCCGGCATATGATTCGCATCCCAGATACCCGATGTCGCGCGGGCTGCCACTGCGATTCGAACCCACTGAGGCATATCATAGAAGGTTGGACAGAACTGGCGCTGAAAGAAGAGGAACTCTTCTGCAGAGCCATGGAAATCCGAGAGAATACCACCAAGGACTTCTTCTGGTGTCTCATATATCATTTCTTCTGAGGGACAGAGGAGACGCATTGATGGGAGTAAATGTCGACTTTCACGACTGAACATGTTGCCTGTCCATACTAAATGCCGGAGGGCTGTGTTGAACTCAACTTTGCCTTGTCCCTGAAGACCAGGATCTGTTCCTTCTTGTAAAAGAAATTTAATAATCTCTGCCCGGTTTGCGGAGTGTGCATACTAAGAAAACAAGCAAAGTCACCATGTCAGCAATATGTAATTGAAGGTGGATAGATAGCCATTATATTACTCACAAATAGCAGAGTGTAACCCGTAGTATTGACACGATCAAAAGGCGAAGCCTGCCTTGAAGCAAACAGCTCTTGTAACCCTTTGAGATCGCCGGTCTCAACACATTGCACTGTTTTTGAGTCCTCGCGAATCTCATTGTAACTGCGGAAATCCCATTTCCAACCATCACGCGCTTGCGTGCCAGCTAGCTCAAACGTTTGGGCAGTAATCCAAGATGGGAGACTGAGGCGCCACAGATAACTGCTTCTCTGAGCTTTGATTGACTTTTTTGGCAATGTCGAGACTGGTTCTTTTCTATATGCTAAATGGTCAAGACTTTAGTTTCATGTTGTTTTGAGAAAATTGCTATTGATCAACATACCATAAGCCACAGGCGTATAGCTCAAGTCAGACCACTCTATCTGTGTGACCGTTGGCTTCATATCCTGCGTAATCCTCTGCGCAATCAGTTCAGGTTGAACCTGAATCAGAGCCCTATGCAGACATGTGATCAGGCTATTCTACCCGAAAGCATATGGTAAGACCACAGCAGAGAAAATATCATACCTGGTATAACACTGCTGAGACAACAAAAGCAGCCGCATAACTTTCTGCAATCTCTCAACAAGCCTCTCAATCTTCCCTTTCTTAAACATCCCCACTTTAACAGCTCCATAACCCCTTCTTAATTTATTCAATTTCCCACCTCCCGCGCTACGATTGCCGCCCGGCCTCAAGTCTTCCAATAGCTCTTGGCACAGCGCATCCAAGTCCTCCGCTGCCTCTTTACAAAACCGATAGCTCTGTGCGGCATGCTTGCTATTGCCTAGCGCCGAAACAAGAGACTGCTGCTGGAGGTCGGTCTCGATTTCGTCCAATATTAGATTGAATAGCTCGATGTCTCTCACAAGGGCGCGTAGATTCTCGGGAGCGTTGTGGATGTCATGCCAGCATTCTTTCAGCGTTACTATCGATTTTCCCACATGGGCGACGAGGGCAGCGAAGGTTATGGCGCTTGCGATTGTGCCGACTAGCTCGGCCATTGGTGGTATAAGTGCTAAATAATATGCATGGATGGTTCAGCACCCATTTTGAGGGGTTGGTAACAAAAAAGTGTAAATAATGCGCTATGGCTGAGCTTGAGTGCTACAGGGCAAAAAAATTGAAGAGTGAAAGTTAATGTTTGAGGTCTGCAGGGAGTTGGGTGGGTTAAAGATTAAAGTAAGTGCTTAACCTCGCAGCTTAAACTTGCGTATTTCGAGCAAAGTTATTGTGGTTCATGCATGGTTGAGTCTTTTTGCCAACGATTCTTGCCAGTTATTAGTTTCCTTAGTGCTGACACTGCGTCCTGCCAATCAGGGATAGAGAAACCCCCACATTTAGTGATTCTTTTTTGTTTTCTTCTCCTTTCTTGTCCTGGCGTATCATTTCGGGCAGGTGATGTTGCTTTCCTGCTGTTGGCTGTTAACTAGGGATCTATATTATCGGGCTTTGGTTCGTGGTGCCAAACAAGCATCATACTGCGCAGCTGAATATTTAGTTGCAGCTGCAGACGTGGCCCGGTGTTATTGGCTGGATAGCAGTCGGAGTCTTTCAGCTACGCACCTGGGGGTCTGGCTTTTTAGGATATAGATCATCGTAGATGGATCCTTGGACTCACTTTGCTCTTTGCTATTTGAGTGCCAAGACAAATAGCGTACACAGACCAATCCCTAGTGAGTCTACCTATCTTGTTTCTGTCTCTGTTTCTTTTGTTTTTCTTTTCTTTTTTCTTTACGCGCCGTGCTTTGCAAAGCGCTACGTGCGGTACACAGGGTAATGGCGCCCGGTTCTGCACACTCTGTCTATTCTACATACAATCTAATATGTGTAGGGTGACGCCACCCAACAGTGGCATTACCCTCCTGTTCACCCGGGTGCCGGTTGCATTTTACCTGGGGCTCTGAATCTGTTCAGTATGTTCAATTGATATTGACGAACGATCTAGTAGGAATATCTGAAATGGACATCTTCCTTATCCGTTTGATCGGCCACTGAGCCTTCAAGTTGTTGTAGACCACTTCTATCAAGACTCCAACCTTCTCTTTCGAGAGTCTTATCCTTGTCACTATTCAGCTTTCTCATATAAACTGCAAAGCTTAACAGCAGAAATATTTCCACAACATAGGCAGCCAGCATAGCCACAATGCCAGAGGTGTATTGAGGAGCCTCATCACTTTTGAAGGCGAAAGGTCCAATAATATTGCCCACACAATATGCAATGAAGAAAACAGCATTGACCACTGAGCGTTTAGTGGAGCCACCGGTATTGGCTGTGATTAGAGACATAATCATCGCAAAAGACGCAGTATATGTACTGGTCAGCTAAAGCATAGAGTCAGTTCACAGAAAGCTGGCTGGAGAAGTTTATTAACAATACCCAGTAACAAACAAGAAGGGCAGTCTTGTGATCTCGCGATATAGTATGGATGCCGACAGCGCCCGCCAGAGCAGGACATACGTAAAGAGCACCGACGATGCACCTCTTTTGTCCAGGAAGCCATCGTTGGATGTACATCGCCGACACGTTAGAAACCAAAATTACCATTCCGTAGGGTATTTGGAACAAGGTGGCCACAAGATTCGAATAGCCAAATCCTTGGATAATTAAGCTTCCAAAGTTGCTCGCCGCTCCATTTACCACCTGAGTGCAGACTCCACAGAGGAAGAATATCCATGTCTTTGGGTCGGTAACTGCTTCCACGAGCTGATACCTTTTGATTTCGGCAACGTTGCCTCCGTGGTGTCTAGGTCCCAACCGACGGATTGCGATCTCCTTCTCCTCGTTGTTTAGCCAGCGACTGGCTAGTCAGTCAATGAATATGATATTAGAAGGAAGATTTGACATACGCAGATGATGGATTCTCGGCCAAGTTAAAAAACATAAAGATACCCCAGACTGAAGATATGGCGCCAATGATGATGAATTGGTATTGCCAAGATGCCAGTGAGCCATCTATGTGGCCAATAGCAAAAGCCAAAAGACCCCCAAAGGAGTTTGCAATTCCTAAAAAGGTTGACCACCAACCAATTCGAATTGGCTGTTCTTCGACTGTGTACCATGTTGCTGTGATGAGAAGGTAGGCTGGCGTGGAGCATGACTCTAGAACACCTAGAACGAAGCGCAATCCCAGAAAAGAATCAAAGTGGCTGCAACCTGCCAAGGCCATTGTTATTCCACCCCAGAGTATGATATTTCCTGAAAGCCATTTAGAGACGGGAAGTTTCTGCATGGCGAATGCGGTTGGATATTCAAACTATATGAAATGTGAGTCAAATGATTGGCTCAGTGAGCTGTTCAAGAACATACAGCAAGATAGCCAAAATAGAACATGCTTCCTATGAGGATAGATTCGGTAAGCTATAAACTTTGTGGGGAGAGAGCCGAACTAACCAAGCCAGCTATACTCTGTTCCCTTGAGATTCAAAGATTCCTTCAAACCGAAGACCGCGGAATATCCTAACATGGCTTTATCGATATAAGTGATCAAATACGTGATGCAAACAAATGGAATCACGAGCATATCGATTTTGCGAATGACTTTCTGCTGGAGAGCTGGATCGATCTCGGCAGACCATTGTGCCTCTTTTATACCGGCATCTTCTCTTTGATTAATGCCACCGTCTGAGGCCTCGATATGAACACTAGAAGGTTTGGACATCTTGCAAATTAGTGTCTTCGCCCGTCTTAGGATCCCAGAATTATCTTCTGCTTTATATCCGACCCCCAGATAGCCACGAGTAGTTTCCTATAAAAAGGAAATGCGGGGAAACCCCAAATCTCAGCGGATTTGAGCTCGTTCAGTCCTGGCGGAAAAGCCCTTGCGGAAAAGCAAGCATTGACAGGGTTTCGGAGTTCCATCCGACTTCTCTTCCCCCCCAAAAAAAGCCCCCAGCTTTATCTTGTCAGACATATACAAGAGCAATAGAATGCTGTATGTGGACTTACTCTTATAAAGGTTGTCTGTATTGATAGATCAAATGACATGCAATTAGTATGGTTATCATATTAGTTATCAAACATGTCGCCGAAACGACTCATCATGGCGTTGAAGTTTCTTGGCACAACTTAGCAAATAAATATAGATTTTTAAACGGTGCATAGAAAACCAAGACTCTCCAATTAGGTATGATGCACCACAATGCTAGGTGACGGTAACCTGGGCGCCGAAAACAATTAGGTTTGACGCCCTTTTAAGCGTTCTCCTGGCTCAGACTACGTTGGTTCAAGGTTTTCCGACGCGTCGGTCCTTGTTTCTAGTGGCCAGGGGCTCGGAAGCCCCCGTCAGTGGGTCCGCTATTCCGCTCGGCATACGTCGAGTCTTTTAGTCGCAGATTGTCGTATCGGAAAACAATGGCAGGGTTAATCCGATACACTGACGGTACCTTTAACTACTTCGGCCATACAGTCATCTCATACAGTGACAGTCGTAATACTGCAGTAATATTCGATTCTAGACTTGCCTATACCCAGTTCTTAAAGTAACGCAGCCCACGCAGTAACAGTGCTCTTTCTCCTATAGCTCGACCAATGCCTCTGCTGAACCAGCAAGCTGCTTCTGCCACAAATTGTAGTACCTGAGGCGCTTGCGCAACAGATCCTCGTGGCTACCCCTTTCAACAATTGTTCCCTCGTGCAAAACTAAGATCTGGTCCGCGCTAACAACGGTCGAGAGCCGGTGGGCAATGACAAATGTGGTCCTCTTCCTACTCAACCGCTTCAGCGCGCCCTGGATTTGCGACTCGGTCTCCGTATCGACGGAACTCGTTGCTTCATCTAGCACAAGGATTGGCGGGTCTTTCAAAAAAACTCGCGCAATTGCCAAACGCTGCACCTCCCCTCCAGACAGTTTAACCCCTCTTTCGCCGACTTTCGTGTTGTAGCCCTTGGGGAAGGAGAGGATCTTGTCGTGAATGGCGGCAGATCGACACGCCTCGTAGACCTCTTCATCTGAGGCAGAGACTTTCGCATAGCGAAGGTTCTCCATGATCGATGCGTTGAAGAGAATAGGGTCCTGTGAAACCACGCCGAGGACATTTCGCAGCGAGCCCTGCGTCACGTCGCGAACATCATGACCGTCAATCTTGATTCTACCCGATGTTACATCGTAGTAACGGAGCAGCAGCTTTATGAGGGTCGACTTGCCTGCCCCGGTGGTGCCAACGAGGGCAATAGTCTCACCAGGTGGCGCAGAAATGTTGATGTTCTGGATCGCAATTCTGTCAGCACTGTACGCGAAGCCCACCTTTTCGAACTCGACGTGCCCTTTCACTGGACCCAGATCTAGAGCGTCTTCTTTGTCTGCGACTGCGGGCTCCGTTGTGAGCAAATCGAGCAGCCGCTCTGCATCGATAAGCTGCTGCACTAGCCCGCGGTATTCGTGCGATAGAAACCGGATCGGCCAAATAAGGTAATCCCAATACTGAATTAGAAAGACAAAGTCACCGGGAGATGCACGTCCCCGGTAGACCTCGTTGGCAATGAGGCACGTAAGACAGAAGAAGGTAACTGGGACGAGCGCCTCTGTCAAAGCACTGGTATACACATCCCTAAGGGACCAGTTTAGCTTTGCCATGAGGTGCTTGTCGACAGCCCCTCCAAAGCGATATTTCTCATACGAAAACATGCTGAAGGCGGAGACAGTCTGCCACCCCTGAATGGCTTGGTGCATGACCCGCGCCTCGGCCCTCTCGGCCTTGGTCAGTCGCCGGCGGTTTTCCACGTTCCAGCTGGAGGTGACGACTTCAAGAGCCATGAATGCTAGCGATGCGATGAGCATGCATAGTGCAGCCGACGAATTGAACTTTATATAGAGAAATCCAAACGCCACACACAGATCGATAACAGTTGGCACAATCTCCAGGATGGCGGTCTCCAGGATATTAGTTAGCGTTTCACCCTGTTCAATGGCTTTCATCACCTCAGCAGAGTCTCTTTCAGAGTGGAACTCCATTGCCAGGCCCATGACATGGTTAAAGGCGGCGTTTGTAAGTTGACGATACGAAAATTGTTCGATAGGAATTTTGGCTAGCGCCCGAATCATTTGCAAGCCCGAATCGCCATGCAGCAGATTCAGGATGAAGTAAATGCCCAGGTCTGAAAATGGCATCTCTCTTACAAAGAGTTTGTCGGCAACAATCCCAAGCTGGCGAGGAACCAGGACGTTCAAGAAGCGATCGGTGATCAGACAAAGCACGCAAGCAAGGATACAGGCTTGCACTTTGAGGTCCTTTCTGGGGATGAGGTATGGCAGAAATATCTTAAAGTTGTGGAGATAGACCATCCAGCTGCCGCTCTTACGAAGCTGGCCGGCCCGAGTGTCGCTAATCTCATCCTCTTCATCGTCGGGATGATCCGAGTCCCATTCGTCACTGGAAGACTCACTAGTATGGCAAGATTCGGATGAGCGCGAGGCGTTGCTGTATGAGACCTGAGTGTGGGCGACCTGGCCATTCGACTCGCCCAGGAGGGGCTGCACCTCCTGTGCTTCTTCTTGCTTCAGTGCCCTTCCGTGTGAAAGATAGCACACGAGGCAATCGATGAGCATCGCAGCCACCAGAAGCAGTCGAATAAACCCAATGGCCAGCAATGCTTTGTATGCAGTGGAACTTACTGGATACATGGCACCTAGGGCCAGTAGTGGAATTCCAAATGCGACCGAGATTGTGGAGAGACCAAAGATTTCGGAAATGCGTAGCTCTTTGCGGAGGCAGGTTGAAGCCCATGCCAAGGCAAAAGTGGCAGTCATGAATAGATAATCTGGAGTAGGACCAGGTCCATGGCGCTGCAGAGAAGCAGTCACATCAGCAATGTAAGAACCCGATGTAAGACCAACACATATCACTCGTAAGGAAGTCTTCCGTGGGACCAAAGACGTGCTGTGGGTTTCCCGTTCATAATTGATGAGAAAAGAGACAAAAACGAAGAGCAAAGTAATGACTGTGGCTGCCACTTCCAGTAGCTTGCTGGCCCTCAAGGCGAGTATCATTGTGTTCAGGTGCATGAGAGAAAAGAATGGTGGATGGAAAAATCAAGTTGTACTTGGCTCTCGATAGGAAATCTTGGAGCCTAATGCCAGCCCTATCGACCCTCGTTCTCTCCACTGGCAGAACTAACGCAAAAAACATATTAGGGAGGAAATGCAGTTTATAAATCATCTGTAGGGCAGAGTAAAGACAAGCAATGATGTAAATCCGAGTCTATGAACTGTCAGCCGTATCAACAGTAACTGCATGTCAACCGCCGACTTATTCTTCCGCTGGAGTCCCAAGATTGTCCAATGGTGTGCCTAATCAAAATAATAGGTCTGTATGCATTCGGCTGGTGTCTGTTGCTGTTTTCTGGGCATGTCTCCTGTCCCTGCAGACCGGGACTCCACTTGCTGGTGCCTGAAGAATGAGACTTTGGGACACCAAATTCCACCCCACTTTGGGCGAGCAAAAGCAGCCCAATTGAGGACAGGTAAATTCCAGTTACGCTTCTTGAAAGGCTACTGTTCTACAAAATAAGCAAAGCGCAGACTATGAGATCGATGGCTCGGAAATACGTGATTTCATTTCAATATCGTCATGAGAATATAAAGACCATTAAGCTTTTAAGATATCACGACATTTATGCGTTGAGCTTCTGGCGAGCGAAGTTGGGCAGGACAAAGGAAGCGCGGTGGATGTCCTGGTTGTAGTAGCGGCAGAGCTTCTGCTCCTCCTCGGCAGACCAGGTGCGGAGGGGCTCCCGGACGTTGCGGGAGGCATCCTTGCAGCAGACCATAAAGCCGATCTGGCCGGAGGGGTAGGTGGGGATGGTGGTGTAGGCGTATTCGGCGACGGGGAAGACCTCCTTGCAGGACTTCTTGAGGTCGGCAATCAGGTCAAGGTGGAGCCATTGGTTCTCGGCTATTAGATAAGAAGGCACAGCTCCGCAAAACCGAGCCCGTCAAGCGGGTTGGTTGCGGGGTGGTGCGAAAAGGGTTAGCCAGGTGATCTTTTTGAATAACAAAGAGTGGTAAAAGGGTGGTGGGAAAGGGAAGGACGGAGGTGAGCGGCCAAAAGGCAATTGATCTGAGTGCAGGGGCCAAAAGAAAGGTGACGAACAACCTTGGGTAGTGATAACACCTCCCTCGCGGAGGGCGGACTTGAGAAGCTCGAAGTAGGGCTTCTGGAAGAGGCTCTCGGCGGGACCCTCGGGGTCGGAGCTGTCGGTGATAATAACGTCGAACTCGTTCTGGCGGTTCTTCAGGAACTCGAAGCCATCACCAACGTGGGTGTGGGCGTTGGGGTGCTGGAAGCCAATGGCCATGCCGGGGAGGTACTTCTTGGAGACACGGATGACAGCCTCATCGATGTCGCACAGGGTGGCCTCCTTGACGGAGGCGTGCTTGACGACCTCACGGAGGACACCACCATCACCACCACCGATGACAAGGACCTTCTCGGGGTTGGGGTGGGAGTTCATGGCGAGGTGGGTGATCATCTCCTGGTAGGAGAACTCATCACGCTCGGTGCACTGGATAACGTTGTCCAGAACGAGGACGGTGCCGTAGTCGCTGCTCTCGAAGACGAGGACATCCTGGTACTTGGACTTCTCGTGGTGAATGATCTGGTTGACCTTCAGGCTCATGGCCTGACCGGGCCACATGCCGGACTTCTCAGAGAACCAGCCATCTAAGAGTAGGGTTAGCCTCAATTGAGGTGGGGGTGAAGAATTGTCGCGGGGTAAGGGATCATACCCTGAATGGTTGGGTGGGTAAGCTCGCTCATTTTGAAGGTGGAATTGAAACGAAAAAAGTTGAACGGGAGAAGAAAGAAGAAGAGATCCGGGGGAGACGGAGCATGCGAAGAAAAAGGCGCCAAAGTTTTGCGGTACTTTGACTCCTTTGGGCGTGGGCTGTGGTGGGGCACTCTGGGCACGAAAATTCCAAGGTCGTCTCACCGCCTTGATCTACACTTCTTTTTGCGTATTTTTACCGTAAAGGTGAGATATTTGGGATTGAAACTGAGTGATATTTGACGAAGGATTGATTGTTCGATACAATGCTATCCGCTTGATCAAGGATTCGTGCGGAAAACTCCGTATCAAGCGGACAATGCCCCGCGGCACTCGCGAACAAGCTAAACATGACAAGGATTGCCCTGTATAAAAGCCCAAAACAGACTTCCCTGTGATCTGTTCAATTCGAGCATCAGTTTTTCAGGTACTAAGTAGCCAGTATTGCCGCAGATCGATGGTCCATAAGGGGACAGAAGCTATTTCCTTACATCTATTTCCCACGCCTTCTAGGGCTGCCATCCCTCGAGTTCAACCATTGGACATCTATCTACTTAGCTTGGGCAAGAAGACTGGATGATTCTTCCCCCGTTCCAGTTCTCCTACCTTCTCCGATACGCTTATCTTATTTTCTGAGGCAAAGCCGAGTATGCGTGACCACAGACTACTGCCATGGCGGCTCCGTTTAGGTCACAGCTAGAATTGCAGGATTCGTCTCACTAAGGTCTCAATTTATGCAAGAGTTGGTTGGCGTTCATTCCACCTACAAAAGCCAAGGCGCCGATAGCTGACGGACAAACTATCTAACTTATACAATCTTTTGTTGTAACTTCGCATATCGTAACCTCTGGATAGAAGGGCGATGGACCTTAAATTACAAGATCTGATTTAAGATACCTGCCCACTACATCGCTACCAAAGAAACAGAGGAACCTTTATTATAGGAGAAGGAAGGAGCATTCAACATGACACTGGCAGTACAATTGTTCGCCTGAGTTATTTGATAGTTCAAATATGCTTGCCCTCCGCATCATACTTGATCTCATTGCCTGGATTAGGAGGAGACACTAATCCCAGCTGCTGGAGAGCTGTGAGAGCCTGCTCCTCGCCAATCTCATCGACAATCTTGCCATTCTTCAAGGTGAAAATGGGCGATCTCACCCGACATCACCAGTCGAATCTGAAGGGAAACAAACCATGTCGCCGAGCCTGCGAAGTAGCAAAGGATGACGGAGGTAAAGGCACTCAAAACTCTCTGCAAGAAGATTTGAATAAAGTTAAAAACATATTCCGAGATAGGGCTGACGGTACCTTCTTATAGGTCTGTTTGGTGGTTAGAGAGCTCATGCAATACTTATCAAAACAGCTTCTCGAACGAGTGGAGCAACTGCCAAGGGGCTTGGATGGAATTTACACAAGTTTCCGCAAGAGACTAGAGACATTCAATGACTGCAAACAATCTAAGGAGGTCCTTCAAGTCACAGCCCTCGCGTATCGTCCTCTACAGATGGTCGAATTTGTTGACAGCTGTTCCTCCTCAAATTGATCATCGCGGCTACTATATTAACCTGATGGTAATATTGCAATCAGTATACAACAGGATATTGAGATTCGGGACCCTGAGACTGGTTATTGTGTAAAGGTATTCACTAGCCATCGTGTCCGGTTTACTTCTCTAGTTCGTTCTCCAGACGGACAGATAATTTCAGGCTCGAGGGACCAGAATGTCAAAATCTGGGATCTTGCTGGGAACTGTCGCGAGTCTGCCAAGTTACGATATCCGAGAGTTTAGAGCCGATCTGCGCCACTGCCAGCTTTGGCCACCGGGATTCCAAGGGCTGGGTCAAAATATGGAATCTCAAAGACAGCTATGTCAAGACCCTTTAATCTGATCGTTCAACAGTTGATTTTATCGGTTTCTCCCCCGATGAAACACTAATCGCTGCACTTGCTCGGCTGGTGCCCTATATTGACCTCTGCAGTCTCCAAGTTTGGGAACGGAGACGTGGTACCTGCCGTGCCTGCTTCCATCTTCGCAAAGATTCTGACGCCGATTTGCCCCCACCCCACAGAATGATCAAATTCTCTCCCGACAACACTAGCCTAGTGATCAAGTCTGCTCGGGTTTGCCGTATCTGAGGACGGTTCTTGTTTCTTATACAAGGCTTTCTGGAGTTGTCTTTCAGGTGTGGGAGGTGGGAAAGGGTCATTTACGAACCATGGACTCTCAGGATATCGGAGAGTACTTCATTGCGCCACTATAGTCCTATAGTCTGAATTATGGTTACCAACTGGACGCGCAGAAACTGGGAGGGAGAGACGGTGATCGGGTTAGCATCGGAGTATCGTCCTTTCGATCTCTTGGAGCGGTGGGCTGCTGGCCCATCATTCGTTGCGTTTAGTACTTCGGTGCATCATATGGTGGTATTCCATTTCTCAACCGCCAAACTTCCCTTTGCTGCTGCTGCTTCTTCTTGAGACGACATGCCATCAGGGGCAGCGAGGAGACATGCACATGAACATCCGTCTTTCATAGCCATAGGCTATAAGTCCTTCACATTCCCACATTTGTATAATCTACATGGTGAAAAACGGTGAAGAGAGGCCAAAGAAGGACGAAAACAATACCTGGAAAGGCGTAATCACTTCGAGACTTTCGTGTAGAGACGGTCCAATACATCAGCAATGGCACTGTGTACAGATTTATGACCCCTATTGTAGTAAGGTCTGAACGTGTGCGACAATTGAGAAGGCAGAGCCTTGAGATACTGGCATCATTAAGGATAGACCAGGAATCAGACCGAGTTACAACTTTCCCAAATGGGCTAAGGCCCTGTACATAAGCAAATTCTTCACGCCAGATATATTGTGACATGGTGATATTGGGTATTTCCCATCTTCATTGCCATGGGCAAGACACGTAGTTGTATATCAAGAAGTGGGGCGGCTGTCTCACGGGGCCAATGATGTGCCCCAGAATGGCGCTTACCTGAGTTCGACTTTCAAGATGCCAGAATATGCTTAAGAAAGGGCGTAAAAAGGGTTGGCAGACAAAGGAAATTCAAATGGTCGATTGCTTTCTAGTTACTGTACAAGCATACAGCTCCCCACAAGTGCAGAGTCTTGGGTGTCTCATGCTCTGCTATACCAATCCAACCTCACTCCAAACAGAAAACAATTTACTCCTCGTGACCAGCCTCGAGGCGGCCGGGCTTGGAGTTCAAGTAGTGGTTGCTAGAAAGTCATCAAATCAGCGCACATTTCGAAGCGTCACTTCCGGGGTAGTCTTACCGCTCAATGGCCCACTCCATGGCAGCGTAGGCGACGACGAAGGGAGGCACAACGTAGAGAACCTGGTGGCGGAAACGACGGAAGGTGTTGAAGATGGCGGCGTGAGCGGCACCGGCGAAGGGACGCTGACGGTTAGGGGACAGCGAGTAGGTGGCGATGCGCTGGGGGTCGGGCAGCCTGCGAGTGCGATATTAGCGATCCAGTCGAATTGGTTGATCCTGCGATGTCGCTTTGCGTCTTTTCTTCGATTATGGTCGTGGTCTTTCCGGCCATGTCGAAGATAGGTTCCGCGTGCGTTCCGACTCATTCGAAGGGTTCAAGGGTGATGGTCAACGTACCGAACTCTCCCCAAACGCCGATGAAGCTAAAGAAAGAAAGGTGTCAGTATATTTGCAGCCGAATAATGAAGCAATTGAGCCGCATAGGAGAACCTCAATTGACATGGGGCTCAATTGACGTGGGATGCATCGTGCGGCTAACGCATCCGGAAGCCCGGCACTCGAAGGAGTCAAGACAAAACGACTTACTGTCCGTTCTTGGGGTCAACTGAGCCACCCATTTTGAATGATTCCGAGGGAAAAGAGAGGAGTAGGTGGGAAGGGATTGGGAGGAGCAAAACGGGGAAGGGGAAAAGACGAAGGGCTCGGGCGAAGTTGGAGGTTTGGATGAGCACTAAACCCGATTGGGAAACCTCAAGAGGTGAGCAAAAGAACATCATCTCCATCATCGACTCCTCATCACCTCCCCCTCCACCTCCAACAATGGCCAACGTCCTCCAACAAGTCTATCGGCTGGCTTTTCCCGTGGCCCTCGGTGGCATAGTCGTGCAAAATTCCCTTTACGATGTCAAGGGCGGTACGCGAGCCGTCATCTTCGACCGAGTGTCTGGTGTGCAAGAGAAGGTCGTCAACGAAGGCACACATTTCTTGATCCCCTGGTTGCAGCGCGCAATTGTTTACGATGTCCGGACAAAGCCTCGTAACATTTCCACCACGACAGGAAGTAAGGATTTGCAGATGGTTAGCTTGACGCTCCGTGTGCTGCACCGCCCGGAGGTGCCGAAGCTGCCTCAAATCTACCAGGTTTGTCCTTCTTGTGATTCTCGGCATTCTAAAAGGGAAACGGACTAACCTAGATCTATCTAGTCATACGGTACCGATTACGATGAGCGTGTCCTCCCCTCCATCGGTAACGAAGTCCTGAAGGCAATCGTGGCCCAGTTCGACGCCGCCGAACTCATCACGCAGCGTGAAGCTGTCTCCAACCGCATCCGTACCGACCTTATGAAGCGTGCCGGACAATTCAACATCGCCCTCGAGGATGTTTCCATCACCCACATGACCTTCGGAAAGGAGTTCACACGAGCCGTCGAGCAAAAGCAGATCGCCCAGCAGGACGCCGAGCGGGCCCGTTTCATTGTCGAGCGTGCCGAGCAGGAGCGCCAGGCTAACGTCATCCGCGCTGAGGGTGAAGCGGAGAGTGCCGAAATTATCAGCAAGGCCGTAGCCAAGGCCGGTAATGGTCTCATCGAGATTCGTCGCATCGACGCCAGCAGAGATATCGCCCAGACCCTGTCCCAGAACCCTAACGTCACTTATCTGCCCGGTGGAGAAGGAAAGGACGGTGGCAAGAGCACCAGCCTTCTGCTGGGTCTGCGGAGTTAAGGAGATTATAAGGATGTTTCGGGGATCATGGGCCCCGTTTTCACAACTCATTGAATGTACCAATTAATCGCAATCTTTGCCTCGACTTGGGGCCTGCCTGGCCTCATGGCGCGACTGGAGTGGCTCGATCTAGTCCACTTTCTGATATGTAGCAATACCAAACCTCACTCCGACAAGCTCTGTTTAGATGATTCAATCGTATCCTCGTTATGGAGTATTTACATATCGTAATATATAAGACGATTCGCGGTCTACAACCGCCGATACACATGCATTTGGAACCGCATATCCTCCAACCCGGCCCCTTCACCAACTTCGTACTTCAACCGCTTGTCGTCGCGTCTCCACCACCTTGATTCCTCCGTGTAAACTCTCTCCCATTTCCCCTTGGCTACTGACAGCAGCGTATGATCAAGGAGGAACTTCATTGGATAGTTCCTCTCTTGCGGTTCGCCATCTGGTCCCTTACCGAGCTTCAAAGTCGAATAGCTGCCGGGACTATCAACAACGAGAAGGATGGCACCGGCAGGGAGAATCTCCGTCATGCGGAGCAAGAATCCAGTAGTCTTAGGCATGGACGTAGAGAAGAGCTCATTCAATGTGAACATGATAGGAACGAGGATAGAAGAGAAGGGTGTAGCTGAAGGAGCGCCCATGAACACTTCCTTCAAGTCCTCTTCGGGCATGGTGAGAACATCATCCCGGCGGAACGATACAGAGAAGTTGTCCCCGCTAGGAGGAAGTAATGGTGAGCGGTACCTTGTCGTTTGCGGGAATGGCACTTCGGCCGACGTGATAGTTCGCGAAAGTCGATCGACAATCTTCGACCAGTCGGCGATATCGACGGCGGCAACGGAGAGACTTGATCCCGCTGCACCCTCAATTTCTGGCTTATTTTCTTCTTTGTTTTCGGTGTCTTCCAGAGACACGCCGGCAACACCGTCCTCTAGTGATTCGGCACCATGGCCCAAATCTCTCCATGCGGCCGCAAGGGCAACAATTTCAGCACCAGCGCCACCGCCAATGCAGACAACCCGAGTACATTTGTTAGATGACGTCCTAGAACGACCTCTGGTATTCTCCCCTTCCTCCTTCATCCAGGATAGCACACCCTTCAACAACCCCGCATATCCCAAAGAGCGCGACGCACTCCAGCGCAAGGCATAAGCGCGCAACAAATCCTCACCCGCCTCAGTAAAGGCCGAGTCAAAGTCCCGCTGATAGAGAAGACCCTTGATCGTCTGAATCAAGGATTTCATATCTAGCGGCTCATCTTTCTTGTCCTCTGTTTGCGATTCACTGGACTCTGCGTCTGGGTTTGCAGGTGTCGACTCTGCGGGTGCTTGGTTCGAGAGGAGGGCTGTCTTGAATACATCGAGGAGCAATTGTTGGAGCGAGAGATGAATTTTGCTGACTATTTCGAAACCATTGGGGTTTTCGGGCTGGGTCTCTGGTGCGGCTTCACGCTCGATTTTGTTGACGTGCTGTTTGTTCGCGGGTGGCGCTTGTTTGGCGCGTTGTGGCTTCGCTTTGGGGCCAGGGGATCTCCTGCGGTTTCCTTGACGTGGGCCTGGCATTTTGGGATTGAGAAATATGTGTATTCCAGGTAGTGTGAAGTAGAGAGAAAGAGAGAAGATCTCATGCAATGTGGGGTGAACTTTTTCCTTATCGTTATCGGGATCTATAGACGACTCACGTTGAAGACATGACCTATTTTTCTTGTGAAAACTGATAGAATGACAATATTTAGTAATTTAGGTATAGTCCCTAGCTAGGAGAAGTAAGGTGATACATTAATAGAGATCGATGGTAACGTAACTTCAGGTTAGAGGCGATTTATGCGAGAGTTTAGGATTGAATCCGTATATCATTTGCACAATACAGCATAAAGATGCTAAAACATCATTCTAAACACCAGAAATGGTATCTGCCCATTTTAATCAAGAAATCTGAATGTCAGACCATACACGATAAAGATGTTGTTGCATGTACTCCTTACTCCGAAACACGACTCGAAGCTCCGACTCCGCCCCACGCGCGTCGAGTAAGACGATCTTCGAAAACATGTTTCTCCCATACATGAATCGCCCTCATGAGAACCCAAAGCACGATGGATGAGAAACATCTACCAAGAAATCCCACCAGGATGCGGTGGGCTATCTATCGCATCAAAATCTGTCTCCTCTGGGTAGGAACAGCTGTTATGGCAATGGTATTTGTATCCGATTTCTACGACCTCTTTATCGGACGGTACCAGAGGCAAAAACCAACAACTTTCAAATACCATGGCGAGCATATAACATGGACACCTTGTGGAGACCTCAAAGGCAGCCACATCGAGTGCAGCAACATCACCGTCCGACCAATTCGATCTAGAAAACTCCAGAGATAAGTCCTTCACGATTCCGCTTGTTCGCCTGCGCAGCGAAAAGACTACCCAAAACCTCATCATGAACCCCGGTGGCCCAGGAGCAAGTGGCTTCGACTTCTTATATAGCGGAGGCGAAAAAATCCGGACAATAGTCGGCGATAGATTCCATCTCCTCTCATTCGATCCTCGAGGCGTCAATGGCTCAAACCCGTGGCAACATGCTGCCCAGACGCCAAGACAGAAGCGACATTATCAGGCGTTTGAGCCTCCAATCCGGTGACTGATAGTCCCGAAGTCTACCCATGGACACAGAATTTCGTCAAAGCACGCGCCGACACAATGGGCGAGCATGCCAAGTACATAAATACCCACAGACAGCAGCAGATATGAACAACATCCTAGACGCACTCGGCCAACGGGATATGAGCTACTGGGGATTCAGCTGCGGCACTCTCCTCGGACAGACACACGCAGGGTTATACCCGGCACGCGCGAAACGGGTTATAATCGACGGCGTAGTGAACCAGTGGCAACTATACGAAGGACACTACGAAGAAGAGTCGATGGTTGACACGGACACCGTGCTAGACGGATTCTTCGATGACTGCATCAAAGTCGGCCCTACAAACTGCCCACTCTCCTCGCTGGCGACATCTGAAGAAGAACTACGCGACACAGTGCTTTCATTCATGGTCAAACTGCGAGATCAGCCGATTGGTGTCTACATCAACAATACTGTCCACGGTCTCCTGAACCATGACATGGTATGGTACAACGGCATCTTCAGGGCGCTATACAAACCACCAAGCTGGTTCGCCTTCGCAAAAATCTATACGAACTCATGCAAGGCAATGCAATACCCGCCTTCCTAGCCTACAGCACCGGCGAGCAAATTCCGACCAATCATTCGCACTCATATTCCTAAACGACGGCCTCAGCGGTCCAAAGCATTGGCTAGAAGGCTGAGCAGCACTCCTGAACAAAGTCACACCCTGGCTAAACGAAAGTCTGTTCAGTGAGTCGAGTTTCAGGTCTATTATATGAAGCAGCAATGGGCTAAAGACGCATTTATATGTTCCACGGAAAGGTGTGAAAACAGCTCACCCGCTGTTAATCCTATCTACTTCCTACGTCCCTGTCTCTCAGCTTGTCTCGGCGCGCTCGGCTAATGAGGCATTTGTTGGGTCGCAGATTGTTGAGGTTAGGGGGTATGCACATTGTTCTGTTGCGGCGGCTTCTGTTTGTCTTGCGAGGCATGTGCGTGCGTTTTTGTATGAGGGGACGATACCAAGTGGGTATACGTAGTGTGTGATTGATGCCCCTTATTTTGTTCAGCCGGATGGAAATGGTCTGGTTTCTGCTCAGAGGGAGTTTGAGGATTCTGAGGATGAGAAGATTCATCTTTCCCAATTGGAAATGGCGAAAGATTGGGAATTTGCTTGGCCGTTTTTGGGTCAACCTTGTTTCCGTTGTGGTTCGTGATATATACGTTCCGTTCATGACCGAAATACATCGCGTCTAGTTCAGCTAAGACAGTAAGGAATTCGCAAAGACATTACCCTAATATATCTACAATATAAGTTGGACTGCATTATTCTACAAGGAAAATGATTCGTGCGCTCTTGAAAATGAGTCGGATTGTCCGCTAAACTATTTGGGGGAGACAAATTATCGACGATATCCACACCTGTAGCAGTGAAGACACAACAGTCACACAAATACACAAATACACAACCAAGTCACAGATACGAAAGAAAAGGACCCGAGGGAGGATTCCGACGGGGACGAATGATATTCCAGGCAGAGAGCCCAAACAAGGGGGGGAAAAGTATAGAAAAAAAGAGGCCCAGGGCAACGATCGTAGAGAAAGTCAATAAATCCGTGCGTCACACACACAAGATGCATAAATGATTGACAAGAAAAGGCAAGGTCATACTCAGGACAATTACGCCTTGAGAAGTAAAGAAATTCGTAATGAACGTCTGGCTGGGAGACGCAAATGGTGAAACCGCCGAAGAAAAATAAATCCACAGGAAAGCCGGAACAGAGTGCAATATGTACAAATCGATCGATTGAAGGGAGACGCCCACGCTTGTCGAAAGTAGGCAATGGGAAACACGCAGAGAAGGGATGGCTCAAAAGAATGTGTCAGGATGTCGCTATGCCGAGTTGCGCCGTAAATCAAAGTGAAAATGCATCAAGACCGAAGCGCACATGCGCTTACGACTGGGGTCGCTCGTTTGCTGGCGCCGCTTCACTGGAAGACTTCTCCTTGTCTTTCACCTTCCAGAAGTGCATCAGTCGGCTGAGGCGTCGGCCCTTCTTCTTGGACTTCTCAGAAGCATCTCCAGGGGGTTTCTCCTCCTGGTTCAGCTTGCTCCGCTCGGAATTGGGTCCACCGACCAGCTTGGATAGACTAGCTAAGCTAGTGCGCTTGGAGGCGTTAGCCTGGCTGGTACGGCGGGTCCCAGCACCGGAGAAGGATGCTGCTCGGTCGGTAGAAAGACGTGCACGCGGGAAGAAGGAAGCTGCCGAGAAGCGGTTCAGTGTGTTGGTCATGGTGGATGCACTGCTAGTCAAAGATGGAACATCTTCAACTGATGCATAAGGATAATCCGAGGGAAGGTGATGGTAAGAGTGAGAGAACTGCCGGTCAGTCATCGAGGAAGCCGCAATTGATCGGGGAGCATCCGGGGATGGGAAAGACGACTCAGATGGCGAAACTCCCGGCTGTAGCGAGAATGGTGGAATGTTGGGCATCAACTCGACAGGAGACGTGGATGGTCGCTTGTCGACAGCCAAGAAGCGAGGAGAGACGTCAGGACTGGGTGGTCCCATGCCTCTGGATGCAGGCTCTTCCGCTCTCAAGATCTCCACAGGGCTTCGAGGCTTGGAGCTGAAGGGATTGCTAGCAATCTGAGCTTCATCAACCGCGGGTGTCTGCTCTGGTTCTTGATTGTTTGTAAATTGATTGTTAGGCCGAATTCCAAGACCAGCATTTTCGGGCGGGTTGCTATCAGCAGGGGCACGTGTGGTGTCCTCGGTGTCGGAGGTATCATTGCTGTGGACCGACTTCGTATCATCCTCGGGTGTTGGGGTAGTTGCTTTCTTGACGGGTGAAGAGATAGCTGGTGCGCGCTCATTTTTGGGAGACTGCGATGCAGCCAGGAAAGCGTCCTCTTCCTCCTCGTCAAAAACATCCGGGGCCTCAACTGTGGAATTAGGACAAAGACGGAATGCTCCCAGAGCGCTGCGGTCAAATGGAGGCATCACTGGAGCACTTTCCGCGCGACGGTGATAACGCATCTCCGGGCCAACAAATTCACCACGTCGTCCACCGCTGTACATACGCTGTGTTGCGACCGAGAAGTTGTTGTTATTCGCACCCTGACCACCTGGGCGCATGTCGGGTGTGTTGAACGGTCCAAGTGCAGCATCGAGGTCGATGATTGGGCTACTCAGGATATTGTCATGCGGACCGGTCTCCTGCTCATAGAAACTCCTCGGTTTCCAGGAGGTTTCGAGGGTGGATACAGGGGGAACAGAAGGATGATCATTTTGAACAGGTTCGAGAGCAGAAGGAGGCATGGTTGGGTTGGTGGGAGTCCGGATGACAACAACGTCGTCATTGTCAAAATCGACATCGAGAGCGGATCCAGCCTCTGAATTGGTCCGAGTGAGAGCAGGAGGGCGAGGTGCGAGGACGCGAGGCTCAAATGTTTTGTCCCCTGCCTCTTGCTTTTCTTCGTGCTTGTCGTGCTTCGCATGGCGCTTACCCTTGCTCTTGGTGCGAGTTAGAATGGAACCAGCCCAAGAGCGAACACGCTTCTGCTTCTTTTTCTTCGACTTGGCCTGTGACTTGTCGGAAGTCGTGTTCTCCGTCACTTCGTCGTCGGATGTTTCGGAACCATCATCGGAGATGGAAGGTCGAGAATGGTCTGTTGAGTGGGCATCATCGGGTGAGAGGGTGGAATCGAGATGCGGGGTGGACTTGCTCTTTCGAGCGCGCGAATGTCCTGCTGCGGAATGCGAACGTTTGATCGAAGAGACTCCCGCTGGATCATCCATTTGCATGAAATCAATAGCCAAAGACGCGTCGGCAGTTTTCGGCCTCGGCTTTGGCTTGCGGTTAGGTCGCGGTGTTACCCGGTCTGTGAAAGCAGGCTTGTCAAGCTGCTGGAATTTGATTGTGGCCGTGCTGTCGGAAGTTTCATGTGAGATTACAGATACAGGGCGTCCAACCTCAGGGGCTTGGTTGTTTGAGGCGATTTCCGCTTGGAGAGCAGCCGGGATCGGAGGAACGGGAGGGATCGAAGGAGAAGGCGGGAATTGAGGAGACGCAGGGGGCGTAGGACGGCCGAGACTCACGGCTGATTGAGAAACTGGTCGCGCAGGAGAGTCGATTGTGCTCTTGTGTTGAGGGTCAGCAGGCGTGCAAGGCGCACTTCCAGCCCCAGGATTGGGACCGAGTGCTTTGGTGATTGCATTCAAGTCGACATTAGAAATTGCAGCTGAACGACGATGGGCATGGTTCCGACGTCCTGGAACTCTACCAACACCTGGCCCTGGAGGCGGCAGACCCGGTTGCGCTGCCATGGAAGGCTCTTCCCGTTTATCCCCTCCGACCGTTTCTGGAGTCACCAGATGGTCGCCACCAACAAACTCACTGGGACGTCGACGATGTCCAACGGCTCGATTCGAAATAGACGGTGCTGAAAGATGCGACGACTGCTCAGAGCCAGGATTAAAAGAAAATGCCGGTAACGCGGGCCGTTCCCGGTGCTCAGGGTTCTCCGATTGGGTCTCGGGGGCGTCGGGATCCCGTGCTGGAAATACAAATGGGGGATTAGGCAACGGGGTGCCCATGCTGCGACGATTGCCTGGGGTGTTGGGTTGAGGATGATCGAAATGCGGGATACCCTGGGACGGCGGCAGTGAAAGGGATGCCATCGCGGCGAGAACAGGTAAGAAAATCTAGTGAAGTGACCACAAAATCCTGGTCGACAAGATCCAGAGACCTCCAGACCGTTTGACTTCCCTTCAGCGACTGGAAAGCCTAGGAACCTGGAGGCCTTCAAACTCTCGAGGGGGTCATTGAATCTTCCGCACCGGGCAAAGGAAGCAAGACCAAAAGATGTAAAGGAATGGACGGCCACGAGGCCAAAAGGAAGAGGATGATGGTGAGTAGAGGTTGAAAGAGAAGAAGAACAACAAATCCAGGAGGGGAAAGGGTGGTCGGATACGGTACGGGTAATTACGAGTGCCTGAGGCTGTAATACAGGACTATAGGACGGGGACGGGGATAGCTGAATAACTGAATAAACTAGGATGGACTGGGATAATGGGATAAATTAGGACTGTCCACTGTTCAACTCTTTCTTCAGGTTCCCTTTTCTTCCCCTGAAGAGCAAGAATACTATACAGGTACCTGCACATGGAGAACATTCCACATTAGGTGACATCTGTCAGAATGGCAAACTTTGCAGTGACTCTAGTTATACTGTAGCCTGCAAGTATATACATAATAGGCCTACCCTGTACATAATAAAATGAAAGTAGAGGACGTCATGACTTTCGTTGCCACTGGGTAACAGTAGTTCGTACATTAACATATCCACTGGGGGGCCTGTAGGGTGGTAAAACAGGCATGTCAGTCAATCCTGGGGTCCTCCAGGCACCAATCAACAAGGACACTCGAGAGAGGAAAAGTGGACATGTTCTCTGCCAATCAACCAGCCTAAATGACCATCCAAATCTCGCTTGCCTCGGTGGGTCCGAGGGATAGCGCGCCAAGGGGCGAATTCAGAGACAGAGTAAGGATTATACCTGGGAATAGTACTGCACTAGTAGAACCTAATTGAAGATAGGAAATTAGTCCTTTATCAGTAGAATACTGTATCCTAGACTCTCTCTGGCCGAGAATTGTTGAGAAAGGGTCTCGGAGTCAAATTGGATATAAATAGTGGCGCCAGACGTATCTTAGCGCCATTTGACAGGGGTGAGATCCAAGCAAACGGGCTGTGAAACATTATCCCTGGCGTCCGAAGAGGGGGTGTTTCTTTGTCTGATCCAATAACAATGGCGGCTTTGAGGTTTGGGGAGAAGCCGTGGGGCAGATCGTCCGAAAAGTTATTGGGACGGCAACGGGAGATCCTGACTCTCTGTAGATGCAGTGAAAAGGTGACCTGTCGCCTGGATCGCAGTTGCTCACCGTTCTTTCACTGTACATAATGTTCCTAGTCTTGGATAGTGCATGAAAATACATGAAGATAACGTTACATGAATACTACATGGATTGCGCTAATGATGTGCATTGGAGATTAATTTACGCAGTGGATCTGATTCGCGGGCTTCAATCGCCACTAATTACGCGGTATAGTAATTTTGAAAGAGAATTGTACGATTAACTTGTGCGAAGCTCAAAGGCACTCGGACATAACCGACTATCCAAAAGCAAAAATTAAGAGTCATGATGTCAGAAGCAAATCTCTGCCTCGATTCTTCAATGATTGTGATCTATGAGCCGAGGTCCTGAACCAATAACACTTACAATCTGGGGCATGAACCATCCAAAATTTCGCCGAACACACCTTAGTTTGCGAGCTAATAGACACAGCGCATGATTTCCCGCAAAGAACTTAACCGGCTTTAGTGAACCTAGCATTTTCTCCACGAGCATGACGGGCCAATCTTCGACGCGCAGATTATTTGTAAATTCCCGATGTGTGGCCACGACGATGTATCTTCATCGCGCACGGAGAGAAACGGGCGAGATCGGATCCATGATGTGATAACCCTCCCTACCAAGAATTGCATTGTGTGCTCACCTACCCTGTAAAGTTCACCGTCATAGTATCGTGTAGCCTAGACCGCGTGCTCGCAGAACTCCGAGTGCTTGATAAGAGGATGGGCTGTGAGGACTATCTACGAAGGCTGCGTCTTGTTTGTCATAGGGTTTGCAACTCGCTCGTTGACGATTTTGAAGACCCGGCCGCTGGCGATGTCCAGTCGAGTGAGTGGGTTTTCCGTCTCCACGATTCCATTTTCGTAATATACCAAACTCCGAAGAAGTTACGAATTGCCGGGTCATCCAGCGGCAGGAATTTCCAGAAGTCCTCCGTGGAGCTCATCCCACCAGGAAGTCGCAAGGAATGATCGCAATTGGGGACATTCCTTTCCGCCGCGTGCGGTGAATCAGGGAGCATCCGACGTGATTCCTCGACCATGGGGGAGGTCCTCATGTCCGTTGATTGCTGGGTCTATGAGTAGACAGAACAGGTGCTAGTTGTACCGGGCCATCACACCTCGAATGACCACCGTCCTATACGGAACAGAGTCTTCTAGGTTGATAGGAGCGGTTGAGAAAATACCGGTGGTACGGACCTCGCAGTTCATCGCGGCATTTTGGGTGAAGTAGAGTGCAAAGGTATAGTCGTAGGGTTTAAACGTGATGGTTGTCTGCAGCACGAGCATCCTAAAACGAGTCACTGTCGCATTCTTTAACTTATACGATGTTTGGTGTGCTTTCGCATAATGCCGTCGTCAACCTCATGGCAACAGATCACGTTGGGCAGTTTGATCGGATCTCCTTTTTAAGGTATGATGATAACCATCAAAGTACTTGATATGACCCAAGACATTGCATCCTGTATTGTCCGCTTTGTTATTGATCACATTTCACATGAACCTACCAAGCTGTGGTTATTAGCATTTACACTAGCACCTTTGCTCCCCAATCAAAAGCTCCTTTCCAAGAATAAGGAGCACAGCTGTCCCCGTAGGGTATGAATATCTCCGCGAGAGTAAGCTAATAGAATAGACTACGGCCATAGTATGTTACATCGGGAAGGGCTAACCCTTCGCGTGGGCTTATTCGTCGTCCGCCCTTCCGGGGTATGATCAGGATGGTATTCACTAGACGTGTGTATCTTCCTCCAATCAAAAGACTTGACACCAGCCTCACTGACCAGACCTACTCTGTTATTCTCGCCAAGAGGAGCAGAGAGAACAGGCTTGATGTTTAAATCACCCAGTATCTCCGTACAAATATCCAGTGGGCAAGCGTAGTGGCTGGTATCACCATGGATGCTTAGCCTCACGCAAAAATAACACTGCAATCTCAAATCTGTCAAAGAATTAAAAAAAATAAAAATATAACTCGGCAGCGAAATAGAGCAAATGCATGCCATGATGATCCGCTCCGAAATGTCATTCAGATCATCCGTCCCATACATGGCTCAACATCAACCTACGGAGAAACTACAGTGTTGACAAATTGTTAGAGTACGATCAACGGCCTCTACGTTACCACTATACGAAAGCACTGCAGTGCCGTCATTTTGTTTATCTAGTTCTTAGGCTTTGCGGGTCAAGCTGTAGTCTGTGCGCGTGATGCAACGATTATGTTTCTTTTTCCGGTAACTAAGGTTTGAAATTTAACTTTGTTTTCAAAGTTGATTTTTAGTTTGGTAGAAGATGCTCCCAATACTGTATATGAAATGTGGACTCCGCGTTGGATAATACTTTGACTTCTCATCGTGCGAACGCAGGGTTCAACGATACGAGCATCACTCCAACGCTCTACGCCTAAAGCGGCATGATGACTGCATAAGTGTGGATTCAGCTGCCCCGCTGTCTCACTAAATTACCATAAGCTAGCGCGCGCAACACGGCACAGAGTCTACATGTAAGCTCATGGGCCGCGTTCAGCCCTGTAAAGATTGGCCACACGAAGGAGATTCAGTCCTGTAGCCCTTCGGGGTTTAAAAAGCTTGACTATTGCCCCTTTTGTCACTGAAAGGATAATTCTGTTGGTCCTTGTTTCCGTCAATGCTGTATTTGCGATGGCCACCAACCACACTAATTCACTGTGTGTCGATCCAAAATATGTCTTCCAGTCCTTCGACAATCTCGGCAGCTGCTACAACGCAATGGGGGACACATTAGGTTCTAAATTTCATAATGTCGTGGAAACATGCCTGAACGATTACTGCAGAAACCCATACCCTGATCTAGGTGGCTGCGGGAACTGGCATGGAACGGCATCCTTTCCATTCGTTGTCAACACCACGAAGGGTAACCAGTATTTCTGGAATAATGTTACCTGCGCCGGGGTCAGTAAGGGGGTCAATACGGATATTGGAGGACCTGGCGTTCGTCATTCCAACTCTACCCACACAAAACGTTTGTGTTAAATATACACTAACAGGTCTTCGTCTCTTACTTGATGCAACTGGGAATAATCTTTTATTTCTGGATCCTCCTCCGCTCATTTCGCCTTTTCCCACTTCTGATCTCCTTCTGTGCCAGAAGAAAGCAGCCCCGAGAAACCACACCTCCCACAAACCAAGCAGAAGGCAAGATCATCCCCAGAAGCCGTCATTGCTTCGCCCAGCATGACCGCATTACAAAAGTGATCCTCGTCGAATTCCAAGAAGCCCAATGCTTCTTCATGATCGCCTCGCAAGCCGCAATTTTGCTCGCTAAGAAGTCTACTACCATCTTCGAATCTAACACCATGCCCTCTCTCCGGGCAAACAACGGCGTTGCAGGAATAGTTTCCAGTGCCGGTATATTGCCCGTTGTCATGGGTATGTGGAGCCTCCAGAAGATGCACCTGGCAGAGGCCTGGACTTTTTCCTTGTCTGTTGCAACTATCATGGTGTCTGAATTCGCGTTGTATTGGACACTAGAGGATCCATCGATTGATCAACTTAGTGCCTTTGACTTCAACGGATGGCCAGAGAGTTGTGGTGGGTATGCGCCACCATTGATTTACTGTGTGGATCAGATTGAGGACTACTACCTAAGGGTCCCGCTCGTCTTTTTCTGGGAGGTGCTCAATCCGTATTGTTTGATTGTGTTTGGACTGGATGTCATCTTGTGGTTTCAGCCATATGTTGTCAAAATGGTGGATATTGACAGGGTCTGTCAGACTTTCGCTCCTCTCGGGCTCCGCAATCTACTCTCACATGTTCGACGACTGCTGTCTTCGACTTGGGGCGAATGGATCAAGTGGCTACCCAGTCTGCTCACATTTTGTGTCGAGTCACTCTTTCTTGCGGCTGTCTTTCTGGAATGTCTGTGTTTTGCCCAGTTTGAGCGTCTCAAGTTGATCGACTTTTCGGGCTGGGGTTTTGGCCAGATTGTTGCGATGGCCATTTGGTTCCCTGTGGCCAGCAAATATGCGTATCTAATATTATGTGAGTCCTACACTGTGCCTGGTATTCAGATAGCAATCTCTGACTGTTTTGGTAGTTGGCACAGACTCTTACTCGCAAGCTCGCATGCCTGAGTCTGATCACCCCGATGACGAACACAAGAAAACCAAAAAAGACGCCGACGATGTTGAATCAGCGGCTCTGCAGTCCTGCGATGTAACCGAAAAGAAGACCCAGGATGAGCATAAAGCGGGTCAATAATGAAGCAGACATGGTACTTGTTTTTGAAAACTATTTTGGAGAATGTCCTATGGATGCGACAAAGCTCATGAATGCCATGCGGCAGTGTAGCTCGCTCATCAAGAGGGTCGCTAGCCTCAAAGTGAGTGGAGCTTTTTCTTGACAATATGGAAGGAAGCAATAATATGTCAGAGTTATATGTAGAAAAGGACAGTGAGAGGGAGACACGGTACGTGAGCTCGCTAGCTAACTAATGCTCAGCGATATTCTTGGTCCCAAGACCTGGGATGTTGACAATTTCAGCATCGTCCCAGGGAGCCAAAGAGGCATCTTCAAGATAACGCTCGCGGCCGAGAGGGTGCTCAATACACCTGCGAACATCGGAGGGTTCAACGCCCTCGGGGAGCTCATGATCCGGGATCGACATGACACCGCCGAGGTTGCTGCACTCGTCGACAATAGCGGTATCAGGAACGGTAACAGCGGATGCCGTGGCGGCGCAGACGGCCAGAAGTATGAGATTCTTGGTGATTTGCATTTTGAAGAGCTAAGAGAGCAGTCAATATCTCAGACAAGTTGTTGCAATCCTTCGTACATGTGAATTGTGGAGAGGGACGTTTTAGGTTGAGCTGTAGAACGACTCTTTGAACGATGGCAGAATCTTCGCTTCTTCAACTCTTCCTCTTTGGCCCTGTCGAGCCCCTGCCCAGGCTGAAACTCATAATTATATGCGCGATTTTCTTCGCAAGGCTACAGCTTTGATAATGACCTATTTTAGTCGCAGAATCAGATAGTGCAAAATCCTGTTTGGAAGCTAACCCTCAAAGAGCGGAAGGAATGTAATCCCTGTGGGTGTTGTTTGCCTGTGCGGCGAAAAGATTTGCCAACGTCAGCAAAGTCAGCTCCCTATTGGCCCCTCCTTATAGGTGAAAGGCGCAGTTAACTATGTCTCAACTTAAAGTCGCCAGTGTTTATGTATGGATGATGTGTCCACTTGTTCACATTGTCTATTTCAGCAGCCACCATTTGTGCTTTTTGCTCCTCCCTGGCATTTGCTGTAACGCCTGACACAGGTAGATGCGTCTTGTTGAGTTCCTCACGCTCCCCAATTAGTCTACTGCTGTATTCGAAAACTAGAGGGGCTTCTGGACTTCCAAATAGCCTTGTCATTAACACCAAAACATCACGAGTCGGCGAAGAATCTTGTTATCAGGCTGTGCAGGATTACATCTCCGGAGTTAAGGGTGCTGCTGCGTCACTGTAAGCTTCGTTAGGGATAGGGTATTGGGTATTGGGGTGTCGGATGTATTGAATTTGAAAGCGAATTAGGGCAAGATCGGATTAAATCGGACCGGACCGGTTCCGCCGACCGGCTGTGGCCAATCCTGGGAACATCCAGGAACTCCACGCCAATTGGCAGACATACATTGCGTCCATGAGTCAATACTATAACCAGTTTGGCTCCAAGTACAAGCATCTCTTGATAAGCCTCGCACTTGAGCGAATATTACTTAAACATGGCCTTTAATTGGAAGCCGAAATTGAAACCACATCAGACGTCTACGTAGATCGTGGTACATTCAGATCTTGCAGATTGGAAAATATTACACTAAAGAAAAAAGTGATCTTCTTGAACGCGCCAAGACACATACACTCAGGTGGCGGTTCTATTTAATGTAGGTGAGAGGAAACAAGTCGATGTTTCCTGCGCCTGGTAAGCTGGTAAGGTTTAATGGATTTAGTCTCCTTCAAGCCGAGTGACGGAGCATTTTGCTTCTAGCCTCGTATTGGAGCGCATGGGGCTGTTAGTAGGTCCTGGTTGGCTCTCGATGGCCTATCAGGAAATTGTGCTTGGCCGCTGCGGGGTGTGAGGATCTAGGGTTGAGAGTGGCATTTGTAACGGAAGAGCAATGTGGTGGACAATCAACTCGATATCAAAGAAATTAAATAAATAAATGAAATAAAACACCTGCGACAGTCAAGCCAAGAGAAAATAACTGATGGTCTGTCGGAGAAGCAGATTGAGTTAAGGGTGTTGCCCTTAAGAGGCCAAGCTGAGCGGCGAGGGTTGGATAGAGGGTGAGCGGTGCTAAACTCACACTCCGGAAGGAGCTTTGGGAGGGGTCGAAATGATCACGTCAGCTAAGTTCAGCTTTGGCTTGCTCACGGTTATATAAATCCCAGTATATGGTCAAGGTCCCTTTGAAGATCCCGTTCTTAGAATCATAAATCATCTATGATGTCGCCTTTACCAGTCATTACCTGTGGCAGCACCGATCCCCGGGTTTTCAACGCTGTCAAACCTCTTTACTTACCTGAGTACGAAAGTAGGGGAGGACAGAATCAACCCTTGCTCAAGGTTAAAACGTTAACACCATTCTTAGTTATACATAATGTCACCAGCAGCACCTCCGGAGCAGTCGAAATCCCCCTCTTGCTGCAAGGGCTAGCGCCTCCCATTGCCGAAGAGCACAATCGGGGCACTACGGACTATTCCAAGCCACCCGTGGCTGTCTTCGCGGGGGCTCTGTACGGCGATAGGGAAATCGACGAGATGCGCCAGGGGTGTCAAGCGCTCAGTTCTGTGCCTTGGTTAAAGATGGATATGACCGTGCCCAGACCGCCGCTAGGACCGGGCTATGCGGAACATGTCGTGCAGAGGATCAAAGCATGTATGAAGAAGATTGAAGCTGAGAAAATGCTAGAACAAGATGGCGTGTGGCTTTATTGAAAGAGAGTTAATTCTAGTTGTTCTTTGATAGTCATTGATTATTCATCTTAAGACAGTAACCATCGCTATGTATACGTGGGATCCTCAGAATAGTTCCTAGAGGGACTTTAGCTCCTAGGAGTGAACTTGATAGCCCCGGGGAACAACAGGTGGTGCCCTGGGAGCTCTGGTTACTACTTCTGGGGGCAATCAATAGCGTTGTCAGGGATATACAGGAGGCACACATGATAAGTGGAAGTCACAATTTCCGGGCTCCAAATCCCACTGCACCAAAACAGGCAGTAATTGCAGTAAAGCCAATGAGAAGAACACTGAAGCTCGTTCTATAGCCTATGTCGGAAGAATTTCCAGCTTCGCGCTGATCAGGATTTCGCTGATGGGACCACAGCTTTTGAGCCCGCTTCTCAGCCAGCCGTAAAAGGAGCTAGTACAAGCCCTGCTAGAGCTCCAGGTTCCGTATCATTTACTGCTTTGACAATACCGGGCCATGTTGCATTGGCGCTGCCACCGAAAATTCCATAGAGCGATGCAATGACACAAAGAAGCCCCAGAGAGACAGAAAGCCCCCAGATCAAAAGAACGCCAAAGACAGTGCTAACAGTAGATAAGAGAATCACGTTTGCAACATGCCAGTGATTATGAAAGTGTCCAATCAGTACAGAAACTTTCACGGCCGGCAATAAACATACACACCACAGCGGCGACTACCAACTGCATAAATCCACCGCTCTGTATAGCAATGTTAGTTATCCGCCGTTACCATATGCGTAGGTGGCGATCCGTGAGCCACTGGCATCGATGAGGGTGGCAGTAGCTCCGTTGTTGCTCTAGATAGAGCTTTCACACCCCATGTAGACATCCTTTGTGCTATCTGTTCCTGATCCGGTCGAGACACGAAGGTGTGCCCTGGCACAAGCGGTGTTGCGGTATTGATAGTATAAGTGTGTCCCACTAAATTACTCAATTGCCAGCCCTGGAGGGTAACATCTTCGGCTGTGTCATTACGAATTGTGACGTGCTCGTCTTGCCAATCCTCGCTGCATGGATTGAAGACCAGCGACGCGAGACTAACCGATCGATATCCACCCAATGGAAGAACCCATACCCGGTCGCTTTAGAGGCTTCAATGTCAATTCCTTCCAAACTGTGGGAATTGACGCTCCGGGCAATTGCAGCTCTTCTCCAGCATCCAACGCTCCAGCTGGGTTCGGTTCACCACCGAGAATCTCAGGGGCCTTCGCATTTTTGAAAAAAAAAAAAAAGCGAAATCGATGGTAAATCTGGTCCACAGGGAATCCTCTTGCACACATGGTTTGGAGCGGCCTTCCAACTCTTTCGCAGCAAAGGGATTTAGGTTGTTCAACTTCACAAAAGGAACCCTAATTCTCCCAATTTCACACTTCGCCAAGAGGGCTGCTCGTTTCGATTCGCAATCACGTACCCCGGGGCGTATAGTCTCGCATTTGATAAGTTTGATGAGACGATGAACTCCACATTCTGCTATAAGGCATTCGCGTTTCTTCTCGCACTCAATTTTTTCGCGTTCTGATTCCGCGACTTTTATGCACTGCTTGATTTGCTGGGCAGCCTTGAATTTACACCGTGCTATCCCATCGCGCACTTGCTGCTTGCAAGCTGCAATGTTGGCTCGCGCCGCTTCTTTGCATTTATCAACTATTTGGCTGGCATCGTTTCTGCAGGCTGCTATTTTATCTTTGCATTTCTGCCTGCAAGATGCAACTTGACGTTTGATGCGTTTTTTGCACTCATCTATCCCCCGACCGAGTGAGCGCCTGCACACCAATTCCGGGATACGACTTTTAATTGCAACTGGTGATGAGAGTACTCTCAATGTATGGCCGAAGTTCCTAGCCACCGCTGCGGCTAGTGTGATAGCAATGACTCTCAGACTGCTTGTGCTCAGCTCCTTTTCTAAGGAAATTGAAGTCACTCAGTTCGGGCTTGCCGCAGCATCGAACATTTTACTTGGGATAGAATGGGTCGTGATATCCTCAGAGCTCGAATCTAGCCCAGCCTCTCGTAGACCTTTGTCGATCGTGATATCAAAAGTTTGGCTACCATCCTCCACATTCAACATGTCAAAGAATAACTAATGCTCCTCGAACCGAATATCTAGCGGTGTCGAGCGTTTCTAGCCGGTCTTGCCAATCGTCAAGAAACATCCCTTGTCAATAGATCCATCGGAACAAGATGGCCTCGTCTCAAGGGTCTCTGTGTTTGGCCGTAGTTCCGACTCTTTGTCGAATTCTATAACAGCCTCGTTATTTTGAGTCTCGACTAGAGATAGACTTGGGTCCAGTTAAGACGCCGGAATAACACCAGCAAGTGCACTGTTAGCAACTGCGAGAGTAGGCAAATTATCGGAAAGTATCTGTTTATCTTATGTCAAGTTGGTTTCATAAAAATGTCACCTAAGCAGAGTTGGTATTCATGCTGTCAAAATTTACGGGAGGAGTGCTAGTAGCAGCTACATGCAGCCCTAAGAATCTAGACTTTTTCTAGGCCTGGACTAGATTTGAACAGATCATGGGATCTGTTCAGTCTCTTTCATTCGCTCTTCCGGGCCATCGCCGTCTCAAAACTTTCTCTAGGACCATGGTGACAGCCGGCAAAAAGAAAGAATACCTTTGCATTATGCCCGATCGACCACATGTTCTCGACCTAAGAAGGAAGGTAAAAGGGTAAGAGTGAATGACTTATTCCTAATGCAAGAGGCTAACTCTGAGTGAAAGTGGTCGCTACGAAGGCATCCAATCGTTGATTGTCAGTGGCAAGCTTATCGATGGAGGTCAGTTTAGTAAATCCATAATATGGTAAAAACGTTCTAATTTGGAGCTATTATAGGTGCGATCTTTACGGAACATCCGCAGGAAAGCGAGGACGCACAGATCCTGGGAAGCGTGGTTGTATCCACGGGCGAAAGCGCCGAAGAGGTTCGACAAATCATCAATAATGATATCTACGTCAATAATCGCGTGGGTGATCTCGAAAAGTCCAAATTTATCCAGTAAGTCGCTTTGCGAATAACAATCCGATCATACACTAATGAGGTTGGTTTTATAGTATGTGCCTGCTGTCAAAAAACCACCTGCACAATCTTGTTGTCTAAGGTCAACGAGCATTTTTTAATGCAGAAGAAGGGGAATCTCATACCGAATTTGATATTTCCATTTCTGGTCCTAAGGACGGCCACGCTGCATTCGAAGAATCATAATCTAGCATCGATCACCTTAAGTATTTGTGTTTTCAATGAGCTTCAGTCGGTGACATCCGCATGCTGGGAAAACTTCGATCTAGTATATAAGCATTGAGCACGGTATATTAGAAGTGTAATTGGCCAAGCTCAGAAGCTCGGGATTAGGCTTGCCCCATCATTGATACGAGGAGAACCAACCACAAAAGTCTAGAGCTGGTAGTATAAAGTAAGTAAGCGGGGAGAAGAAGGAAGTGGAGACAATTTGGAAAAAGTGAGATGCTGTACAAGGCAGAGACGCTGAACCAAAATCGAACCAAAATCTGAATGCAATATATGAAGAAAATCCCAACACCAATAATATAATCTATGCATCACTGTCAGACTCAACCTCGTCGTTCTCGAGATGCTTCTTGCGCTCCTCGTTCATTTCTCTATATGTGCTGAAACTCAGCATGAAAAATGCAACCATGATCAAAATGCCACCAATGATAGATGCCATAGAAAGAGGATCGCCTGTTCGGAACCAGTCCACGAGAGCGACGAGGAAGATAGTGAGGAGGGCAGCGACTGATGAGAGGACAGGTGATGTAAGAGAAATCAGCACCAGGAATGAACCAGAGAATGCTGTTTCAGTGTTAGTTCACAAATCTATATTGATGGGCAAATTTAGTACTTACTCGCATTGGCACACACGGAGATGATCAACATCCAGCCTGCCTCACCTGTCGGCCATTCAAAGGTCTCCCATCCCCACCAATGTAGGAAAGGCAATGGGATCCACAGCACAAGCAGAGTAAAGACTCCGATCAAACTGCCAAAGGTATTGGCAAAGATTGTGCCGCGACCCGGACTGGTACCTTCCGGGGGACAGGCGAACCGCTTATAGAGCACCTCATACAATCCATAGAGAACGCTTCCAATACCAATGACGATATTGCCAAGCAGTCTGTTTTGGGCGCCATCATCCGAACCTCCTTTTGATGCCTTCTTCTCAGGTCGGTCACCGTACGCAACTACCATGACACCGATAGTAGCGACTGCCACGGAAAACACCTTGTCGAAGCGCAATTTCTCATTCAAGAGAGGAATCGAAAAAGCATATGCAAAGAAAGCCGAACAGTTGTAAATAGCTGTCAGGTCGCTAGCCGTGGTCATGTTGACTGCGACGTACCATGATCCTCCGGCGATTGTGAGAGCAGTAGTCACAAAAGCGGTGGTCTTAACCATGTAGGGGATAGGAGATCGATTTGAAGAGCGGGTGGTGAGGTGCACATCCTGAGATTCTACCATCTGTGCAGTAGTGCGGAGGAGAAAGACGTGTCGTCGCCAGAAAGCCTCCCAGGACATGGACCTTTTCTGGAGTCGAAGGATACCGAGTTGGACCAGCCAAAGCAAGGTCCAAGAACCGTGAGTCATATAGCTGCATAGGGGCGGTAAGCTTTTGCATCCCGAGTACTGGGTTTGCGCATGGGGCTTGAGGTGGCCGGGATCATCTCCGTGTTTACACTTACAGCATGCAATAGGGTTTCTTCCAGCCCAGCTCATTCTGGATGTATGAAGCAGTCTCCGTCTGGACTACGAAGCTAGCCAAGCTGAGTAGGAGGAATCCCGATGCAATCATGTATTTCTTGCGAGTCGCTTGGGCGGCATCGTGTTCCGGGCTCTTACTCCGGATGGTTGGGCGTCTGGTATGGTGCAGCATGGGTCGGCCTTCCGTGTCACCATTTCCAAAGCTTGAGCGGGGTAACCGACCATGGCGGTCATTTTTGAGCAAGGGTTGTTGCGAGCGGCCATCCGTGGGTCGGTGCAATGAGGGGCGATTGACAACCATCTCGTCGTCCGAGTCTTGGGAGTCGTGGACCGTGTCCGGGGTTGAGATCACCCGTGGCTCTGAGAGCTCAATATTATCTGAAGCCACAGTGTCGTTGGTGAGGGTGTCGCTAATCGTCTTGATTATTGCATAGAATCCTCCGTGGTCAAAGGGATTCTTGTCTGATCTACTGTCCTTGCGAAAGATAACAGATAAGAGGCCGAGGTCAAGGGTCGAGCAGATGAGGTGGCTGAATCACGGTTTTCGACGAGGTATAACGCATGAGACCAGTTCCCACGTGCTCTGACTCTGGCTCTAATGTACCACCCCGTTCGCAGGGTATGGTTACATGCGATCCAGGAACAGATCGAAGGATCGGGGATTTGGGGAGAGGTCTGAGATGAAGTTGACAGCAAATGCAAGCCAGCGAAAAACGAATGTCGGGATCAATTGGGTATGAAATGGAGTGTGAGAAAAGACAATTCAACGTCAAAGGCGTTGCATGGTGGCCTTCGGCTGTCGTCACAGGGGTCCCGCTTTGGATATGCACGTGATCTACAAGGGGCGCACGCCAAGCCATACTGGGACTAGCGTGGTTTCATTATGTCATGCCTTGGCATTCTCCACTGTCTCACGAGATACGGAGGACTGGGAGCCAAGATCTTTGTTTAGATCAGAAGACTCAGTCAGGTTTCTTAGGCAGCTGACCCATTTGGTTCCATATTACGGAGTACAGTGTACACTTCGCATGAACTGAAATGGTGTTGGCTTTATACATCTATCTCGCTAGCTCTGCCTCATCTTGCGGCTATATTCTTGATCTATGATACTGCTTATGGGATGCAACGCCGGCTCGGGGTGGTGTGTGGTTGTCGTGCTGAGCCTCTTAAAATGAAATATGTTCATTGCTATCAATTCAAGCCCCCGTATGAAAGATGCTATGATGCTATGATGCTATGAACAGCCCCCACAATATCTCTGGACAGTGCCCTAGCTTACTTAGGCCCATACAGAGCCTTCTGAGTATCATAAGTATACTTCAGATCCAGGTGCCAATAATTCGGCGAGTTAGACTTAGCAACAAGCCAAGCCTGATCCAAAGCCTGAACAACTTCCTCAGGCAAAGGACCCTTCTGAAGATCAGCAAGGTTGGTCTCGAGCTGGCCAAAGCTGCTAACACCAACGAGGACGCCGTCACGACCACCATTGTCCATTCTCAGTGCAGAGTGGTGGCGCACCCAGCGAAGAGCCGTCTCCAGCAAGGTGAGACCGTGCTTCTCCACAACAGGCTCGATCAGACTCAGAGCTTCGAAGGTGGCATCTCTGAAGTAGCGGTTGCGGTAGTTGGTGCCGGTGGAGCTGGCATCGCTGTATCTGCCCTCAGCGGGGATATCGCGTGTCTTGTATTTTCCGGAGAACAGACCGCCAGCTAGAGGGTTGTAGATGACAATGTCGAGGCCGTACCGGTGACAGGCAGGGACTAATTCCGTCTCGATATTGCGTGCTATCATGATATAATTGCGTCAGTTGAAACTGTCATGGTAATTGAAGGAAAGGGGAGATATCGAAGGAAGAAACAGAGGAAATACTCACTAATGGCATTGTACATAGCCTGGTAGATAGTAGGACGTACCCATCCATTGGCAGCACAGAGCGTGCAGACCTCAGCAACTTCAAAGGCCGTAAAGTTACTCAGACCAAGCTGAACAAACTTGCCCTCCTTGTGCAGTTGATTAACAGCCTCGAGAGTCTCAGCAAATGGAGTTGCACGATCCGCAGCATGCAGGTAGAAAATATCAACTGTATCAGTCTGCAGCTCCTTCAGAGAAAGCTCCAAGTTCTCACGGAGGATGTCTGGCTTGTGGAAGCCTGGTTGGTGCGGGTACCATTTGGTAGCCAGAGTCAAGCCGCGCGACTTCCAGTTCGCCTTGGCTGTGAAAGCCTCCTGCTCTCCGTCAATGTAGATGCGAGCGGTGTCGACTTCATTGAAGCCTTGCTGCTGGAAGTAATCGAGGCATTTATTAAACTCGTCGAGCGAGGTGATCCGGGCGCCCTTGGCCTCAGAGGGACCAAAGGTCATCAGCCCGAGAATCACTCTCGGCTGGGGGTTCTGTGCAATGAGAGGCATAATGATCGTCGATGTGTTGAGAAGAGTTGGAGGTCAAGCGGAGATAGCGGGGCTGCGGAGGACCCCGATAACTTATAACTGCGGGAGGCCTTCGTATTCATTCCTCGTATTTTCTTAGTCCTCTACACACCTCTCGTATTCTCAAAATGAGTCCTCAAACGTCTCTTGAGCGGCGATATGATGTCAAGGAAATATGCACGCTCAATCCGAGACAAGGCGAGCGGAAGTATAGCATCTTGATCATCAACCCCAACACCTCCACGCACATGACAGAAGCATTGAAGCCAATCCTGGCTAGCATGAACTATACCGATGTCCATTTTGAATACTTCACTGCTCCAGACTCCCCCGTCCAGGTCAAAGGAGTCAAGAATGAACCAATCGCCAGCATCAACAACGCCGAAGAATCCTGCAGTTCAGCATTGAACTGTTGGTCCGTACGGGAACTGGTTCCATACTACGATGCCTTTCTGGTAGCATGCTATTCCGCACACCCATTTGTTGGCCAGCTGAGGCAAGACATCAAGTCAACGGAAGAGAACAACCCGACAACACGAAACAAATATGTCACCGGCATCTTCGAAGCATCCATCACCGCTGCCCTTTCTCTGGTTAGTGGATTCGCATTGGAAAGACCAATCAATCCTGCAGAGAGATTACATAAATACCAAGAAAAGGGCAGCTTTGGCATTGTCACGACCGGCTCCGCGTGGAAGGATGAGCTTATTCACGGCGTCCAGGGCGCATTAGGATACGTGGATCGAGACGGAAGCTCGATGCATTTTGCAGGTGTTGAGACCACTGGTCTGACTGCCATTGAACTACACACCACAGACCCAGAGGAAGTTCGACAGAGGATCGTCGAGGCCACTCGCAATCTACTTCGGGACTCTGAGTCTCGTGTGAAGGTTGTTTGTCTGGGATGCGCTGGTATGGCGGGTATGGAAGAGGCTGTGCGAGAGGGATGTAAGCAGGAATATGGAATTCTAGAGGGTGGTCGAGTGCGCATCGTAGATGGGGTGGTTGCAGGCGCAGGAAACCTCATTACGGCCTTGAAAGCTGGATTCTGAGTGGTATGTATACCGAGGGTTGAGACTTAGGAGAGACGAGTCTTTAAAATTGGTGCATATCTAGGTTAATCAGCAAGAGTATAGCTTTCAATCATCTAAACATCCTTCACTGTATCTCTGTACGTCAACATTATATGTTGTGTTGATGCAAACTTCTGCCTAAGGCGACGATCTCGGCCAAAAAGTTCCCCGCGCCAACGCGATACGCGTTGAGAGCTGCAACCCTCGACGGCTTTTGCGCACGAAAGATGCCAAGGTTTGTGGACTCTCTCAACTAATCAAATATTTCAAACTGTGTCTCTCGCTGGAATAGAAATGCTAATACTGGCGGAATGGCAGAGAAATCATCACAATCCAAGCCGGCCAGTGCGGCAACAACGGTATGTGGCATACGTCCGCGAGCTCCTCAACGAAATACCTGGCCCTGCGCTGTCGATTGATTTTGAAGAAACCCAAGAAAACGCGGACTAGGTTGCTAACATGCGGTCGGTTTAGTCGGCAGCCAGTTCTGGCAGCAGCTGTGCCAGGAGCATGGAATCAGCGCAGATGGAAACCTAGCGGATTTTGCGACAGAGGGTGGTGATCGCAAGGATGTTTTCTTCTACCAGGTGTGTCTATGGAGCATGAACTATATCCCTCGGCCGGTGACTCAACGCTAACGACGTTGATAGAGTGACGATACCCGATACATTCCCCGAGCGATTCTCCTCGACCTAGAACCTAGAGTATGCGAGCAGGTTCCCTGATATACCCTGCAACAGGTCACTAAAACACCATTTTTAGGTACTCAATGGTATCCAGACCGGTCCCTACAAGAACATCTATAACCCCGAGAACTTCTTCATCGGACAGCAAGGTATCGGAGCCGGAAACAACTGGGGAGCTGGATATGCAGCTGGCGAGGGTATATCAGAGGAGATTTTCGACATGATTGACCGAGAAGCAGACGGAAGTGACTCATTAGAAGGATTTATGCTTCTACACTCCATCGCCGGAGGTACAGGTTCAGGACTGGGTAGTTTCATTCTGGAACGCATGAACGATCGCTTCCCCAAAAAGCTCATCCAAACATACTCCGTCTTCCCCGATACGCAAAACCCTGATGTTGTTGTCAGTCCTTACAACAGCTTGCTCGCCATGCGGCGATTGACTCAAGATGCCGACTCCGTGGTTGTCCTCGACAATGGCGCTCTATCACGGATCGTTGCTGACCGGCTTCATGTGCAAGAGCCCTCATTTCACCAAACCAACCAGCTGGTATCGACAGTGATGTCGGCATCTACTACCACACTACGATACCCCGGATACATGCACAACGACCTTGCGGGGATCATTGCCTCACTCATCCCAACCCCACGCAGCCATTTCCTTCTCACATCATACACCCCATTCACTGGCGCCAACATCGACCAAGCCAGGACAGTGCGAAAAACGACCGTTTTGGATGTGATGCGTCGTCTCCTACAGCCTAAGAACCGAATGGTCTCCATCAACCCCAGCAAGTCCAGCTGCTACATCAGTATCCTCAACATTATCCAAGGTGAAGCGGACCCGACCGACGTGCACAAGTCACTCCTACGCATTCGAGAGCGTCGTCTCGCGTCTTTTATCCCCTGGGGCCCAGCCAGTATCCAAGTGGCACTGACCAAGAAATCTCCATACATCTCGGATCCCGGCCACCGCGTCAGCGGCCTCATGCTAGCCAATCACACCTCCGTGGCAACCCTCTTCAAGCGCATCGTGCACCAATATGACCGATTCCGCAACCGCAATGCCTTCCTGGAACAGTACAAAAAAGAAGCGCCATTTTCCGACGGACTGGGCGAGTTCGACGAAGCGCGGGCGGTAGTAATGGATCTAATCGGCGAGTACGAGGCAGCAGAAAAGGAGAATTACCTAGACCCGGATGCCGGCAAGGCAAATGAAACCGGAGCATGATTTGGCATTGGATTGGAAAATTGTTTCATTTCTAGCTTTCCCGCCAATTTGCTATTCTCCTGTCTCCTTTTTCTTTTTACTTTTTCGTTGGGGCAAGGGGTTCGGGCGCATGGGCGTTTCCAATTTTCTCTCGCTTTACATATCAAACCAATGCACACCTCCACATTTGAAATGGAACACGTAGCCCCGGTAAACCAAGTCAACGTGTGATTGCGATGTGACCCAGCTCGGCACATGTGCAGTAAGGCTAGGCGAATGTGTGAGAGACAGTGAAATTGGGTAGCGGGATCGGCCTCACTTTAGGCATTGGGTCTTGAAGTTAGTTAAACGGAGCCACTAACGTTACCCGACGTCCTGGAATGGCTTTGATCCCGTGCGCATTGCATTTACCGATAGCTTCGGCTGCAGAGACTTTGCTGCGAGTTGCTCGTATTGGACACTTCACCTGTTTTTTACCTCTCTCTTAGGTCATAGCTCCACTTACACTGTGGCCTTACACTGTGGCTTTAATGTGATATCCAGTATCTGAAAATATAATGTACGTCGGTAGTGGAGACATGGGAGATATGTGAGATACGTGAGATATGTGAGATATGTGAGACGTGGGTAGATGATGTAGTACTGCAAATAGTAGATATTGGGTGTTCTGGTTATACCGCCGTAGACGCAGGAATATCGGATGAACCTGTTGCCACTTGGAATGGGTGGCGGACAACTGAGACGGAAGTAATTTCGGGGGTCACCTATAAGCATCACGTGTATAGTTATCCCTGAACATAGAGGCATAGGCCTGAGACACAGATAGGAGACTATACGGACTAGTCCACTATATTGTCTATAGTGTAATTGTAATCTATATCTAATACTTCTGCTCTACTAATTACTTATCGAACCTTCTGGGAATCTCCACTTTACCTCATTCCGTCACCCCCAGTCGCCTCACTGACTCAGCCTTCTGTGGCTTTCTCCCGTCTGTTCCGATCCCTATATATACCCCTTCTGCAGGTACTCCCTTCTTCTTCCCCCTTTACGACTTTGCCGTCTTCCTTCCTACACTCCCATCAATACAACCAACTCCGATCTATACTTGATCTACTCCCCAAACTCGCCCCCCAACGCATCTCCGCACTTGGCTCGGCGCTTATTAAACTCCCCCAAAAGACCACCCAACAACCCCCTTCGAGAGTACCACCAAACAACCCGGCGCCTCGCCTCCTCCTCCTCCTCTCTTCCTCAGTCGGTTACTCTCCAACCGGCCTCTCCAACTCTCTCGACCGTCACTCTACAAATCACGACAATGCCTCCCCGCAAGCCCCGTTGCAACTTCAAGGAGTGCAAGGAAGCCGCCCAGCGCATCGTCGGCGACTGCAGCTTCTGCGCTGGCCACTTTTGCTCTAAGCATCGCATGCTGGAAGCACACTCCTGCAGCGGGCTGGAGGACTGCAAGAAGGAGAGTCATGCTCGTAACGCTGATAAGCTGAACAGCGAGCGGACTGTTGTTGTGAAGGGCGTATGAGGGATATCATAATGCGAGTGGAGTTGAGTGAAATAGGATGGGGTCTGTTTCTTGGAACAGCGGGACTGTTCTCTGTTCTTTCTGCCTGAACAGGACACAGGACAGATGGGGCTATCTCCCCGTCTCCACCCCATCCTCATCTCCAACTCCGTCTCCGCAGGTGTCGCCTCGCCTACTTGCCTTTTCTTTCCCGTTTTGTCTGTCGCAGTGATCTCGGATTTAGCGCGGTGTTTCGTTCTACTTGATCTTGGATTCCTTGGAGATGAGTTGTTCTGGTTTGGTTTGATCTATATCTAGATCTATTCTCTGTTTGGGGTCATTTGCATGGCGTTGTTATTTGGTGTCATCTCTACTATTTATCTCTTGATCTACTGCCGTCTTGCATTTAAGGCTTGACTTCTTTTCGGGAACTGCTTATAATAGAGCTCCTGCAGGTCTTCGTTTTAACCTTGAATTATACATATCTTTTCAATAATTTCGTTCAGAATACTATATTGTATACACCACACCCACATGATATAGTAAACACAAAGTAGATATCATGTGGTCCATGTACGTGATCCACCAGATCATGGGTTTTACATCTACACCTGACTGAAAGGAACTCCCGAAATGGTAAATTGAAACATTGGTAAAAGTACAGACATGCATGTACTGGTTTGTATCTAAGCCTTAGCTCCATGCATTGAAATCCATTGAAGCCCAAACAACCAGTTAACCCGGTCCAATCTTGGGCCTGTAATTAGTTAGCAGACATCCATGTAAGTGAAACAAAGCAACAAAGCAACAAAGAAAAAGAAAGACATACATATCGTGATGCTCACTCAACCGACTAAGATACTTATTCAGTTCTTCAACCCGCTCTTTATGAGTCTTGACGCCTTCCCGCTGAAGTCGTTCATGTAACTAACCCAGTAAGTCAGTTGAAGATATCCAACAAAGCCACATGAAGCCAAACACTTTCATGATAAGAAAGGAAAAGAAAAATAAAAAGAGAAACATACCCGTTTCCGCCGAATCTCCTCATACTTCCTCTCCGTCTCAGTCTTCCCACCCCCAATCTCGCGCTCCTTATCACCATCGTCATTGTCATTATCATCGCGCTTCTCCACTCTAGAATCAGTCGGCGTTGCGGGATCACTCGTCTCAACAGCCGATTTCTGCGTCACATCACCAGTCCCAGGAGTCCCAGGAGTCCCAGAACCCTCCTCCTTCTTCTTCGAACTCTTCTTCTTTTTCTTCTCTATCCGTCCTCCACTAACCTTGCTCCCCTTGAGCTTGAGCTTGCCGCCACCGATAGAGTACTCGTCGCCCGCCATGAGTGGGTCGAATTGCGTTTGGATGTCGGAGCGTAAAGGAGGATGACGTGTGCTCTTCCGTGATTTTTCCTCTTTTTGTGTTTGGCGGTGTGGCTTTTTGAAGATGGGCGGAGATGGGGACCGCTAGAGTTGCGCGTGCGGAGTAAGAGAGGGATGGGCGGTCGCTTTGGTTTTGATTTTGTTTTTTTGGGTTTGGGAGTTATAGGCAAGGTTGATTTTGGGGGTTCGTTCTTCGTAGATGATACGACTTGGGATTTGCTTGAGTTGGGTGTAGGAAACGGAGTGAGTTGGAATTGAGGTTGGAGTGGGCCAATCAGAGGCGGTGGGGACTTTCCTATAGACCAGCTAGAGTAGCTATAGACCACGCTCAGATACATTTGCGGAAGATCAAGTGTGTCTGGATAATTGTTTCGATATCCTATCATTATTTTATTGTAACATAGACCCTACTAATCAAAAGGAATTGGGCGCAAGTTTGATCCACCCATACGCTTGCGCATCTCTGCGCCCGCAGCCACGGTACTGGGTACCTTGATACCACAGCAGTCGCCAAACCAGTCCGCGCTGTCGTGTCCATGATCGTGGCCGTGGGCATGGTCGTGGCCGTCGTGCTCGATATCGCCTTCGGAGGGATCACTCATGCCTTCAGCGGCAGGCAATAGGCTCCCAAACATGAAGTGCTGCATGATAGGAAGTTTTCCAAGCACTTCCTTGACGAACATTTTCTTCATACCGCTCTCAACCTTGAACCAATTTTTCGCTCCAGAGATATCGTCCAGCATCGGACTGTGCCAGCGTAGACCCTTGACGGTCTTGACACTATCGACCCACCGAACTTGGTCCAAATAGAGATAATTATCACCCTCCTCATCCAACGTAGCTGTATTGTGGATACCCAATGGAGTAATATACCCATGGCCGACTAATTGACTAGCGCCAAATAAGAACGGAAGGAAATGATAATCATCCAGGCCCCACACACCGTGTGAACCAGCAGGCTCGAGGTAGTAAGTGGACTGTATTTCGCGCATGAGATGCATGTACTCGATGTAGACCTTAACCACCACGGCAGGGAAGTCCGAGGCAGGGAGGAGACCGAGTTGGTACAGACATAGCAGCCACATCATGAAGTTCAATTCATGCCCTGAGCCATAGTCGATCCGGTCTTTTGATCCCAGAGAGTTAATCAGGTATGTGGAGGCCTCCTCGGTTGCGGCGGTATCTTTTAGCCCCAGGATATTGATGTGCCATGAGGCGCTCTGGGAGGCAACATCGTCGAACAAGGTACGGAAAGCGGGATTACCGAACCGCGACCCACCCTGGTCGATTGCAGGGTTTCTGGTCAGGAGGGTCCGGATCTGAGTTACGACCGAGAAGATCTTGGAGATGGATTCGGACTGGGGCTTTTTCTGAAGGTCGGTGACAGAGTGCCCGCGGACCGAGTCGGTTAGACCGAAGACAAACGCAAGTACTAGATTGTAGGTTGGCGAAGAGAGAAATAGTTCATGATCCTTGGGGGAGAGGATCCGACGAATTGGTTGGCGATACTGGTGGGCGGAGAGGTCTGGAGGCGAAGGGAGAGGAGGAGTTGTTGGAGTTGGGTCTCGGGCGTTGGTCTGTGGCCGGCGGTTATTTGACCGCAACTCTGAAAGCTTCTTGGAAAGATCGACCTTCCCGGGAGAGGTCTGTGACGCCATGCTCGTATGTTTGTTGAAGCGAGGAGGGGAGAAAGGCGGCGATCAACAGATGGCATAAACCAGCTCTGACCGCCTACCCAAACAGAACATGACGCCATTTGTTAGGGTTCTGATATCTGGTGACTCTTTCATGCTAGAAGAGATGTTGACTTGAGCATCTACACAGATCATGGAATCATTTCCATCCAGCTCTTGATCCATCATCTTCATCCCATAGTGATCTACCGATTGAATCCAAGTGGGTTGCAGTGGACCCTTCCCCAGAATCACGTGCGGAGATCATTGCACGCTTTGCGCGAGATCACACCGACAAAGTGCAGTCAGAGCAGCGCAGATTGACACTGACAGACACAATAACTTCGAAATAAGGTGGACAGAACTCACTCTGTCTCACTGTGAGCACCGCATAGCAAAATCCACTTTTCGCTTTCGCAAAAGGAGTCCCCTGGTGCCTCAGTGCATAAACACGGTCCCTCTCCCCTCGGGATTGGACAAAACAGGCCGACTGATTAAATGATCACGCCATAATGAATACATTTGATTCGCCTCCAACAGGACAGAACAACGGAGCTAGAAGCATCCGATCCTCTCGTTCGCCTACCAACACCGATTCAGCCCTGTCCTCTTCCGTCGGCAGTGCCCGGTCCCACTCAAGCTCTTCCCGAACACATGCACGCCCTTTGAACCAACAACAGAGCACTCAGGCCACCGAAGCCACTCCGATTAACACGGCCGATTTCGCGAGGCGCGACTATCAATCTACCGAGCGGGCCGAAAGCACTCAACACAAGAGCCTACACCCAGATAATGCAAACACCGGCAATGGCACCAACCAGTCGACTAACCAGGACTCATCACCCAAGCCCCAGCAGTCCTGGTATAGCAAATTAGCAGACCGGTACGGCAGCCTCGAACTGGAAAACAAGGGAAGCGTTGCGCGTGACCATCTTGCATTAGGTACGTACCACACGCAACTACAACCTTCAGACATACCTCCAAAATTAACAAGATCAACAGAACGAACCTTCCTAGCATGGATGCGCACCTCTCTAGCCTTCGCCTCAATCGGCATCGCAGTAACCCAACTATTCCGCTTAAATAGTGCCACCACAAATACAACCCCAAATGCCTATAACATAAATGGTGCCAACCCGGCCATCCTCCCACCGAACCTCTCCTACGACTCAGCCGCATTCCACACATCATCCGCCTCCGCCCGTCTCCGCAGCGTGGGCAAACCCCTCGGCTCGACATTCATCGGCGTCTCGATCCTCATTCTGATAGTCGGCTTCCACCGCTACTTCGAGAGCCAATATTGGATTATCCGCGGGAAGTTCCCTGCTAGTCGTGGCAGTATAGCGCTTACGGCATTTGTGGCTGCTGCGCTGATTATTGCCGCACTTGCAGTTATTTTGGCTGTTTCGCCCGGTGCTGTGGAGGGTTGATTGCATATTACTGTATAGGTGGATTGAACAGTGGGCGGGTTATTCATCTTATCTTGTTGTGCATCTTCTCATTCGGCGTTCATAGCATCTTTGCGTCTTTGGATTATATTTCGCTGCTTTATACATACGTAGGATGGATTTTCATCTTTAGGTCATTTCTTACTGAGAGATATTTGTCTATTGCGCTCCTGTACGCTTACCTTCTAAGTTGAAAATTTCAAGGCTCTTATAAATACATCATAAATACTTCGGCTGATATGATACGGTTAGACAGACTACTGACATCCATGACATCTTCAATATCGAATAGCGCAACTCATATCATAAAAGGTTGCTAACAGCCCACCATAACCTACAGACAATATCTACAAGACAAAACCAGCGAATAGAAATGTTTAGTTCTTTTCTGTCATAAGAGTCCCAGATCCACCGGCACCAGACCAGTCTAGGTACAATGTAGGGAGCAGGAAAGAGACAAGGGAAAAGCCGCAAGGTTGACGGGAGTATATCGACAAGGATGGGGGGAAGAAGAAGTGAGGATAAGAGAAAAGACAGAGGACAACATGGCTTGCAAACAATGCGAAGCAAGAAATCAGAGAGAAATAAGGAGCAGAGGAAGAACCGGAACCGAAACCGCCTAAATACAATGCGTTTATCGCGGGCCGAGCTTGTCCAGGGCGCGGGCGCCCTGTTCCTGCCACTCCTGCTTGCTCACCCACATATCTTCCTTGTCGGCAATCTAGAGCGGTGGTGTTAGTAAGGCTCTGGGTGAAAGGCAACGGGGCAACGGGAATATAGACATACCAGGTTGGCGAGTACGGCACCACCCAGGAAGACCATGTGTCTCCGTCGAGGGGGGTCTTCGATTCGGACCTTGAATTTCTAGGAGATCATTAGCCAGGTTGATATGCTGATCTGTGTTAATTGAACATACGTTCAGACGTTCTGGGTCTCCACCCAATACCCGAGTAAGCCAGAGCTGCTTCAGCTCCTTCTCCAACCGCGAGGGCAGACCGGGGTACATGCTGCTACCACCACTGAGCACAATGGCCTTGTATAGACTGGAACGAACATCGACATCGGCACCCTGGATACAGTTGAAGAGCATCTCAGCAATACCGGGCTGGTCAACATCAACCAAGTGCGGCTGGAACAGACACTCGGGAGCCTCGAAGCGTTCGCTACCGACGCGGATGACACGGCCGTCGGGGAGGGTGTACGACTCGACGAGAACGGTGGTATCCTCGGACAGCTTCTTGTCCAACTCGAGATCGTAAGAGACGTAAGCGAGCTTCTCCTTAATCTGGCGCACGGTCTCGAAATCAGCGGTTCGATTCAGCGCATAGCCGCGGCGCAGGAGGAGCGCAATTAGGTTGCGGGTGACATCGCGGCCGGCGACGTCCAGACGGCGGATATGGTGGTTCAGCACGGTCGACTCGTACACGGGGATAATGTGCGTCACACCGTCACCGGAATCCACAACCACTCCGCTGCTCAGACCTATAGCACCCCCGTCAGTATTGTCACCGAAATCGGTTCCACCTTCGCACTACATACCCTGGGCATACAGTGCCAGCACCGCCTGGATCGCCACATAGACGCCACCGAATCCATAGCCCTCCAGCATAACCTCAGCCATCTGCTCGCGGTTCTTGAGCGGGTTCATCGGGGGTTCCGTGAGGAGAATCTTGCGACCCGCAGGGTCGATCTTCATCTTATCGTAAAAGGTGTAGTTCCATAGATGCTGCATGTCGTCCCATTTCTTGACAATTCCATTTTCCATCTAGAGTAACGCGGGTTAGGCATCGACAACAACGTCTGCGGCGACGGCGGGGTATGACGGTGAGGGACAGGTCTGTAGACATACAGGATAGCTGATCTGGAGCATAGAACGTGCGGCAGCGGCTTCGTCTCCGCACATGATATCCTTGAGGACAAAGTCATTTGACTGCTCCTCCGTTCGCAAGATGGGACGCCCCACTATCGAGGGGAACTGGTGCTCTGGGAAGTTCTGACAGGAATATGAATTAGAGAGGATTATCACAGTGTTGAGAAGGCTATGCGACATACCTGGGCGGCGTAGCCGACCTTGAGGAAACCGGTTCCGCCATCGAGCACTGTAGAGTGGTTAGCTTATTAGCTTGGGAAGCTGGGACACGGTAGCCTGGGGAGGTGTACCAATGGGCATGTCCGCCATATTGAAGGAATTGAAAATGTGACAGATGAGATGGAAGTGTCAGGGAGTGAAGTTCTGGGAGCTCCCAAGAAGAGCGGAATTGGAAGGGTTCAAGGGAGGAGAGTTGGGGATGTTTGAAGTCGAAGCCGACGACGGACGGAGCATCATAACTTACGTGACCATACCGTACCTGATATTCCCCCCACAACTGGGGGCGAGCCGCAGTTATGACCATACGTGACGGCATCAACACATTTTCAGGCTGAACAAGCTCCAAAAGATGAAGCTGAGGGAGAAATTGAGGTTTTTTGGACTCGTGAGGTTGTGCATGGTTGTGAATAGTGGGGTGGGATGGTTGTATGCATTCAATTTGACATGATACATGTATAACGCCTTGCAGGAGGCAGGTAACACATGGAATTGCCTCAAATCTCAACTTTTAGCATGACAAGATATCTCTATAGACTCCGATCTAGCCAAGTCAAACTTGGGAGAACATCCTGTCGGCCGACTCCGATATCCTCGGGAAACCTGTCGCTCCACTATCTCTACCCCGGACACAACCACAACTTCCTACTCTGCCCATAGAGTATAACCTATCTGATCTGCTGTCCATCCTGTAAAGTTATCGCCAATTGCATCTCACAGCCTCGATCAAACAACACAAGCATGCCACAAATTGGCTGGGCAAGTACTCACCGCATTTATGCAGACCAAACAACTAATGAACTCCCAGTATGGCCTCGGGTCCATGGGCCTAGCGATGGCCTCCAATCTACAAAGGCACCTAGCAACCAAGAAAGCGCTGGGTTTACTCTACTCCAACCGCACGATGTCGCGCGGAGCTCCGCTGCAAGCACTGGGAGGAATCCCAGAAACCAATTTCTCAAAACTAGTCTCCAACTGCGGAATCATCTTCACGATGGTAATCAATATCAAACCTATATCCAACCCACAACCTACTAACAAACCCCCAGGTCTCAAACGACTCAGTCCTACAAAGCCTCCTATCCCAAGCCACAAGCTCAGGCCACTCCCTAAAGGACAAGATCTTCGTCGATTGCTCAACAGTGCACCCAGAAACCGTGAGCACAGCCGTATCAGACCTCAAAGCCAAGAGCGCATCGTACGTAGCAGCGCCCGTCTTCGGTGGGAATCCTATTGCCGTAGACGGCAAGCTGGTCTTTGCAATTGGCGGTCCTCGTCATGCAACAGAGGTAGTTAGGCCTTTGATCCAGGATGTGATGGGTCGCCGGGTGATTGACTGCGGCGAAGACGCGACCAAGTCCTCGCTTCTCAAGATTGCCGGTAATATCGTTACGGTTAATATGATGGAGGCTGTTGGCGAGGCGCAGGTTTTTGCTGAGAAGACTGGGCTGGGGACTGGGCCTATGGAGGAGCTTATTGGGGAGGCATTTGGGCCTGTTGCTGGGGGTTATTCTAAGAGGTATGTCTTTTAGTATCACGTTATCTGGTGTTGGGTTCGTGGATTCTGATGTCTTTTTGATAGGTTGACTACTGGTGCTTATGCGCCGTCTTTGGACTCTCGTCCTGGGTTTGGTGTCTCGCTCGCTATCAAGGATGCTAGACATGCTATGGCAATGGCTGAGGAGCGGGGCGTTCAGCTTCCTGGTCTTGAGCTTGCTCGTGCTAATATGGAGGCTGCTAGGGAATATGGTGGTGAGTGTCTTGATAGCAGTGCCATGTATGGAACATTGCGACAGAAGGCTGGGTTGGAGTTCTGGAATGAGAAGAGTAGGAAAGAATAGAGGGGAATTAGGGGTCTGGGTTGTAGATGGTTTGATCAAGTTTTCTCTTGAATATTCCGGTCCGAAATTCTATTGGCGACACTTGTATGGCCATGTCGCCTCTGGCCTAATATTGATATCTGTTCCTGCTATCCAACGCCCCCAAAAGGTAGATACAAAATAAACAAACACCCAAGTAAAACAGCGCCAATTTTTCCACGAAACAGAGCCTCCCCGTCAGAGGCGAATGACAGACTATAATGAATCTACTGTGGGCGCGGCGTTGAACTTTGCTCTTTCGGCTTGATTTGAGCGGTGTCCGCCAAAGCAGGGTAGGTCTCCGCAAAGCATGTCCCCAAAGACCAATTGTTCAGGTTGCGCATGTGCCGTTCAAAGACAGGATTGATAACCAGCTCGTCCGAGTCACCAGCCGACAATAAGCAATCCGTGGACTCATACGGCCAATTAACACAAATCCCACGAGTGAATGGGATAAACCAATTCTCGAACGGATAGTTCTGGTATGTTGTGACAATCCGGTCACGCATCCCTGGCCACGGCACATAATCCATCCAAGCTGGATGTGGATGGAGAAGTTGTGTTGGACGTGGTGTGAGCCACTCTGGGAGACGTTCATAGTTCTCTTGCGTGGGATAAATCTGCCAGCGCATGAGGAGGAACATGGTATAGAGCACGGCGACTTGCTCCGGTAGGGAGGCAATATCAGGGAATGTGCGTAGGATATCCGTGAACACCTTTGAGACCGGGTGGGAGTAGACGCTTTTGTCTGGATTCAATAGTGAGGAGACACTTGGGTATGGAGGCCCCACAAGTTTCTGTCTGGGGATGCCTTGTGCGGCTTCGCGTTGTCGGCTGTGGAGGAACTCCAGAAGAATAGTATCCAAGGGACATGTTGCGGTCAAGTTTTGTATCGGGGCAGCAAATGCAGGGGTGCTATGTTCGCAGGTCGTATTCAGTGGTTGTGGGTATATTGGTGACGGAGGATTTGGGTGGAAGCGGAAGTTCTCTGAGCTGCTGCGGCGAAGACGGTCGACTTTGGGAACAGTACGGGACGAATCCAATAGGAAGTTAAAGCCTAGCCGCTCCTCCGAGCCAAGATCTAAGCCATGGGTGGTGTTATGGCGCTGCGAGTCCAATGCAACGCGGAAAGAGGCCGACGGAGGGCCGCAATTGGAACTTCCCCGGCGACCCACTGATGCCGGGGCAGAGTGTGTTGGAGAGGGTGTATCAATGCTGGCAATTGAGTCGGCATACGACTTGTCGCCTGGAAGTGGACCTTGAGGATTGGATGTGAAGTTATCGGTGTCGGGGAACGGGGGTGTATGTGCAGGGGGCGGGGCGGACTTGGGTATAGGGAGACTAGGGGGTGCATCTATTGTCGTCAGCTCGGTACTCGAATAGCATTGGCATATGCAACCTACCTGATATTTCCGGCCTCGCAAGCAACGGCTGTATAATATCCATTGCCGCCTTCAGCCCTTGCCGGAGCTCTCTATTCTCCGACCGGATCGCCTCATTCTGGCGCAGAGCTGCTTGGAGGTTGAGGAATGGTTTTTGAGATGAAAGGTCTCGGACTTGCTGTTCTAGAGCTTCTATATGTCCCTTGGTGCGTTCTCGGATTGCGCGCTGCGCCTGGCGGTCGTTGGCGCGCTTCTTTGCGAGCTGGTCTGGGGTAAGGTTGGCGACGCCCCGTGATGACATGCTATTGAGCTTGCGCTTCCGCCCTGATGTCGCGCCATTGTTCTCTTGCAACAGGGTATCTGCATCCAGTGATGTCGCGCGCGAAGGAACCGGCGAGTCTTCGAGTCTGTCCAAGGAGGGGGTAGGAGGTCCGGGCATGTCGGGTGAAAGCGCCACATCGGCTGGAGCACGGTTGGCCATGGCCTTATACAGGCGCTAGAGGGTTCGATCCATTCAACGGGAGGTGAGATGTTGAGAAGATCCGCAGGGCGAACGTGGAGATCGTCGGGGGTGGGTGGAGCGAAATGTCAACCTTTAAAGTTGGGGGCCATCTACACAGTCGGCACGAACACTTAAGAGAATATAATTATATAGTTATACTCCAATTGTCCCTTGTATCTAAGCACGTTCAAATGACAGACCGCAAATTTACAACATGTACAATATCAGCGCCGTATATAACATATAATGATCGAGAATATGCAAGGAGGAAAGTTCGTGTCGATCGTATACAAAGGCTTTTGGAATTTCCAATGCAAGAAAGCAGAAGGGGGAATGAGTGAAGAAAAGAAAGACAACAGTCCAAAACGATGCGAAGTTACTGGATCATATGGCCCATTTTTGAGATCTATTGCCCGTTAGTTTCGTGCTCGGAACAGCAATTGGTTGCGAGCATACCTTTGTCTGTAAGTAGCCCTCAATTTCAGAGCTCTTGATTCCCCTCTGACCGCCAGTGCGCCATGCCAATGGAATCATCGGGACCCGCTCTTTCACGAGAACTTCCCGGTTGGGTCCTTCGATCGCTCGGACCTTGTCGGGATTATTTGTGAGTAAACGGATTCCTTCTGGGATAGAATCTGCGCCGCAACCAAGGTCAGCCAGCATAGCAGTGGCGAGACCATAGCTTCGGGCATCAGCCGGGTGACGAAGTAGCAGGTTGGCCTCCACAGTATCAGAGCCGAGATCCTGAAGATTGTATGCCTTCAACTTTTCTCCGAGACCAATTCCTCGGCCCTCCTGTCGCAAGTATATTATCACACCACCCGTGGAATGTGATTGAAGAGACTGTGCCTCTGGCGGCGCATCGGAAGCAAGATCCTCAACAGGGAAAGACATCAAGCGCGCCGCCTCATCCAGCTGCTCGCCACAATCGCACCGTGCAGACCACGCCGTTTCTCCTGTATAACACTCCGAATGAATTCGAACCAATGGGGGCTCAACCAATTTTGGCGTAGAAGCCGATCCAGCCTTCTCGTCATCATATCTGCTGCTAACTCTTCCCGGGTGCAATTTCCCCACGTATGCGCCGCGGATCATTCGGTCCATTTCGGTCTCCCCCGGCCGGACGCTATCCAAGCTCCGACTGCGAATGTTATTTCCAAAGACAATTGCCAAATGCTCCTTTCCGTCTAGATCGTTGTGGTAAAGATGAAGGAACATTTCCGCGCCATTGGTTGTCGGGATCCGAGCCCGAACGATACATTCCACTTCGGGGAGCTGCGGGAGTAATTTGGGTCCTTTCGCGTGACCACTCTTATGTTCGAGATCTGCTGCTTGCTGTTGGTGTAGCACTTTCGTGGGGTTCAAATCCAGATGCACTGTGCCGCCGGGGGTGGCAGGCGGGGTAAATGCTGGTGATAGCAGAGACTCCGGTAAGGCCGGCGTGTGTTCGCCAGTTGTGCTGCTTGCCTGGCTCACATTGTCTGATAATCCGCCAGGAAGCGATTGTGGGGGGAGCTTTGGCGAAGCGTGTGCTGGTAGATCGGCCATTGCGGCGGAGAGGCGGGGTAGTTGGGACGTGTCGTGTTTGAGAGTCTTGGCCAGACCTCTAGTATGCAAGTATGCAGGGAGTGCCAATTGGGGAGAGCAAACACATACAACAAGACCGACGTGATAATATGGAAAAGTGAAGTAGATGGCGACTTCCTCGGCATGAGGAGAAGCTGAGTCATTTGTCAGTGCTTACTCTAGCACATTCTGAGATCCCCGAGGCCAGACCCACTTTCTACCAAGCATCTACTCATCTCGTCTCCTGTACATGTTTCATGTTTATACGATATATTTCCAAAGTCCAACTTCTTCAAGGGGCCCCCTGTGCTCCCTACGCCAGCTGAAGCAAGAATCCTTAGGCTACAGCCTATCACCCATGATTCTTGTCCGGGTGTCAACCTATAACAACACTCAACCTATTTGTACCACCAGGCGTCCAATTCATCACAGGTCTCCTCAACGGCGGAATACTGAAAATAGAGGGTAAACCATTGTATTGGTCTCATGTAATCTAGACTATAACCAATCATGCAGTACGTTGTCTACTATCACCAGGAAACTAATTACGCAACTCCAAGACGATATGGCGCCAGGAGAAAAAATACAGGAATAGTTACTTATATAGATCCATGGCATGATGACCTACGTGAAGGTCAGCGCTGCCTATCATCATTGCGTTATATTCGGGCATTTTAGGCGCCCTGAACGAACAAAGAGAGCGAACGGAAGTATGAAATAGCGCCCAGGGGAAGGCAACCATCTCTGGCATGGAACTGCACCATGCAGCCATCTTCCTCAGGACTTAGCTAGGTGTTCCCAATTGACTACTCCATTTTGGCAGAACCAATGGGTCTGCTGCTGTAAGAATTGTGCGAATTCCCCGCCTACCAATACTACCTGTGCATATTCGAGGAAAACATGCAAAGCTGAAATTATCCAAGATAGTGCGACTGTCCGGCAATTATATGACTGTCGGTTATTTGATGGATGTGAAGGTCCCTGAGGGGTCGATAATTGAAATCGAACGCGACTACACAGAACTCCACGGCATCGATTGACTGGTTGTCATCGGTCATCCAAGCCTGCAGTCGGCTTTGTGCAAATGTTGTTTTGGGGGAGGGGGTGTGACTTGTTCGCTATACTAGGTAGTTGGCATGGTGTTTATCATACATTTAGCATTACTGCTAAAATCGAACTTGATCACCGAGTGCAACCTGCTTATTTTATACCTACCAGTGAAGAAATTTGTGCTCATTGTACGCCGAAGATGACCCAGATTCTCTCTGATAACTCCTCAAGAGGTTTGAATTTCTCTCTTTAAACGCCCATGCTACCATTGATCCTCTGAACGTCCTCATTTCCCATTTCATCCACCCACTTATCCTTTCGATGATAGTAGATTTCTGTTGCTAATGTCGCACAATTAAGTCGGTGCTCTTCATCCAGTGTTCCCGACTTGACCGCGATGACTTCTTTATCATCGCTTGATCGTGACGTGAATGGCGTACCGCAACCAGGACAGAACTCGCGCAATACCTGCCCGCCCTTATTGCTGCGATCCGAGTACAACTTGGGTGACCCCTTGATGTACTTAAAAGTAGATTGCGGCACAATAATATTAGCGGAAAAGCTGGAGCCGGTATAGCGTTTGCAATTGGTGCAGTGACAGATTATCACCTGGCAACGTCGTCAGTAGGGGAATGAAAATTTCTCGATTTGAGTAGTTGGAGATAACGCATACTTTAGGGAATGACTCCGATGTGGGTAAAATAATATGGTATGCTATGCTCTTGCAGAGGCAAGCGCCAGTCAAGCAAATCTGAGCCATTGTGGCTTGTGGAAGTAGTAGCTAGCTCTGTTGGTCCGAAACTTCAGTGTATCTCTCAAAGAGTTTAATGCTGAGTGTAAATGTTGGAAGCCGAAATATTTTTTACTGCCAGGTCACTAGACAGTTAAAGACACACCAGGAATTTACTAGCACGATAACGAGGCTATTTTTATCCTAACCCCTAATACTGTACTGGGACACCGCCAAGAACAGGAGTGGTTGTATAGTAATCTCGGTAGCTATAGTGTACTTATAGTTTCCTTCAAAGTGAAGCTCGAGAATTGATTTGAGTTTGAAGATAAATATAATTTCGACGATTGCAGTAAATTTGAAGGTCTGTAGCGGTGATCAGAGCTTAACGAGAAGAAAAGCAACGAAACAGCACAACCAAGGACACAAGACTAATATAGCAGAGAAAACGCCGACGTCAGATTTTTTCACGATATACCGGACCTATTCAAGCCATAGTGGACGACGGTCTTAGTTTAGTCCACAGCACTGTGAGAACCTAAGCGTGCTTCTGTAATTTACGTTGACTACCGAAGATACATCGACAGATGCGGCGGAAAAATTCCCTAGTATATACTAGTGCGGGCCGGATGGGGCACTAGGAGATAAGGAAGGAGAGAATAGTAAAACTGATTTCGAATTTTACCGTACCAACGCCTTCTTACGCCTTTCCACACGTTCAAGCTGCGGCTTGCGTAGCTTAGTCGGCAGGCGAAACATTCCTCACACACTTAGCCTATTAGCCGATATCTCTCATGAATTGGCGTGTAATACCAACTATAATCCCTTTGTCGATAAAGAATGACGGATCTTAGTTCTTATAGATCCGTTTAAGATCAAGACTATTAGCTAGGTGAGAAGAACTGTTGAAGAGCGTAATACCCCTAACTCACAATGAATCAATATCGCATTCGAAGGTGTATTGTCGGGCTTCGTATACCCTCCACCACTTCTTGCACTCTTCGTTCTCAGTGTATGGTATCATCATGTCGCTCATTATGTAATGTCTCTTTCTTGAGTTTTGGGCAAGATGTGATGAGAATGGGGAGGGTGAGAGGGTTAAAAGATAGCCATTGTGACGGGACCAAGGCCCCTGTTCCGTTGGGCTTGAGATCTCCCGTGGTGCAATGCGCACAAAAAAAAAAAAAAAAACAAAACAAAAAATCTTTGTTATGCCCTGAACTGACTACATAAATGGCAGAATAGAGAATATGGAAGGCTATGGGGGATAGCCGTGAAAAGAAGATTATACACACAGTCCTACTAGTCTTCCACTACTACCACTACTAGCTTAGAGACGTATTTTTACCCTACATTTCTTCAAAAGTTCATAGAAATATCCTCTTATAAAACATCTCTGGTTAACACTACTCAGGCCATGTGCACAGAAGTAAATATTGAAAGAAAATTGTTTTTCTAACTAGAGTATCTAGTAAAGATGAAAGCATCCATAAGCCTTCAAACTCCAGATAGCGCCTCGCTCAAAATGGTATCATCTCATCATATCAGATCGTAGAAACATCTCTCACTTGCCCGGGATGTCTAAGACAAACCGCCGGTCGACTTCCATCTCCTTGTCATCCTCTTCGCCTTCAAACTTAAGGCGGTACACGTCTTTCCTAGACCCCATCACCTCCGCCCGGTAGAATGTCGTGGTATCAGGGTATCTCGCCAGAACCTGCTTGCCTGCCGGGTAGGGGGTGAGATGAGCACTCATCTGGGGGATTGGGATGAGAGAGACGGCGGTCGTCTTATAGACGGCCCCTTGCTCGCCATTCTCATTTGGCTCCGGGTCTTGGACATCATATCTGGATGGGATGTCAGCAATCGGTCAGTGGGAAATAAAGGGAAATTGAATATAAGGCGTGGCTTACCGCTTCTTTTGCCCATCGCCAGTGATGTTCTTGATTATACACTGGATACCTTCGCCTTCAACACCCTGCTTATTCTTATTGTGCTTGAACACAACCTGAGCGCCGACAACCAACAGACCATTACGTTCCGCAACGGTGCCCTTAGTACCCTCCGACCCTTCCTCAACTTTGACCGCAATGCCATCATTGCGGCCTTCGCGAGCTGGCGTACTTGAGACGCTTGCGCTGCGCGGAACGATACCCTTAGAGCGAGCAGACTTGTCAGCGCCCGAGGCACCAGGGGAATCGGTAGCGGAGCCTTCGACGTCATTTCGCTTCTTGCGGGACTTGTTGAAAGAAGAAGATCGGTTGGGTGGGACTTCGGCTTCGGATGCTTTGCGCAAGGCAGTGAGCAACTCTAGGTTCTTGATTACATCGCATGGTTCATCTTGCATGATCGAGCGTTCCTCTTCGCTGAGTTTCTGGCTTTGGCGCAGCCAGCTGTCGAGCTGGTCGTGTTCTGTCATGGTGGGTCCTGCTTAGAAGCGCAATATTAGTACGTGCGATGAAATGAAAAACATGTTCATTGGGCGCTATGGGGTGGATATTGGAGCTTGGTGCGGTATAGAGCGGGGGATCAAACGCGGGGGTTAAGTATGTACTCACTATTCCCATCGTTGGTGATCTTGTCCACCAAAGCTTTGATCTGCAGGGACAAAGTTGTCTGCTGATCGAACTTGTCCTTGGATTTGCGGATATCTTGACAAATCTTTGTCCACAGCTCTAGTTCCTCATTATTGCCAAACCCATTGTCTCTGGGCCGGGGGCGGTTGCGCGACATAGTCAATGTGGGAGGCCTGAAAGTATGGTTGAAGGCTGGAGTAGAGGTAGATAGCTAATATGAGCAGCTAGAAGAAGAATCGCCACCCCCCGGTAACCAACGGTATGTGAAGGTGAAGTTGGAGATGCGGTGATAAGCCCGCCTGCCGGGCGGTCGGGGTGACGCTAAACTGCTTTGGGCAACGATGCAAGAGCTTTCCACAAGTTCAAGTGTTCAATGGGGATTACGTTGACGTCTTGAGATATTTCGATATTCAGAAGCTAAGAGACTAAGTAGGATGTTTGTTTGCCAGGGTTAGCTTAATGCGGTGTTTATAGTTCCATGGACAGGTACATAGTTGCAACGAATGCGGAAGTCCGGATTGGCAATTAAATACTTCGAATGCTCCCGAGTATTCACTTTCCTCTAGATATTCCCTTGCCTCGTCTACCTTGAAATCTCTTTAATTAACTGTTTGTCATAAAAAGACCCTGAGCGTGGCCATCTCTCACCGGGGCCTTGGCGAGCAAGTTCTAATAAGCCGTTGCCCCTCCACTTCCCCCAACTTTTCCCCAAACATTCAAGATGCAAGTGCCACTACTTCGTCTGCAATGCGGTAAGCCCGAACCATCTTTCCTGATATAATTCAGCGCTAACATGTTTGCTAGGCGTCAACAGCTATGACTGGGGTAAGTATCAATACGCGACAATGAATGCCCCGCACTGAACCTCGTCATAGGCAAGGTCGGCCAAGAGTCGACAGCCGCCAAGTATGCGGCCACCACAGCTGCCCCGGATTTTGCGATCGAGGCTGAGAAGCCCTACGCCGAAGTGAGCTCTTCAGATGAACCAACAGAAACATTGGACTCACAATATTCCTAGCTCTGGATGGGCACGCACCCGTCTCTTCCCTCCAAAGATCTCGAGACTCAGCGCACCCTCCTCGATATGGTGCAGGACAACCAGGCCCTCCTGTCGACACAAATCAGCGAGCGGTTTGGAGGCAGACTCCCGTTCTTGTTCAAGGTGCTTTCCATCCGCAAAGCCCTGAGTATCCAGGCCCACCCCAACAAGAAGCTTGCCGAGCAGCTTCATGCGAGGGACTCGAAGAACTACCCTGGTAAGTATGGACTGGGGACGGATATGGAACATTGAGCTCATATAAGATCACCATCAGATGACAACCACAAACCCGAGATGACCATTGCCATCACGCCGTTTGAGGGCGTTTGTGGCTTCCGTCCCTTGGCCGAGATCACTCACTTCCTTCAGGCTGTGAAGCCTCTGCGCAATTTGGTTGGCGAAAAAGCCGCAAGTGCATTTGAGCAGACTGTCAAGGGCAACGAGGACTCAGAAGACTCCGCAGTCATCCAAACTAACAAGGATGCCCTCCGCTCCCTTTTCACATCCCTGATGGAATCCCCACCCAAGAACATCGAGTCAGCCACCAGCGATCTCCTGGCAATCGCAGAGAGCAGCCCTGACAGCTTTGCTATCCTGCCCGGTGAGGTGGAGACAAATCCCTCGAACCCTACCGAGCTGGCTGCGCTCGTGAAGCGACTGAACGGCCAGTTTCCTAACGACGTCGGCTTGTTCGTGTTCTTCTTCCTCAACTTCGTCAAGCTGCAGCCCGGCGAGGCCATGTTCCTCAAGGCCGACGATATTCATGCATACATCTCCGGCGATATCATCGAGTGCATGGCCTCCTCCGACAACGTTGTTCGAGCCGGCTTCACTCCAAAATTCAAGGATGTGGATACCCTCACTCAGATGTTGACCTACTCTTACGCACCTATCGAGGAACAGAAGCTCCAAGCAACGGACTACCCGTACGCCGTCCTGAACGCCACTGCATACTCGAGTGCGTCATCCGTCATGCTCTACGACCCTCCAATCGACGAATTCAGCGTTGTCAAGACAGATCTAAACCGCAAGGATGCCAAGGTCACTTTTGACCCGATCGATGGTCCCAGCATTATCATTTGCACGCGTGGTCAGGGCAAGATTACCGTCGGAAACAAGACCGAGGAGGTCAAGGAAGGCTATGTCTTCTTTGTTGGTGCCACCGCCGAGTGCATTATTGAGGATACTGGTAGTGGAGAGGATGAAGATGATGTCTTCACCACTTACAAGGCGTTCTGCGAGTTGCCCGGTGAGGAAAATGCGTCCGATGATCAATAGATTGTTCCTAATTCGTGGCGTCAAGATGAAATATCCCGTTCTGGGCTCGGCGCAAACCTATGAAGTGTACTGCGCACAAATGTCCCTTGGAGGCATAATGAATACGAATCTCGTACAGTTGATCCGAATAGGCCTATATCCGTAACCTTGGCAATATTCTATAGTATTCTATAGTCGATTTCAACAGCACTGTAAAACAACATCAGCTGAATCCGGAACTTCATATTAACATCGTTATTGACTTTCCTCAATCCAAAAAGAAGTTCATGCGCAACAAACTCAAATCTACAACCTCGGCATATCTGCACCACTACTCAACCGACTCCGCATATCTCCCCACACGAGCTGAAGAATGCGGGGGACCATCTCCAGCCTCACTTTCTTTCTCCTTTTCTCCCTTTCATACCTCTTTTTCTTCAGTCACAATGTCCAGTATTCCGCAGCTCGGCTTCTGGGAGAAGGCAGACCTACCTTTCGCACATCTGTCAATCTTTGCCAGTGTTCTATACCATGCTATCACCGGTGTTTTCCGGGGTAAGGCCAGCCCTAAGCGCTACGACCACCACATCATGGCAGCCATGATCCGCAAGCTGGTTGACCGTACATCCGATCGTCAGAAGCAGTATGCATAATCCTGATCTTCCTTGAAGCGATACCCGAAAAATCCAGAACTATAGTTCTAACCTCGGTCCACAGGTACCTCAACGCCCCAACTTCAGACACCTATACAGCAGTCATGAAGAAGCGCGGTCTCCAACCAGAGACAGTCGCCCTCCCCCACGGGGCAGAAGGCCACTGGCTGGGCAACAAGAACGCCAAGAATGTCATCGTATACTATCACGGTGCGTCCCAAATCCCCGAACGCCCTCGGGTGTAACGTGTGTAGCAAGCAACATCCAACATGCACCAATACAAGCCGTACACCCCACCCGAAACCCAAATCTAACTAACATCCACCAGGTGGCGGATTCGCCATGCCCGCCGTACCGGCACACTTCGAATTCTGGCTCGAAATGCTGCGCGCACTCAACGAAAACGGCCACGACCTAGCAGTCTTCTTCCTGCACTACACACTAACAGGAACCGGCAAATACCCAACCCAGCTACGCCAAGCAATCGAAGCGCTCCGATACATCCTCAACACAACAAACCGATCCCCCTCAAATGTAATCGTAGGCGGCGATTCCGCAGGCGGGAATCTAGCCACGGCAACCCTTTTGCACCTGTCACACCCACACCCGGAAATCGAGCCATTGGCTGTATCCGCGCCGTTGGCGGGCGTGTTTGCTTACGCGCCTTGGGTTAACTTTAGTACTGATTGGCCGTCCTTCAAGGATAATCAGTGGCGGGATATACTGACGGCTGATGTGCTTACTACTTGGTCTGATGCGTATCGCGGGGGTAAGCCTGCTGATCAGTGGAATGAGCCTTTTACTGCGCCTGTTGAATTGTGGCGGGATGCTAAGACGGAGAAGATTTTGATTCTTGTTGGTGGGTGTGAGATTTTGCTTTCGCCTATCGAGGCTTTTGCGAAGAAGATTAAGGTATGTGCTGATTCTCGTTTTTGTGGGTGGTTTCGGCTGACTTTTTATCTCTGTTGTAGTCCGTCTTCCCTGAGACTGTTTATTATGTTGGTGTTGATGAGACGCATGATGCGCCGTTCTTCTTGTCTACCAAGGAAGAGACGCAGACAGGGTCAGAGCTTCGCCAGTGGCTGGCTGCTCGTCTGTGATTTTATTTGCAATGTCTAGTATGAGTTGAGTATTTCTTGTTATGCGTTGTTGTACAGTCTTAGGCTATGCCATACATACTACAGATCAGATATCCAATGTATAGTGCCAATAGTTGCAAGATTGAGTGGTCGTGTCTTTTCATAATCTAGGACAAACTCCCGGACTTGGACTAACAAAACAGAACAGGAAGATCAGGCTTAATTAACATTCTATGATGAGACCTTGGCAGAGTACTTTGCGGCCGCGGCATCGAACAACTCGCTCTTCTCCTGGATATCAGTGAGAAGGGAGTGCGAGGGCTGAATCTGCCGTAATTGACTGTAGGAAGATTAGCTCCGAACCCCTTTATTTCGCCTTACACAGGGCAACGTACGACTCCAATTCCTCAGAAGGCTTACCAGCCAAGACATTCAACACAATACTGTTAGCAATCAACTCCACATCAGCAGGATACTTCTCCAACGCAGCACTAAGAGCAGCCTCAGCCTCAGGCAAACGACCAAGATGAATCTCAGCAACAGCCTGACCAACAATAGAGAGCGGCGCAGAAGTGCTAGGCGCAGAAGCGAGTTCCTCATAGACGTAGAAAGCAGATTGATACTTCTCACCGCCCTACAAATGAAACCACGTCAGTACATGTAACTCACTCATCCGCCACTCCCAGCAGTATAGTATAAATGAAAACCCCGGGTATACATACAACTCTCAAGCCAACCCACGACTCGGCGACATTGACAAGCAGCGAATCCTGAGCCCAGCGCTTAGCAGCCTGGACCTCCTTAAGGGCGAGATCGGTCCTGTTTTGCTGAAGGTGGATCTGGACGATGAGGGAGAGACTGCATGCGACAAATGATTAGCCCAATTCCATATTCCCCAATGCAATTCATCAATTGCGATAATACTCACGCCTCAAGATTCCCCTGGTGCTTAGCCAACAAAGCAAGCGCCTCCTCACCAAGACCCTGAGCCTGAAGAACAGTGCCAGCAAGGACCTGCACAGTATTGTTATCGGAGTAATTCTCTGCGAGCTCCTGAGCAAGCTGGAGTGCGGCGTCGGTCTTGCCTGCGGACTGCAGAGCAAGGGCCTTGACAGCCGACAGGTCGGGGGTATCCTCTTCGATAGCGGGTTCAGCGAGAGCGGCGTCGGTTTGGCCGAGGGCAATCTGGGCGCGGAGCTTGAGGATTTGGGCTGGGAGTTGGTTCTCTGGGGAGAGGGCAGTGGTGTCGAATTCGATCACGTTCTGGTATTGGCCTGAGTGGAAGGCACTGTGGATGTTGAGGAGCTCTGGGTTATTGGGTTAGTTGGTGTAGGAGAAGGAGAGATTGGAGAGACTGGAGGGGTGTAGTACGTACCGCCCTCTGCGGAAAAGGGATCCATGGTGATTGTTATATGTGTTGTTGGAATTGAGTGTTGATGTTGTAGTTGTTCACGGTGTCTTTGTGGAGAGGTAATTCTGCCGAGATAACACGGGGCAGGTGGGCCGACCGCCTTGGAAGTATACGATCTACATCTACACTTTCATTTACATTTTAAGGGTTGAATTGACGTGAAAACTGTTCAATTTGATGAAGACAGATATAGATGACTGACAATCCACACAGGATGATTACAAAAAAAAATACAATCAAGTAAGAAAGAAATTAAACAAAAAACAAAATATAATTACATGGAGGCCTCGTTAAAAACATCCAGAGAAAACCCCAGTGGGAAATCATCTGGATGGAAAGAGTGCCTCGACATCACCACAAAACAGGAACCAAAGAAAGGAAAGAATGAGAATTAGCTCATCCCTATTTGCCCAACTCCTTGTCGCGAGACAACTTTTTCCGCAGCACACGGCAAACATGCGTACCACGGGTCGCAACGCTGCGAGCCTTCTTAGACACAAATTGCACAATGAGTACAATTGGATATTCTGGTTCGGGGCTATTAGCCCAAGAAGCAGTCAGAGTAGGATTGTGGCAGAATGGGCGTAAACTGTCGTTGACGTCCGAGTCGGAATCAGCCACCACTGGGACTAGACGCGGGTCGATCAAATCCTCCTCAATCAGCTCGGTGAAATTACTTATCCGGGGGTGCAGCAACTGGTTGTGCAGCCCATAAAGTGATGACCCGGTGAGGTTGGGTCGAGGGAAAGGAGGAATAGCCTCCAGGTGAATTGGACCAAGGTCTTCGTTAACCAAGGTTTCGTCGCTGCTGTTGTAGCTGCTCTCCTCCAGGTCGTCACCTTCTATGGTCTCGTAGCCGGTGGTTGTAGCAATCCAGTTGGCGATGTTTGCCCGATGTTTGCTGGAGAGACGGTCATAGACCAGGGTCGGTGATGACGACGTGGTTGTCGTTATAGATGTCGGGAGAGAGCGAGAGCGAGCGAGACTATTGATGCAGGCGACTTTGTGGACTTGTACTGTCCTGAGACGATGTTAGGATGTGATGAAGTTAATAAAATGGAGATGACTTACCATGGCTTGATGTTCGCCATGCCGGAAGTGGCAGAGAACCGGGTGGGTTCCTGGTCCCGTCGGGTCTGAGACTCAGTGAACTTCATCCTTGTTTTTGTATATAGCCTTTGGTGTTGTATATTGTAAGGCCTAAGAGGTAAGGGATGTTGATGTTGTATGCCCTTGATGTTGTATGAGTATATGGTATACTCTTGTATGGAATGAGCCAAAGTATATTCAAAGCATACTTAAGGGTCGATGACCAATGATGTAATGATGTAAGAGTGACAGAAGACCGAGGGTTAAGTGAGAGATATTTGAAGAAGAAAGAAAAGAAGAAGAGAAAAGTGAGCGAGATTGTGCTTATATAGGCAAGTGACTCAATGAACTAAGCCTTATATAGAGAGACCTTTTGAAATCCATAGATTCGAGGTAGCAGTTACCTGGATGTAGGTGAGTTCAGGAGAAATTCATGGTTGAAATGACGGGCATAAGGAAGGAATACCACAAGTCAGTCATATATAGATCCCAATTACGTTAGACCAATATAGGGGAAATCGGCCAACTTCGCTAAAATTTGGGCGAGCCAAGATAACGGTAGGATGTACCACGGTGGTCTTCCGATTCATCGGCCGAAGTATACATCATAGTGACAGCGAAGGGCGAGAGCGAGAGATATTGAGAATAGGAGTGGCAGAATGAGGGGAAATACGCGGGGAAATAAGCTGTGAATGAGCTTAAAAGTAGTCTAAAATATATGTCTGAGCAATGCGGATAGTGTCAATCTACTTTTACTATTGGAAGCTCACTTTTCGGATTATGCGTTTTGGCCTCGTTTTATGCGAACCGGGATGAGTCTTACATGCTGATACGCCCACTAGAGCTTAGAAACAGCAATATATACTGTTTTATGGTTTGATCAATACAAGATCGCATATAGCTTATGCCTCTGACTTTGTATAGACCAGTTCTGTTTATATGTGCCGTTGAGATGGCCTCCTGGGACCATTCTTCGGCTGGCCTGAGTCAATAGCTAGTGCCAGCCAACCACTCGGGCACAAAAAAATTATTACGATTGATTTATAACAATAAATGAAGCAGTAGATTATACATCGGCCAAGCAGGCTATACAGAGAGAGCGTCTTCTGTAGATAAACACTGGGGGATCGCCGTGCATGAAGTCCCACACCTAGCCATAGATGAATATTACATATAAAGTTCATAACACAAATACCAGCTACAGAGAATGTTACGCGGTGCTACTACGCCATATGCTGTTATTGGGCTCTGGAGTTATCCATTTTGCCAAAATGACTCTACCAAACATTCATCCTGAATTTAACTGGATTAGGTTTCGGTTTCTAGATTCAAGTATTGCAAAATTGTTCTACAAGTTTTTTTATTTTTATTTTTTTATTTTTTTGGCATTTTTCGTAGGGCCTTTTTATATAATCCCCGTCTTTCAGCTACGAGGACGTCCAAATGCATCACAACTTTTGGAGGTGTATGCATATCCATCTACCAGATAGATTCTCACTACTCAAGCGGGCCCTTGTTTTTACCAGGCTTAAATGGTAATTCAGGGGCATTACATGGCTTCAAGAGACAGAAAAGTTGGTGGCAAAATATGCTACTAGCCGTGTATAACAGGGGTCATATATGTGTATATAGTGCTACGGTATATTGGACAGTCTCTACACGGAAGCCGCCAAGCGAGTATGTCATCTTATACGTTGTTTTCGCCCTACTTTAGCCTCTTTTTTTTTTTCATCTCCTTTTTATGTTATTTCGAGTGCCTCGAATTAATCGTATAGACTATACAAAGGTATATGTGCTAAAGGACTTATGACCCCTCTCATATCTACCTATAAGTGCGACCCGAAGGTACATTATTAGTTGACTATTGTTTCTATAAAGTTACATGTCTTCCCATGTCTATATCACACCGGAATAAACTAACTGTTATATCATAGAATCATAAATGCTTAAGATACCGGGTTCTAGATATTGAGTTTCAACGCGTGAAAGCACAAATATGCAGGAACAAGTACTAGGGTGGGCGGGACAAGCTACCTCAATAAATACCGACCGTTCAAAGACTAGGCTTGCATGTTCATGACGCTGATGTAGTTAGACTTATAGCTCGATCAAGTGCCCGTTGTTGACGTTATACCCGATTTGGATCCCGAGGTGGAGCAGAAACTGGTTCATCACCTCAATCAGTTGCCCGACAACAAACATCTTTCTTCAACGTTGAAAGTCATCCAAAGTCCTTCTTTGAGTCACAATTGGCTCGTCATTGCTGCCTCGCGGTTGCTGTACTTAAAGGACTCCTTCCTCTCGCCTTTTCAACTCTTTAACCTCCCATCTCCCATCACTTTAACTCCCAACTCCAACTTACTTCTTCACTCCATATCTTCAAACTTCTCAACCTCAACACAACTCCTTCGCCCCCTCTCTACTTCAGAGTCTTAACTCCATCACAATGTCTGGGGCCCTCCCTCAAACCCTCAAGGCCATCACTGCCACAAAGATCAACGAACTCTCCAAGCAGCGCGCACTCTTTGACCAGCACAAGGAGAAGATTCTCGTGGCTGCCGATGCTGCAACTAACTTGCGCTCTCGAGCTCACGCTCTACTGGATGGAATCTCGCGTCTGAAAGGCCTTCCTAAGGACTCACTCGACAAGAATGACAGCGACCTGGACGCCGATTCTTCGGATTCGGCCTCGGACGAAGATTACACATCTCCGCTTCATATGCTACGCCGCAAGTCTAGTACTAGCTCATCTGACCACTCCAATATTCGCCGCTTCCTTCTTCAGGGTCCTTACGACAGTTCGATCTCCCAGTCATCTCTGCGGAACTGGATTGACCAGCTTGAAAAGGAGCTGATCTTCCTGGAGACCAAGCATGAACATGGCGCATTCTTTAGCAAGCTAGTCACCGAGTGGCTATCGGAGCTGGACCCCACCGACGAAGCTAATACCGCCCAATCGGATACCAACTTCCAGCAGGTTGGACGAGCTGAGATGCACGAGCAACGCGCCACTTGGGAAGCCCTGGTCTTCACTCCTGCTACCCACGTCAACGATAAAGCAATTAAGGATTATCTCGATCAACTTTTCAAGCAGACGGAGCTTTCTCGTGAGGCGATCAAGAACCTCAAAGCAAGCATTAACTCTTTTGCGAATAATCTGGCATCGAAGGGAAAATGGATCGATACGCACAACCTCAAATGGATATCCAAGGCACTACTGAAGACTGATCTTCTCAGCAATGAGAAATCATCAGTTCTGAAGGAGTTTATGCGGAACCAGGAGGTTGCTCAGGAAGTTGCAGATGTGTTGAACATGCGAATTACTTCGCTTGACAGCTGGGCTTGGGACGGGAACGGAATTCCCATCGACATGCGTCGGCAGCTGAACGGGAAGTATCGAGTATTCATGGATGAAGAACTCCTTGATGCCCTTCTTCTGCAGTACTTGGGAACCACTTGGTCTGTGGAGTTTCGACGAGTGTTTGAAACATTCCTACACTCTCACGCCTGGAAGCCTCTACGCGAGAACATACCCGAAGAGCACAAAGAGCGACGCAGATACTTCTTGGGCCAGACTGGAAGCTCAGAGATTACCCACGTCAACAAGATTCCGAAAAAAGTCAATGAGACTCGGAAGAAGACTTACGAGGATGAGTACTTCATGAGCCAACTGCCTACTTCGGTTAACGAAGGTGCACGCGACTATGATGATGACAATGAAGGCCAACGGGACTGGATCGCAAAGGAGGAAAAGAAGGCAAAGAACGCTTTGGACACAAAACACTCTCTTCTTCACCTCTTGATCACAGAGTCTATCCTCCACAAACATCAGCGTGGAGAATTCACAGCAGTGCGGTCCGACTTTGAATGGTTCGGTCCTTCAATGCCTCACACCACTTTGCTCACAGTCCTCGAGTACTTCGGAGTTCCAGAGATGTGGCTCAACTTCTTCAAGGTATTCCTAAAGGCTCCGCTCAAATTCTCTCAGGATGGATCAGCTGCTGCTATTCAAATCCGCCAGCGCGGACTGCCAATGAGCCACACGCTTGCTGATTGCTTTGGAGAGGCCGTTCTCTTCTGTATGGACTACGCAGTCAATCAAAGCACAGACGGAGCTTACCTCTACAGACTCCATGATGACTTCTGGTTCTGGGGAGCGGAAGAGACCTGCATCAAGGCATGGGAAGCGATGTCTCAGTTTTCTGGAGTGATGGGTCTCAATTTCAACAAGGAGAAGACTGGAACAGTGATGATGGGCAAGTCTCGCAACCACAAAAACACAGTTCTCCCCGCCGGTGAGATTCGCTGGGGCTTCCTGGTTCTCGATGCAGAAAAAGGTAAATTCACCATTGACCAGACTCAAGTTGACAAGCACATCGAAGAGCTCTCGCGCCAGCTGACGTCTTGTAAGAGCGTCTTTGCTTGGGTTCAAGCTTGGAACGCCTACTTCGGTCGCTTTTTCGCCAACAACTTTGCAAAGCCAGCTGTTTGCTTCGGCCGTGACCACATCGACATGGCCATTTCCACTCTCAGTCGCATCGAGCGTACACTGTTCAACAAGGACGTAAGTGGTACCGGCACCTCGGACCAGATCAGTGGTGTCACCGAATACCTCCGCAAGATGATCGGCGACAGGTTCAGTGTCAAAGATCTCCCTGACGGGTTCTTTTACTACCCCCCGAGATTGGCGGCCTGGGTCTTCTCAACCCGTTCATCAAACTACTTGCCATGCGCGAGAATATCAAAGAGACTCCGCGCAAGATCCTCCACAAGGCAGCTCTCCAGGATGAGAAAGCCTACCAATCCTTCAAGACCAAGTTTGAGGAAGACGGACCGGACAACAAGGCCCCATCGCTGGTTGATACAGATGGGAAGCCCTTGCCCTTCATGTCCCTCGAAGAATTCAACAAATACCCGGAAACCTACAGCTCTGGCCTTTGGCACGCGTACAAGGCTCTGTGTCGAGTCCCGGAGGAGGCCGGTGTGGCTCTGACTCCTGGCTTTGCAGCGGATCAGGAAATCCTGGAAATGGACTCGCCGATTTCTAGCGATTGGTATGCCATGACCCCCTACTGGCGGTGGGTTGCGCAGCTGTATCACGATGAGATGATTCGCACTTATGGTAGTCTTGCTGCGGCAAAGCGGGAGTTTATGCCACTCGGTGTTGTGAAGACCCTGCGCGAGGGTCGGTTCAGATGGCAGGGTTGAGGGTGAGGTTTGTTTCTGTTCTTTGGACTTGGTTGATACCTTTATGATAGGGGTGGCTTATGTATTTCAAAAGAATTCTTAACTCGAAACATAATGAATAAAATCAAATTTGCTTGATCCTGGTGCAGAATACAACAGGGCTTAGCTCGAGGCACTCGAAAATTGGCAAAGAAGAGGCAAAAAAGAGAGGATAAAGTAGGGCGAAAACAATACATAAGACGGTATATTCACTTCGAGGCTTTCGTGTAGAGACTGTCCAATACTTCATGGCACTATATACACAATTATGACCCCTTTTGTATCTTAGGCATTCATGACTCTGTGGTGCAACATTTAATTCATTTCGGTGTGGTATAGAGATGCAATGCGATATGATATATCTTGATGGAAAACAGTAGCCAACTAATAATACGCCTTCAGGCCACTCACAGGTAGGTATATATAACACTCGAACAGACTTCTGTATGTCACGACCTACTCATACCCACCTTAAACAAATCCAACATCAGAACAATTCTTTCTTTCTCAGCTTCGCTGCCGAAAATGGCCTCTGTGGCCTTGTAACAGATCCGCAGGAGGATCTCACGGTTCAAGCCAAAATGCTGCGCGGCTAGAAGGTACTCATTCGAGACAGGGCTACAGAAAAAGCCCACATCATCGGTCTGCAGGAAACAAGTCAAAAAAAAAAAGTCAACTTTAACACCGATTCCCCCAGGAAGGAAACAACTTACACACAACGCGATCGGGCAGTCCTCATGCCGCCAGTACCCAAAATGATGATCCAAATAACCACCACTAATCATCTTCGCATGAACATTGCATGAAATGCACAGTTCAAGACCGAGCTTCCTCCGAGAAATCTCCTTCTTGAACTCATCAGGCACATGGATAACATGCCCGAGCCGATCAGGCATAAACGAAAGCAGCGTCGCCAGCTCAACATGCGAGGCCGAGGCGACTGTCTCGGCAAAGTGCAGTGTGATGCCCAACCCGTTGGATTTCGCTCGCGAGAAAGCATCCCTGTAGGCGCTGACGTCGCCTTTTGTTGGGTTGCCGCATATGTCCACGCCGACGACCCCGCGCGGCTTGTTTGCGATTGCAAGATCGACGATCTTGTCTGCTTCGGCTGCATCCATGCTGCCACGGTCTATGGCTAGGATTAGAGACACGGACATTTGCGTGGTTTTGGTTCTGAAATTTTCGATTGTTGTTAGGACTGTGTTGAGGTATTCATCTCGGGTTATACCCGGGGACGCCCGTGGGATGGTTCGCAGCTCGAGATACACGACTCCATCGTCTAGGAAGTCTTGGAGCACTGAGTTGGTGGCGTATACTAGGCTCTTCAGGTCATTGCAGATCTGATAGGTCAACTTGGAGAAGGTTGAGAAGAAGCTGGCAGTTGTTAGCGTTGCAGATGGCGTCATTGCCCGGAGTTGTTAACTCACGTCTCCAGGTCATAATCCACCTTTCCCAGAGGCATGAGAACTAAGGGGTCTTCCACATCGAAGTCAGGGTTCTCTGCCTTCTTCTGCTTCCATAACTCGTGCAGACATTGACGACTGATGCTGCCGCTGAGATGAGCGTGGAGCTGGACTTTGTTAGTAGAGACACTAGTTATAGAAGAATGAATCATACCTCGATCTTTGGCAGTGCTTTGACAAAACTCTCGTCAACTGGCTTTGAGATGTCCATGTCTGTGAAGGGTAGATATCTCGGTAGTCAAGCGACGTCTCACCTTCCAAAGATGGGGGCGCACGAAGGCCGCGTGAGTCACCCCAACAACCCGACATCTCCAGGACTACAGTTCTTCACATCTCATCTCATCTTCTATTTCTCCTAATTTTCCCATCATCTATACCTCCACACCCAAGGCCTCTATCAAAAAAAATATAACATGTAACTTGACAGTAACAGGTATCCTCGGTACTTGTAGTTATCCGCCTCTGATAAGCTCAACACGTTACAATTACGAGCCAACCGGTGGGATCCGAACCACTCATACACATTCGTGTACGTTTCGCATAAATTGCATATACGGGATTCGGGCGCATTGATGAAAAGTGGACCGAAGAGATTTTACGTGGACTAATCTCTTTGATTACAGAGTACAGAGTATCTCCTCCCTTATGAGTACATCTCCATGTATCTGTTTCGTATTCAATATTGAACTACCATATACTTCAAAGATGAATACTTTGATTCAATATACCGTTATCAGTTCGCATGGTATAAGTACTGTAGCGATCGGCGAACCTGTGGATAAGAGGCTGAATGCATGCAATGCATACATAACCCACCAGGAGTGAAATCCCAGAACATAAGAAATCTCAGACAATACCATACACGTATCCCAAGATCCACACAGCTCTCTGATACGCCTACATGGGCTCGACGGGCGAAACCCCGCCAAGCCAGCTTTGTTGGCCGTGTATCGGGCTAAACAATGAAAGGGGTTTCTTTGTTTGAAGTTCAGATTAACATTATTTGCCACTGAGCCCTGAGAAATGGAGGCTGGAGCCTGGAGAATAGGGACTGAGCTCTTGAATCCGAACTGAATCTCAATCTGAAACATCGTGAAATGCCGAAGTGGGCGTATTGGAAAATTCTGGAAGCCAAGTTGTCTAGTGGGGTTAAGCCGCGATATTTTTAGACCCCGATCTGCGACAAGACCTGGAGTCGACGGGCATGTTTTGGCCCCGGCAATCGATATATGTGATTCCTTGAAGTTGTTTAATGCTTCAGATAAATCACGGCAAAGTAAGTTGGCTACGCGGACGAAACACGTGGACACTATAGTATAGTATAGCCGGCACGGGAATGGCGTGCACTTTAGCTGCAACGCCGGGGATTAGTTCCTGTTAAATCCCCATGTCTCTAGATGTCTGCTCCTCTTGCCCCGCTGAGGCTGAGTGTGGAAATACTGGCGGGCTGAGAATGCACACTGGTTGCTTACGACCAATCGCGGCTTCATACAGTAGTGCTGTGGATGAAAAGCGGGAATGGAGGCCTAAGGATGTCTCTCATATCAGACCTAGTCAAGTAGCGCAGCCACAAGATTAGGGCAAGATCCGACGGGTCATGAGACAAACTCCAAGCGGAAACTGCTGGAGCTCCCAAACACCCGCTTTGCCGTCAATATACAGTCCCGTATTCATGATTCAAGATTCGACATCTTGAACATGTGCATGTACATGTACATCAGATACTATCCCGAGTCTCAGCTGTGATCATATGACAACATAGGCTACGGATAACATCGACAATCCCGAACTGGCGTTAAAACCAGGCATCACCGCCGTACATGTAACCACCATGGTACACGGGACAGTAAGACAAAAATGGCATCATGCCGACAACGGGATATGTCTAAAACAGAAACGTCATTTTAAAAGGGGCCAGGACAAATTGTAATGACTGCAGTTACACAGTAATGTACGAGTCAATGCTGCCCTATGAGGGGTAGAAAGCTCACACTAACACCTCGGAGATGGGGGAAAGAAAGATCAAAACGAGTCACACGGTAAGGTAACAAGCTAGCCTTGAAAGAGGCAGCTTTCTTTCATGCTGCAGGCGGAATTGAAATGCGACGGCTAAGGGGATCACTATCCCGCCACACGCCGTTATTGGAGGGGATGTGGTGATTGAGTGACGGTGACGGTGACGGTGAGAGTGTAAACGAGAGCCAACCCCATCGCCTGGCGCCAGCAGAGCCGGGAGGCCGCATCAGAGAGGCCCGAGGATGGCGGGATGACCCTAGCGCATGTCGTTGAGACATGTACTGGCTTCTATAGCGGTGGAGAGGGTATTTTAGACGGGCTGAGCCTTGCATAATTCGCATCGAAGACGCATCGAAGGATTGGAAGGAGCTGTCTGAGACATCAGGCCTTTGGGGTGCCATTCGATAGTTTCAATTATGCACAGTGACTGTGGGACATGTATTAAAGGGGATAACTTATCTCTTTTTCAAGACATAGTAAAGAGTAGCTCAATATACCTTGAGGCGCAACGGTTCCACCCCCCTGGGTAACGAAAATGAAGTTTCGAGAATTGACCCAAAGCGCTGGAAATCGGAGAAAGGGATAAGATTACAGTGGAATGGAGAAGACTTACCCTCCTGAAGATCCCTTAAGAATGAGTATACACTCCATACTCCAAACTCCCTTCTCACCCCTGAAATGTGGTCAGATTTTATGTATAGGGCCATACCGTATTGGTAATACAGACTTCGTCGTCATGATGTCACCAGTTCCGCACATCCCAGCCAGTAGGATGAGATATCACATATTAGACGTTATTTTACTTTACATTCCTGAAATCTAACCCGGAGAATTCAATCAAGGAGATCCCGTCCCATACTCCGTACACTCCTGACACTACTGGAAAAAGCGGGGAGTCGTCATCTAGGGATCGTAGCAAGGAACGGCTGCGAGATTGACTTGTAATACATGTGCGTGGAGTGCAGGGGTACCCTGTAATATCTCTCAAAGAAAGTCAAAGATTCTCTTTATTCTACTTATTCTACCTATTCTATTACTGCTTAGCCACAAAGGAACCTAGGGGGCGGTATCGTTACAATGCTCAAGTGGGTCGACGTTAACTCCACCAAAGCCAATGGAAGACCCCAAGAAGCTTCGAATCCTCTGGTCTCTGCCGTGGCTTCCGAACATCCCTGGAGAGTCACCGCTAGGATTTGAGACAGGATTGGATAGCGGTCACGGGGCAACAGTCTTGGACCTAGGCATCACAGAGGAAACTGATATCCGTGAAAGCGCACGGGTTTTGATGTTCACCCCTCTTATCCCGCGATCATCAGGGTGGGATCCCAGTGGAGATCACTAGAGCCAGTAGCGGTGTATTGACATGAAGAGTGGCTGTTCGGCCGATCCTCAGCCACCGCTCTTTAAGACTGACGTGAGATGGATGCCTAGGATAAACCTATGTGATAATGTGTTGATTCTGCGGGATTCATATCTTTTTCGAATCTCACATCCTGACTCTAACCAACCTGCCACAACCGCCATATCAGAGAGCACGGATACACCCGATCAAGTCAGCAGTAGTGAGGCAAGGAAAAAGACGGCCAAAAAAAAAAAGGAAATCCAAAAAGAGGTGACGTCTATTGCCGTTTCGGGATCGTCTATGGTCCACTCATTCGAATACAAGGGAACCACAGCAACATACGTGGTCAACGTGTGAGGTCTGAACAAGACGCTCGTGCGGCTGTGGATGAGCTATCTCCCTATGATTCCTTCTCGGGTGACGTGCAGGTGCAGGATTAGGTGTATTGTATTGAGAGGGAGGAGGGGGGTCACTTTCGGCTGTAGCGGATGAGAACAAGGCAGAAATCAAGGAAATGGGAGAAGCACGGCATCGCCAACTCATTTACGTCTGCGGGGTTGACATGTCACCCCCGCAGATGTCGCAGATGCGGCTGGGACTTGCCTACTGTAAAAGTACAATGTAGCTGTACAATGCTACCGTTAGTAGCTATACTAGAGAGACTAGAGAGAGGTTCGCGAGAGCGGGCCTAGGGCAGAGATGATCACGTTGGGACACATTTTCAGGTGTTCGCGCAAACTCGATAGGGTCCACTACCGTTTCACCGTTTCACAGCCACACCGGTTCAGGGATTCAGCCCTAGTGTGGAATGACGGTCAGGCTACAGACCTCGGGTATATAACATCATCTGGCATCTGGAGATAGGTACACCGCAACCTTGGCATATAGAGACCTCAGATAAGGGGGAAAGTAAAAAAAGGGAGAAAGAGATCAAAACGCAAGACTCCGCATATCTTCCCCGGGACCGCTCTGTCGGGGCATTTCCATTGTAATACGGAAGTTTGAATGAAATAGACTGTGATCTCCACTGGAATTATTCGTAGGGCTCCTGTCCAACGCACCTGAAACACAGATCGTCCCCGATAACATTCCCCAGGGATCCTAGAGGCCCAATAAAACCTGACGGGTGCCATCTGCTGGCAGTCATTCCACATCATCACAGCCTCTCTTGTGATAGGCACTTGGTGTAGTACTTAGCTGTCATAGCGACATATTTGAAGGCAGTAGTATTTAATCATAAGGTCCTCCCTTCTTCCCCTCCGATCTTGGTTTACCCCTGATAAATCCTTGTCTATCTGTTTTAAGAACTAGGAAATTATCTGCTTTATGCTCTGTAGGGCAAAGCAAGCCACGTGTATAGATACAATACTACGTATTGTTATACTTTACCATACGGTAATAACGTCTATCGTAAGTCTCCACTGCAGCTTCATCGCATTGATTTAATTATTTTTCCCTTCCCCCTTCCCCCTTCATCTTTCCTTTTTATTGACTCATAAGGATAACGACTTTTTCCCACTTTTACGACTTATCCCTTCCACATATTTGCTGCCGAACCCTGACCCGATCAGTTCACGACCTCCGGCACTAAAACAGCAAATCCAACATCAGCGACTCAGTCCAGTCGCCGATAGCTCGCCTTTCCTTTTTGGACCTCCTGCAGGCACTGCGTTGGCAACTTGTCGCAACTCGCGATTTGCATCGCATCTCCCTACCTCTCGTTGCGCCTGGGAAAAAAAACCTCCCTGCCCGTCCGGGTACTCCCTTCGCCTGCCGCATCGCTAGCCTCCAATCGCACCCAATCGCACGTAGTCGTCAAGACTAAGACAATTCCTGAGATTAATATTTTTCTTGCCGCTGCCTATTTGCGCACCTCGCATCTTGGGGCTCTTTCACTCTGGAAGACCTGCATGCGCATTGCATTCGGCCTTTGACTTGCTCTTCGACGCACGCCCTCCCCGTTCCGACCAGGTCCCGCGCGCCCCCGTCCCTCATTCGGTGATTGCACAATCAATTAGCCCATATCGCAACTGGTCCCCAGTACACAGCAGCTTTCCCCACGCACCGGCAGATCGACAAGCAGAGAGGGGTTGCATTGGCATCATTGGAAGGAGACAACTGAGAATCAGCCGGGCTCCGAAAGAAGCAATACAACTTGCGGACTGGATCCTTGAGGCTGGAGATCATCCCCCGGTTGATTTCGTTTGTGACGTCTATCCCAAGTGGTTAGCACCGGTCCGTGAAGATCCCTCGTGGAAGATTGGCCTTTGCACAGGGCCGGTGCCCTTTGCAATTGTTATCAGGGACTTTTTTTATCCCTCAAACCTTCCTTTGTCTCGGTTTCTTCCCGTGCGGTGCTCTCCGGCAGGGCTCTCCACATTGCATCCAAGCCAGGTCAAGATGCAGAGTTCAAGAACACTGATTTCCTGCTGAGGACGTGGCTAAACGCTTACTGTGTCAGACTATCTCACTTTCTAGTTTGGCTCGGATCGCATTATACCCTGACAGGCGGCAGCCTTTGCGAACCTTGACAGCAGGCTGGTCTCCTACGCTGTTACCGATTCGCTCATTGCTGGGTCCAGGTGACTCGCACTTTGGCACGGTTCACGACAGGCTTGGCTTCCACCTATCGACAGCTGAGCTGTCGGTCTGATTGATAGCCGCCATGGCATATGCTACGACTCCTACACCTCCGGCCCTGGATGCCGACTCCCAATCGAGCTTAAAACTTGCAACATCTCTCCCTCAACCGACTTCCTTACAACATGTTGTCACCTCTTTACCTCCCGGTCCTAAATTTACCACCGCCTCCCCTTTCACCTCATCTCCAACTTCTACTCCGACCTCTGCCTTCCCTGCTCCCGACACCCCGAATGCTTTCACTCCTGCTAGTACTCCCTTACAACCCGCTAGCGAAGGACTACGTGGTCGAGTGAATGGTTTATCATTGCCTACGCCAGGCCCTCTAGAACTTGGCGAATCTATGATGGCCGTTCCTGGCAACGCATCCAGCTTCAATGACCCATCTACATCTACTTCCAAGGCCCCGGGTCTTATGCGACGAATTTCCCGAGGCGCCGCCAACAAGCTTACCCGTAGAAGACAATCTACAACTCAGAATGATAAACGGGACCGAAGCTCTGGTCCTGTGATCATGCGTCGACGCAGCGACAGCAAGACCGGCCCCCAACCTGTCCGAGACAGCGCCCTTGACTCAAGCAATGAGGACGAGAGCGAGGCGTTCGATAACCTTGGCGCATGGGGCGGCTCCGAAGCATCCAGCCTTCGCAGTGAGAGCCGCATGAATATGGCTCGCGATGTTGGCCCCGCTGCTGCTGTTGCCGTCGCACCCAAGGTCGACTCAGCTGTTCAGCGAGGCACCGTCTTGACCAAGGTTACAAAGAAGCGCAGAAAGCAAGTGCGCTTCTTCCTCGACCTGGATGCCGCCAAGGTTTTCTGGGATGTGTCTAACCCGCAAAAACGCTTCTATATCGATGATATCAAGGAGATCCGGGTTGGCGCCGACGCCCGTAATTACCGTGAAGAACATCAAATCCCGGAAGACTTGGAGCGCCGGTGGTTCACCATTGTGATTGCGGACTCTGACCGCTCCAAGGGCCGAGCGGTCAAGACTTTGCATCTCATCGCTCCTAGTGACCGTATCCTTGAGCTGTGGATTACCACACTTGAGCATATCTCTCGGTACAGAATTGGTCTGATGGCCGGCCTGGCCGGGTCTGGTCAGAGCGAGGCTGTTCTTCAAGCTCATTGGCAGCGCGAGATGTCGAGACTATTCCCGCAGGGACCGCGCGCTGGTGAGGAAGAAACCCTCGACTTGGCCGCCGTTGAGAAGGTCTGCCGCAGCTTGCATATCAACTGCTCCAAGAACATGCTCCGGGCGCAGTTCAACAAGGCCGATGCGGCGAACAGTGGCAAGCTGAACTTCTCCCAGTTCAAGGACTTCCTTATGCGCCTGAAGGAGCGGAAGGATGTCAAAGAGATCTTCAAATCTCACACGGAAAACTCAAAAGAAGGCATGACTCAAGATGAATTCCTCACTTTCCTGCGTGATGTGCAAAACGAAGATATCGATGGCGACCGCGCCCACTGGGCGGCACTTTTCGACAAGACTGTTCGGCGATCGTCCAAGGCCCGAACTCCTTCCTCGGAAGGGTCGGAACTCATCTCTCCTGTGTCGCGTATGAACTTGGATTCGTTCTCTGCGTTCCTGGCTTCGTCCAGCAACGGTGTGTACGCGTCACGTGCTCCTCAGTCAAGGTTCGACCGGCCATTGAACGAGTACTTCATCTCGAGCTCTCACAACACTTATCTTCTCGGTCGCCAGGTGGCTGGTGCTTCGAGCACTGAGGCTTATGTTAGTGCCCTGCAACAGGGATGTCGTTGTGTAGAGATCGACTGCTGGGATGGCGCGGATGGACGCCCAATTGTCTCTCACGGACGAACCCTGACTACCAGTGTCTTGTTTGCGGATTGCATCACTGTCATCAACCGATACGCCTTCATCAGCTGCGACTTCCCCCTTATCCTTTCTCTCGAGGTGCACTGCAATCCCGAACAGCAGCTGGCAATGGTCAAGATCATGAAGGACACATTCAAGGAGCAACTCGTACTCGAGCCTTTGATGACAAACTGCTTCATTCTTCCATCGCCCGAGGAACTCAAGGGTCGCATTCTGGTCAAAGTCAAGACCTGTGATGAGACCGAGTTCGATCCCCGTCAAGATACTGTCAGCTCCGTCAACACCCATGGTCGCAAGCGCAGTGCCAGTACACCATTCGTGCGACCGACGCTTGGGGATATCTCCTCTACCACTCCTCTTCCCTCGCTCTCCAGCCCTCCGACCATCGGACCCGTCGACAGCATTGGTCCATTGATGTCCCAGGATAGACGCTCCCTTACTGCTACCAGCATGAGCAGTGCGACCGAAGACAGCGACGGAGCCCTTGTATCAGTTCGCAACGAGAAGAAGAAGCGCCGTC